GAAAAACCACAAGCCCAGGAGGGGCTGCAGGCACTGGGCGGGGGCGGCTGAGGTTCGACGATAATATTTAAAGATGCTCTGAGTCTAAAAATTCATGGCTTGCAGGCAGAACTAGGGTTATAAGATCTTCTCCCAAACATCTTTCCAAATGCTGACAAGGGTTCCCCACCTACTACTGTTCTCAAAACAAAGGAACATTCAACCCAGAAGTAACCCCAAGAGAAATTTAGCCCAAACCCTATCTTGCCATTTAACAGATGGGGAAACAAGAGAACAGAGGCAGAAAGCGTTGGGTCCAGAACAAAATATTGCTTTTGCAACTATGTTTTCAAAAGTAGCACTGTCTGGCTCTACCGGCCCAGGCCAGTGTGGCTCAGCTGGCTGGAGCATCGCACACGCTGTGGACTGAAAGGTCGGAGTTGGATTCCTGGTCAGAACCAGGTTGTGGGTTGGGTTGTGGGTTGGTCCGGGCACTTACACAGGCAACCGACTGATGTTTCCCTCTCTCTCTCCTCCCCTTCCCTCTCTCTCTCTCTAAGAGCAGTGGAAAGAAAAAACAGTCCTCACCGAGGATACAAAAAAAAAAAAGTAGTGCTGTCTGATAGAAATAAAATGTGAACCACAAAATTTTTAAATATGGAATTTTAAAGGTTGTGGTAGCCACATCGAAAAGAGTCCAAAGAAACAGGTGATATTTATTTTAATACTACAGTAAACTCATAAGTCAAAATATTATTTTGACATGTGGTCAAGATAATAAATGGTTAATGAGATATCTCATATTGTTTTATTGTGCTAAGACTTTGGAATTCAGTAGAAGTACACTCCTGGCACATCTAAGTGGCACTGGCCCCGTCTCCAGCAGTCAGGAGCCACATGTGGCTGGTGACAACGGTAAAGATGTAAGTTGCCTCATACTCTCCTCACCCAACTGCACACACAGGCCATTAGGGTCCATGTTCCATTGGGCAGTAGCATCCTTTCCACAATCAGTAGTCTTTTTTTTTTTTTTACAGTCACCGGGCCAGAAAATTAATCTTCCAACTGGCGGTGGAGCTTTCTGTGGCCAAGTTGAATAGCATTCCATTTCTGGGAGGGACCTTAAAAGTGGCCTAATCTAACTTGATACATGGACTTTTAGTGAATACCAGAAGAAGCCACATAGCCTGCCGCTGGTCCCCGTGATGGCAGGCTGGCAGTTGGAACCCACATTTCACAGTTCTGTACGTGAAGGGCTTATAACACAGGGCCAGCCACCTAGAAAGTGCCTGAGAAATCTCCACCTTCTTTCCCTCCTCCTTTTCCGGTTTTGCACCAAATTGGTCTGTCCCCAGAGAAGCTCATGGATTAAAGAGAGATACAATGCAGAGGAAGTGTTACTTCCGGTTGGCCTGGTAGGTGCAGCTCCCCAGGTAACACACTTGTTACATAAGCCACAGCATGACACACCGCACCGATGACCCGCTGCAGCTCACCCATGTCAGCTCCGAAAGCCACTCCGGCTTTCCCTGGGAGAACAGTGGTGTGGAATTGAGGCACGGAGTTGCAAAACTCACTTCTGTCATCTGACGGGTAGAGCCAGCTCTCCGGTGTTATCCCCAAAGCGCCGTTCCACCGCTGCACCACCTCGAGAAAAACCAGTTTTCGGAGCACCACACCTAGGACCATGTGATGCAATCTGATATTAGCGTCTCCTTGCATCAGTGTTTCTGACGCATGTGTTTTTACGCTGGCAGAAAGGTTTATAATGGGGAAGGAGGGGGAAAAAAAAAAAAGAAAAAGACTTGCTGGATGAAATCTAAAGGCACGGTCGGCACTGTTCCTAATTGGCCACACAGAGTGTTTGAAGGGTAAACACCCACCCAAGCACTGCGGCCCCGGCAAGTATCGGCATGCCGTCTCCTGAAGGGGCCTGGATGGCACCTTTGTATGGGCAAAATTCTTTTCTGGCTGGTTCCATTTGTATTCTATATCAAAGTATCAAGCTTTAATCTCCTGTCTCTTTTTTTTTAATTATTAAAAGGGTTTTTTTAATGACTGATTTCAGAGAGAGGGGGGAGGGAAAAAGGGAGACATCGACCCATTGTTCCCTTTCAAGCATCCGCTGGTTGATTCTTGCATGTGCCCTGACCAGGGATCAAACACACTGCCTTGATGTATTGGGATAATGCTCTCACCAACTGAGCTACCCGGCCAGGGATCCTAAATCTCTTTTAATGCAGGCCTATTAAGAAGAGGCTTTCAAAGAGTGCTTCTCCACCCCTCAACCTTTCTTCACATCTCATGTCTAAAGTTCTTTTATTTGTACATAAGTGGTCTTGGCTCCCCGGGTGCACAGACTTCTGGCTTTTTTCAAATATTAGATGTGTACCTTGTGGTTTCACTTTAGACATTTGTTGCCTCCTCGATTTTGTTTCATGCTGCAATGATTAAGGAATGAATTGCAAAAATCCTAGAACTCTCTCCATCCTCAGAAAGTTGCCAAAAGAAGAAACTTCCTTGTACAGAATGGCTTAAGAAATAAGCAAGCAGATAAAAATCTTCAGCAGGAGCCCTGGCTGGTGTGGCACAGTGGATTGAGCACTGGCCTGAGAACCGAAGGGTCACTGGTTCGATTCTCAGTCTGGGCACATGCCTGGGTTGCGGGCCAGGTCTCCAGTAGGGGGTGCGCAAGAGGAACCACATATCGATGTCCCTCTCCCTTCACCTCTGTCCAAAAATAAATAAAATCTTAAAAAAAAAAAACTTTGATAGAAGACCAAGTGATATTGAGATCTTAATAGAGGAGAGGAGACCAGTAGCTCAAAACAAGGATCTCCTAGCAAAAAATCAATTCTTAACGTGTCTTACAAGGCTCTCTGAGTCAGCCCTTACCTTCAGCCCTTACCTACCTCTTCAGTTCTAGCCATATGGCTCTTCATACCCAGGCCCAAAGGCTACTTTTCCTTTCTTAGGGCACAGTTCCTCCTTTCGACTGCCCTGGAATAGTCTTCCTACCCCAGTTCATCTGGGGGGTTTTATCCAACCTGTACGTCAGTTCAACTTTCCACAGGGATGCCTTCCCTGGCCCCAGAATAGAGAGAGTTCCCTTGCCCTGATGGTCCTACAAAAGTATCACTTTGCAATGCTTATGTAGGGGAGGAAAAAGCTTTCCTCGACCCTCTTAGAGTCTGAAAATTATACTAACAAAGGCAAATTCACGGGAGAAAAGAGTACAAATGTATTTTATTTTTTAAAAGATTTTATTTATTTCTTTTTAGAGAGTGGGGAAGGGAGGGAGGAAGAGAGAGAAGCATCCGTGTGTAACCACACATTGCCTTTCACTTGCTCCCCCCTACAGCCCAGGCATGTGCCCCGGCTGGGAATTGAACTGGGAATTGAACCAGTGACCCTTTGTTTCACAGTCTGGCACTCAATCCACTGAGCCACACCAGCCAGGGCTACAAATGTATTTTAATGTAAGTGTTATGTGACAGGAGAGGCTTCATAAAGAAATGAAGACCCAAAGAAACATACCTGTGTGTTTTTCTGCTGAAGAGTGGACAGAGTGGAGGACCAGGGTAGGTTAAGGAGTAGGGGGGAAGTGTCTATGTGGTGGTTATTACGATTGCATATTACGATTCTTCCCTGTGTCCCTTGGTCCCTTGGTCTCTGGAGATAAGGATGCTCCTTTCCTCCTGACACCAGCAGGAAACCTGTCACCTGAGGGTTTTATGGCTTATTTCAGAGAAGGGCTGGGGGTAGGGGTGGGTGATCATTTTCTCAAAACTCCTTCAGCTTAAAATATTCAATATGCTAAGGTGCCATATTTTGGGGTAGCGTGCCCTGAACCCATCACTCATCACACATGTAATTACTTAAGTGTCTACCTTTCCCATTAGACCTTGCATTCCACTAGGGCAGAAATCTTGTCCTCTAGGTCAGTATCCCCAGCACTTAGCACTGTATGTCTTGCGTGTACCAGAGGCTCACTAAATATTTGTCAAAAGAGGGAAATTTCAGGGCATCCTAGGCCTCCAAGTTGATTACATTAATTAGCAAACCTTTTTGTAACTCTAGCGTGTAACAGCTCCTTACTACATACTGGGGACCCTTCCACAAACAAATATAGATATAAAATGTCTTCTCTCTGTACAGAACAAAATTATTCAAACTGTATTCGTGCTTCATTCCGATCACTCAATTAGGACACGTCCCTTGTTGGCGGAGGCGTGAGCAAAGTATTTTCCAGCTAGTGTCCTCAGGTGACCTGTCTAGACATGTCCGGTGGGGGAAAAACAATCTAACATTCTCCTAAACCCCCAAAGAAATTTCTGACGCTCAGGACGCTGTGCGTAGAAGGCCCAAGGAGCACTGCGCGGGGCCTGTGGAACGCGCAGGAAGTGGGAGTGAAGTCTGGTGGCGCGGCTCGAGCCAGGTTCGGGTGGGCAGAGACGTCCCTCGGGTGCGGGCCGGGCAACCGTGGGGGTCCGCCGGCCGGCAGGGGGCGCACGCGCCCCGGGACCCGCGCCGCCGGGCCAGCCGCACGATCGCTTGCCACCCGGCCGCACAAGTGTTTCTGTTTTGTGTTGTAGCATTTGTTCTGGAAGCCTGTATTTACATTTTAAGTGTATCTGGTGAGTGGGTTGGAGCCCTCATCTGGCCTGTGTCGGGGGTGGGAAGGGGGGGAAGCCCTCGGGTTCGTCTTTTAGTTTCTCTTCCTTTTTTCTTTCCGGATTCTCATCACTCCAGCCAGGTAGGGACTGAAAATCAAAATCGGCAGTGATCATTTTGCGGGATCTGGGAAAGTTTTTTTTTTCCCTTTTTTTCTTTAAAGGAGAAAAGGTAAAAAAAAAAAAAAGCCAACCTGAGGAAGGGGGGCTGGGGGACTGAATGAATAAAAAGGGGAAGGCGGATCCACGTGGTTTAATCCGAGACAGACAGAGATCCCATTGTTCAAAATCAATAAAAAAAAAAAAGACAGGGCGAAAGCGCAGGGACGTTGGGGGAAAGTAGCCGCGGAGCAGGGCACTTTGTGGCCGGGATCCGAGTGATCGGCTCGGCCTCACCTTCGGAGAAGAACCAAGAGAGTTGGGCACCATTAAAGTTTTTATTTTTCGTGTCTGTGCGAGCAGGTGTTTGGGGGTCGGGGGCCTGCTTCATTTGCCCCCCGACCCCCGCTCGTCTGGGGCAGCCCATCCAGAGGGATTCGGATAATTAGAGTCTGAGGTTCGAACCCCCAGGCTGGGGCGTAATTGGGGACTCGGGGTGGGGGTTGATGGCGCCGAGAATAGCATTTAACTGAGCGAGCTTGGGGAGGGGGCACTTAGACAAAAGCAGCAGGTGGGGTGACTGGGGGAAAGGGAGCCCATTCACCATCGGAGCTGCCAAAGAAGGATCTTTAAAGTGTCCTGAAGCCTTCTCTAATTAGAGCATACGGAATCGGAGGCTTCTTTTTCTTTCCCTTTACTTTTTTGGAGACCAGGCTGCAATTGTGATGCGATGTAGGCAAATCTAACTTGAGGATGGGCCGGGGTCTCCATTTTTTTTTTTTCTTTCTCTCACCGGATTGCATTTGGGGACCTGGGCCACCGTGCGGGATTCCCCGGAGGAGGCGCGCCGGGCCCGGGAGGGGCGCGATTTCCTCCCGGCTCACCCCCTCTCCGCCCACCCCGCGGCCGCCACTTTGGGGAGGGCAGGGGAGGAAGTGGAGGCCGGTGGCTCCGCTGCGCTCCCCTCCCCCCGCGCAGTTTATAACCCGTCCATTGTGCGCCGCTGCCCCGTGTCTCCTCCAGCGCGACCATGCCCAGGAAGAAGGCGGCGGCAGCTTGGGAGGAGCCGAGCTCCGGCAACGGCACGGCCCGTGCCGGACCCAGGAAGCGCGGCGGCCCGGCCGGTAGGAAGCGCGAGCGGCCCGAGCGGTGCAGCAGCAGCAGCGGTGGTGGCAGCAGTGGCGACGAGGACGGCCTAGATCTCGACGGGGCACCTGGTGGGGGCAAACGCGCAGCGCGGCCGGCGGCGACCAAAGCGGGCGGCGCAGCGGTGGTCATCACCGAGCCAGAGCACACCAAGGAGCGCGTCGTGAGTGCGGGGCCTGAGGGCAAGGGGTTGAGGCCCGTGGCGCGCCACAGCGCGCGTCCTGGCCCGGGGTGGCGGGCCGGCACAGGCCGCGGGCTGAATCATCATCACCGCCGCACAACAAAAGGGCGCGGGGTGGGCGCGGGCCAGAGACAGTCGCCGTCGGCAGCCTATCCGACCCCACGTCGCCCGCCCGCGCGGCAGTTGATGCTTGGGGCGCGCTCCCCGGGCCCCCGGCGGGGGAGGGGCGTCCGGAGCCCGCGCCCGCCCGCGCTAGGGGGTCATGGCCCCGCCCCCGGCGCCGCGAGCTGGAGCCTACTGCCTCCTCTTCCCCTCCCCCTCCGGGAAGGGAGACTTGTGCAAGTTGTCTTGGGCCGGAGCAAGGGATGTACGCGGGGTGTGACGCCCTGTGCCCTCGGCCTCCCCTGGCCTTCTGCACCAGTAGTCTGCCCAGGTGCTGCAGGGGAAGGGGTCTCCCTCGCGCTACGGGGAGCGGCGGTTTGCGCCCAGGCTTTGAGGTTCCCGCCGCCTCGGCTCCGGAGCTCCGGGGGGGCGGGGCCTGGCAGCCGCTGCGCATGCCCTTTACAGCACTGCACTGTCTCGCGCCGCCGGGGACCCGGGGGTGGCCGGCGCCAGCGCGGGGTGCGAGGGCGCATGCTCCGTAGAGTCCTCCCCCTGGAGGTCGAGAAGCCCCCATCTGAGAGGTGTTTGGGCTTTGTTCACCGCTTAAGGTTCGAAGGTGTGGGCGCTAGGTGAGAGCTCTATGTAGCACCCTATACCCCCCCACACACCGCCGCCCCCACCACAGGCAAGAAGCATCTCCCATGTTATAAGTGGACTTGAATTTGCTCATTAGAGTTGGGTCTTAAGATCGTGACCATCTCAACTTATGTGCCTCAAACCGCCTCAGAGCCAAAACTCTTAACCTGCATTCTGTGATCTTCCAAAGCTACAAGTTCAGTGTGGGATGAGTGTTAGAGAGAGGGTCAGAGCTTTCACCAGATTCTCACGTGATCCCAAGAGAGTAAGAACTTCCACTTAGGTTCTAGAATCGGACCTCAGGAGACCTCCAGTTCTCTCTCTGAAGGGTATGGAAGGGTTAACAGCATCAGTGCTCTCCTCCCGAGGAACGCTGGCAATGTTTAAATGCTTAAAAATCATGCATTTCTCCATCCGCTTTATAGATGAGGAAACTGGGGCACAGAGTTTTAAGAGCCCAGCCCGAGATCACGTGGGGCTGGATTTCCAAATGGGCCCAGGTGTTTTCTGATGCCATTCTCAGGCCCCTGCCCTTTGCTCCTGGGAAAATGTTGGCTAACTGCCCTCGCAGTCAAAGGGTCGCCACCCCTAAGGGTGGAGCAGGGTGGAAGGGGAGCCCGTGTCACTGAAATGTCTTATCTAGGGTGGGGACTAGACCAGCACTAGGGAAATGGCCAGTGTCTTGAGAAACTGAGCACAGGAACTGTTTTCCCTGGACCAGCATGATCCACAGTATGAGGCTCCCTGCAGTCACTGTATGGTGGGAGGGCCCTGAACACAAAGGGCAGGTGTGCTTCGCCTCTGCTGTGTTCTCTCTCGTGGGAGTGGACAGTCAGTCACCCTATGAGAGCATTGAGTTTTGTCGTCAGGAAGTGAGACTCTTACCCAGTGCTGGGATTCACCCCAGAAGATAGCCACACACAGAGTGCAAAGGGTGTGCAGGCTGCCCACCGGCAGGGGCACAGCTGCCAGCCTGATGGGAATGGCACTGTTATTAGTCTGACCGGGAGACACAGCCGTCCAATGCAGCTTAAGGTGGTTTTACATTTACTTCTCATATCTTTTAAGTTCCTGAGAGATGAATGCACACATATATGCCCCTATGTATACGTCCCTTCCAAAACCCCCTTAAAAAACAAAGGGGGGTTGTTAAGCAATTTCCTTTGCACTGGTCAGAACGCCATCCTAGGCTCAGGAGACTGAAGTTTCAACAAGTGGTTGTTTTTTTTTTTTATGCCTCATGGAAGTGCATACACCAAGTTATAAGTTTTTATTAGCATCCATTGAGTTTTGTCCAGGGTCAAGGCCAGGGCCGTGCTGCTTCATTGCCCTTCCACAAGTCTGAGTCAGCACTGCCCTAGTCCTATATGACCCTTCTGCCCAGAATCCCTGGCTGCAGCTTCCTGGACCTCAAAGGAGAAGCAAGTTCTCTTCCTCTTAAGGGAACCTGGCAACCCTGTCTGCTGCCCCAGACTGACAGCAGCCCCTGGCCTGTCTCAGAAAGAGGCTTTTAACTGAGAAATTCGCAAGCTCCCCCACTGTTCAGGGCTCCTGTGGAGGAGGTTTGTGAGAGTGCAGTTGCCAGGAGCTTATCTGACGCCAAGTCGCCTTTGGTTAGGCTCAGAGCTGCAGATGTGGCACTTGTGAGAGGGGCGCCCCAGGCACTTGGATGGTTGAGGAGCAGAGCTGCCTGAAGTAAACCTTATGCACTTCCATGAAACACACTTACCTCAGTCTCAGAAAATGCCCTCTCCAAGGGCCTGGGGTTTGCGGTGGCTCTGTCAGACAAGCACACTCGGGTGGCCTGGAGCTGACGAGCCCCAGTGTCCTCTGAACCTAGTGACCTTGTAGGTAAAGCAAGCAAGCCTCCTGGACTCAGTCCTACGAAACGGGCAAGTGCCACAAGCTGTTCAGGTCTTTGTAAGTTTCCCAGTGTTGGGTGGCTGAGGTTTTGTGGCATATCTCCCATCTGAAAGGGCCAAACAAATACACCGAGCTTAAAGTCCGTTTGAGTTGAAAGCCCACTAGGGAATTTGGCGTTGCTGGCATTTCTGTGAATGGTCTCCCCTCTGCTGAGAGCAGCAGCCTTCTAAGTGGATACAGGTTAAAGGTTCAGGTTCATAAACGTGCTCCTTACACTTGGGCAATGATTCAAAACTTGCTTTGGACCAGAAACCCCATTGTGTTGATTGAAGATTTTAGCACCGTCTTCTGCGGGGGCGGTTTGTCTCTACCCAGCTTACACACCTGGGCTTGTTCCGAGGCAGCGAGGTGAGGCGACCCTCGTTCATCCTGCTGGGGAGACATCATCCAGCTTCTTTCGCCTTTGGGCACAGGCAATGTCCCAGACACTCGAGTTTATCCAGAAAGAATCTCTTGACACATCAAGTAAAGGCTGGGTCCCACCTGGGAGGGTCTCACAGCCTTGAAGGCCATCGCTGCAGGGTGTCCGGATAGATCCGCCAGGCACCCGGGGTCTTTGCGACCTGGGGCTGGAGCAGCTCTGACAGTGAGGGGCATGGGCTGTGATTTAAGGGGTTCTCCTTACTTTAGTCTTTTATTTCATAGTAGAGGGAAGAGTTGAATTTCGGAGAAGTGAGAGGGAGCAGTCTACAGCAAACAGTACATAGACAATAGCACTGAAAGGGCCATCGCCCTCCATCCAAAGTGTGAGGAGTGAGGCCCCGACACCAGAACCTGAACAAGATAACGCGTCACGCCCTCCCTAGGAATCAGGCCACTGTCACAGCTATAGACTCAGGTTACTGAGGTTTCTCAGAAACACCCTGTGTCAGAAAGGTTGGATTTTTGTATAAGTGCTTAGCTGGCTTGAAGGTGTCCACAAGCCCTTGACCACTGATGCAGATGTGGCGTCTCCAGGTCACAGAGGAGACCCTGCTCCCGCCCAGGGCGCTTGCAGCAAGTTCTGGCAGTGACGGAGCTGCTGGTCCTGCGGCAGCCGACCGCCCTGGCGAACTGTTGCTGCAGTGACGGCATCTCGGTGGTTAACAGTGAGTGCGATACATGGCACCTGGGAGCCTTCTGCCCGCCTGGAGTTGAGGGGCCACAGGGGGGGCTGCCGGGCCTGCGGTGCCGGCCTTCTGGGGACCCTTCCCGCCATTCTCCAGCCTGACAGCTCATCCCACAGTGCCTTAGTTCCTCCCCGTGTCTGCTGCCCTCTCCACACAGACAGACCTGAGGGACAGTAGAGAGCAAGTCAGTGACATGGCAGAGCCTTGGGGCCACTCCTCCCACGGGGACTCGACAGTACCCACTGGCTGCCATTCATCTGCAGTAGAGAGTGCCAGCCAGGCCCGCCAGTTAAACAAAGAAGGGGAGATAGATAACCAGGGGAAACTAGGCTCCCGTTCAAGTAATCTGAGTCTGGGTTCTGGAGGGATGGACTGGCCTCCGGCGAAGGCTGTCCTCTCAATTATTTAAGTGCAGCCAAGTCCCTCCATCCCTGGCTGTGTGTCCCCCCTTCGCACGCCGACTGCCAGCGGTGTCCTGTAGACAGACCAGCTTCCAGCCACGGAAACGTGGCCAAGTGGGCGAGCACAGCGGGCCCTGTACTGTAGGGCGCCAGCAATGCCAGGTTTGGGTCACACGGAGGTCCCCAGGAGATGGAACCCTTGATAGTGAAGTGAAGATGTGTTCACTTTACAAAGGACGCACCGTGTTGCCAAAATGTCCCGCCAGGGCAGCCGCCACGTACAGGGCGGGGGATGTCACTTGGCTTTGTGCATGTCTGAGTTTTGCAAACGACATTTTAAAAAGAGAAATGAAAGGATGACAAGGAGCCTGGGCGTAACTGGGGCAGCGTTGGGGTTGGCACACTGAGGTGGACTGGCCAGGTGGTGAGCCCCACCCCCCGGGCTTCTGTCCACTGGTGGAAGTGTTGGAAGTGTTAACAGTGTATTATTTTTGTTTCCTGCCGTTGTTGGACAGACTTAGGAAGCTGGAAGCAGCACTGGAGGCTAATTCCTCTTCCCTCTCTCTCTCTGTCTCTGCAGAAACTTGAAGGGTCTAAATGCAAAGGGCAGCTTTTGATTTTTGGGGCAACCAACTGGGACTTGATTGGTCGAAAAGAAGTGCCTAAACAACAAGGTATGAGAAGCAGTTCTAAAAATGTAAGAAGCTACTATTTCTTGCGTGCTTCCTAGGTGTTTGCTGTAATTTGGTGACCATCTGCCAGGTAAGTAGTCTCTTCATTTACAAGAGTGTTCAGAGAGGCCAAGTCACTTTCCTGAGGCCACACAGCCACTCTAAGGATGGCACTAGATTTGAACCCTGGTCTTCTGTGAGTCTCACCTCACAATTCTGCTTTTAAAAAATGAACTCCCTTAAGATTAAGCAGAAAAACACGAATAATAGCCTCAAGTAAAACATTGACACCTTCTCCCCTCCTCACCTCACTTGTTCTTATGAAAATGAAGCTGCCCCTGTGGGATGTAAAAATGTCCTGGACATTTGTCACATGTCACACTGTTAGATCTTTCAGAAGAGTCCACATTTCTTTGCAAGCTGCCAAGTTGGTGCAGGAGCTGGTTTGACAGTCGAGTGGAGGGAGCAGAGAAGCCCCAAGAAGAAACATTAGTCCCCAAACTCTGCTTTTAGAAAATGGGTCTTTCTCTGGGAGCATACTGGCCCGGTGCAGGGAGGGGGAGGGGTGGTGCAGTGCCACCTTTTACAGCTTCTTAATTTCATTTGGAAAGTGTCCCAAAGTACTTGATGGTGTTGCCCAGTGAGCAGATCTTTGCACCCCGACAGCCCCGGTGCCTCAAGACATGGAGATCACTTCATTCCATGGTGATCCTCATTCCAGGAGTCTCAGCGCTCACTCGGGGTCCAGCCGAACCAGCAGTGGGTCCGAGCCATTTTCTCTTGCTGTAGAAAGTGCCTAGACTTGGGGCCCAAGTCCCCCTAACTGTTGGTGTCCCCCGAGGAAATCTGTCCTGATGCAGGGTGACTGAAGTCTGCCGGTCCTGGGCACATGTGGCGTTTTTTCTCATGCTCTTCACACAAGTGACCCACTCCCAGTTATAGACACTCGGCCCAGCGAGGTGGGGGTACGTTTCAGTGGGAAGCGGGTGGCAGAGCCCGGGTTGCTGCCTGCAAGTACAGGACAAGGTGCAGAAGGTCGGGAAGTTGCCATGTGGGTTGAAAACCGCCGCCATGCTCTCGACGAGGGAATTCCGCCCTCATCGGACTTGTCGAAGAGCGTGTTCTGTTGTCTCTGTTTCCCAGTTCTGCTTTCCTGGTTTTCTTCCCTCTGAGTGAAGTTTCATATAATTTTTTTTTAATTTAAAAAGTACTTTACGATATTTTTTAGTCCTTCAAACCCTTGCTAGTAGACAGAAGGGGGAGGTAGGACTTGTTTTCCCACTGGTGCCAGGCGTGAGGGGAGGGATGTCGTGGCCCCTCAGTCCACCCTTCCCCAGTTCCCTGCCGTCCGTGAGGACAGGGAGAGCCCTCGGCGCCGTGGATCTTGTAAAATCAGCAGCACGGAGCCGAGCTCATATTCAAGGTCACCACAGGGATGCCTGAGCTGCCCTCCCCCCACCCAGGCCTGGTGACTGTAGGGAGTTCATGACCACCAGCCCAGCCAAGGGGCCTGGGACACCTGTCAGCCATTTCCTGGGACTAGGCTCACTGCCAGCCAGGGTTCCTCAGCCAGGCTAGGTCAGCTGTGGCACCTGTACCTCCGCAGCGGTCCCCTGGTGCCGTGTTCTTGACGGAGACGGCACACAGCATGTACACTTGGGTTTCAGTACCATGCCACCCCTTGTTTTGCCTTCGTGCTAAACAGGCCTTGGGGTTCCCTGAAAGTTTTAGGGTAACCCATGATGGCTGTCCCCTTGGTTTGCTCTAGCTCCAGGGCATTGCTGGTTTTTCTTTGCACCTTTTAGTGTAGTAGAAGAATGCATTCAGGTGAAGCTCAGGGCTGTTACCGTGTGGCATTGTGACTTGGAGTTCTTGCTACCAAATGAGGGCACAAGTGGCGCCCTCTGCTGGTGGGGCGCAGGCAGGGTGGGGCCTGACACTGAACAATTGCACAGACGCTTTTCCGTGGCGCCAGGAGCCTGATGGAGAAATTAGCCTTTCACTCAGTCCCGTGTCCAGACCACCTGACCTGGTTGATTTGGCAGGGGCTGGCATTTCGTAACGGTCACCGGAGGCCCCCAGACGCGTTCAAGTTTCTGTCCTCGGGAGCCCCAGGTTGAAAATACTGAGCAAAACATTGGCCACGCCCCATGCACTAACAGGGCGAAGTGGGGATTTTGAAGGAGGTAGTTATTTCTTCGCCCCTCCCACACGTCCACTGGCGTTACTGACAGTGCTTCCCATGTGCCAGGCGCTGGTGAGGCCCCAGTGGCCGTGCAGAGTGGGAAGGCACATGAGTTCAGTGGGGTAAGTGCCGTCTGTGGCAGGACTCACAGGGCGCTGGTGTGTGGGGAGTGACAAGTTCAAGGGGATGTGGCAGGGAGGGTTCCTCCCAGAGGAGGGGGCGCTTGTATAATAAGGTGGCAGGGAAGGGTTCTCCAGGGAAGTGAATACGTGGGCAGAGGCCAAGGTTTGTGACTTGGCCGACACAAAGGGATCCCTGAGAAAGGAGCAAACCAGTGGGGGGAGGTCGGTTTGGTGGCGAGCAGAGGGCCTGATAGACTGCAAGGAGGGCAGGTCTTGGTGGAGGATGGGATGCGCAGTCGCACTGAGAGCCTCCCGGCTGCAGCATGGCTGCTGGGGCGGCGAAAAAAGTGAGGGACACACCAGGTGCACTGCTGGCTCTCCTGGGTTGGCCCGCACCCCACAGGGCTGCAGGGGGGCATGCTCAGTGGCCGCTGCATGTGCGTCTGCGGTCCCCATGGGTTGAGGCCACAGGCAGAGGTGGAACATCGGTGGCCACTGGCTAGATCTGCACCAGCTCAGGAGCAAGGGGCGGGGTGCTGGAGCTGCTGACTTCTCAGGTGGCACCCCCAGGACCCCTGCAGTTGTACCATGGCAGAGTGGGCCCCGGGTGCCTGGTGACGTTTTGGGGGGTGCGCTCCACTTGCTTGTCACTGTGGGTATTAGATTTTCACTCTTCTCTTTGCAGCTGCCTACCGCAATCTTGGTCAGAATCTGTGGGGACCCCACAGATATGGGTGCCTGTCGGGGGTCCGGGTGCGGACGGTGGTCTCGGGGTCATGCGCTGCCCACAGCCTCCTGGTCACCACGGAAGGGAAGCTGTGGAGCTGGGGTGAGTACGAGCTGGCTGGGTGCTGTGGTGACTCATGGCAGCCGGCTGACGCCCCCTGCGTTCTCCGCTGCAGAGCTTCGTAGTGTGCGGCCCCATTTCCTCTTCCTGAGTCCCGGCGGCTCTTGCCTGCACCCTACGGCTGCCTCGCTCCCTCCACTTGGCTGTTTCCTCTGTTTAGTCTTTACACGGCCCCTAGTTCTCTGGACGCTCCCCCTTTAAGCAGCCTTTTCCTGGCCCTTCTGACTGCATCTGCATCTTTCCGATACCGGGGCGCCTGCCTGCAGCTGGATTCCTGTCTCCATCCAGCTTGCTGTCGCCCCAGCAGACAGTCGGTGCCCCTCCCTCCCCCTCCCTTGTTTTGCAACTCAGTGACATAAGACCTCTGTTCTTGCCACGTTAGATGCCACCCACTTTCACAGCAGCCACGTCATGACATCGGCTCCTGCGTCTCTGCACTCAGTCTCCTCTGCCTCTGGGGACTGTACCGGTTTGCGTAGCTGGTGGCCTCCTTTGTCCCTTTCTCACTGTGTGTCCCCAGACGGCTTACTTTTTCCAGGTTGATTGGCTTTCTCCGCTGCTGGATTTCCTCACCTGGGTACTCGGCACTTCCCTGCCCTTGGCCTTGCCGCTCTGCCCCACGTCAGGGCCCCAGGAGGGCTCGCACGCGTTGCCGCCCATTGCCCCTTCCAGGTCACTGATCCAGCCACTGACGAGGCCCCATTCTTCCCCACACCCTTCTGGCAGCTCCCGGACAGCTTCCCCCTGTGTGCCGGCCTTCGTCGCCGCCCTTGTTTCTGTCCTGTGGCCAGCTTTTAGTTCGCATGCCCGCATTTGCATTTGGGTCTATTTGAACTGTTTTGGTTGTTTTTTTTCTTTTTTGCCATTTCATGAGCTGCTGTAACGATGTTCAAATATATTAACATCTGTTCTCTCTGCACTGCTAATTTCGTCATTCAGTTGGAAAAAAGCTAACAAGTCTGTCTGGCCCAAATCTGTGCTTCCTAGTCTCCTGATGCATGCCGGCATCGCCTCGGTTCTCATTGTCCGTTGTCCCCCCCCATTGGCACAGAGGTGTGTCCCGCCTCCTTGGCACCCCTCCCACCTCGTGGCCCAGCACCGAGCATGCAGTCTGTGTCTGTCCACAAGTTTAAACACCTCCTTCCCGGTGTCTCTCCTGAATTTCCCTTACTTGGTGCTTCTAAAAATGTCTCCTCTGCTGACCTTGTGAGCAGGGAATGACTCTGTAGACTGTGCACCTACCCTGGCCCTGGACAGAGACGTGTCCCGGTGAGCAGACGTGGTGCCAGCAGGTAGGGGCGATGTGCCAGTGGGGTGTCACGGGCCGCTGCCGGTTACCCCAAGGCGAGGGGCCTTGGTGCTCTACTGCACATCCCTCGCCAGGGGTCTGCACTCGCCAGCCAGTCGGGTCCCGAACCCCACCCAGCACTCGTCCTGCGTTTGAAGTGCCTTTCGCAGGGAGCGTGGGTAGCTCCGTCAGAAGCTGGTGTCTGCCTGTCCTGCCAGGGGCCTGAAGTCAAAGTTCATGTCCAAATGTGGTTTTCCTAAGGTAACCTGAGGCTAGTAACTTCCTCCTCAAACTGGCTCCAGGATGACTGGTGCTCATCTTTGTAGCTCTGCTCTTGTTTCCCATGACCTAAAGGTCAAGTTCATTGTTGAGGAGGGGCATGAGCCACTGCCACCGTTCCCTGAATCGCTCTGACTTTGTGGCCCTGTAAAACCTCCACATTGGGTAGCAAGTGTGGTTTTCCTCCTTGACCTGCTGTTGGCCCATTGGGTGGTTTTGTCCGGAGCTGTTGTAGCCAGTGTGGAAAAGGGGGGCGGTCAGGGGCGCCCAGGCTCCTCCTGGCCCACATAACTCGCCGTGTCTGCGATGGAGCCGAGGGGCTCTGCCCGGGGGCCGTGTGTTGGGTGGCACTTGGCAGCCAGGGTTGCCTCCTCGGGTCTCCTTGCCACCAGACCCCACAGCCAGGGCAGCTCTGGAGGGAGGCTTTGTGTTCAGCACGGGCCTGGCCTTTGTCCATCACTGGGGCGCACACAGCTGGGGTCCTGTGAAGGGTGGGCCCCGTCAGGTGAGCTCCGTTTACAGGGCAGGTAGAAGGAAGAGAAGTGACAGGCAGAAGCCTAACGGGCCCCAGTGGCTGCCCAGAGCACTGAGGTCATCAAACTCGGGAGGCAGGTACGAAATGGCTCTGTCTTAAACCACATCTTGGAGCTAAGGGAATGAGGGAGCAGCTGTCAGGCAGGGCCCTGAAGCGTGAACCTGAGTGTCTGTGATCACTTCCGCTGGTGTGTGACATCGGGCCAAACGAGCGCCTCCCCCTCATTTTCCATGGGAGCAGAGAGCAAAGGGGAGTGCTTGCGTGGTCCTCACTGCCACCCCAGCAAAGAGGGTCCGGAGAGTTGACTTGGGCCGCAGGTGGCTGTGGCAGAGACATCCCTGGGGAGCGTCTCACCCTGGTCACCTGTGCGGGCCTCAGAAGTCCGGCGGGCCACTGACGAAGACGCTGGAGCCCCCTCCCCCCTCCTTGTCTTTGTGTCAGGAGGGCACCTGGGAGACCAGACCCGTCTCTGTTGTGTGTTGCTTGTTCTGTGTGCCTTGTGAAGCCGCTCCGCCACCCTCCGTCCTCCCCACTCATCTTGCTTTTGCTCCGCAGGTCGAAATGAGAAGGGGCAGCTAGGACATGGTGACACCAAGAGAGTGGAAGCTCCCAGACTCATTGAGGGTCTCAGCCACGAGGTGATTGTGTCAGCAGCCTGTGGGCGGAACCACACCCTGGCCTTGACGGGTAAGGGATGGCTGGTTTCTGTGAGTGGCAAGAGGTCAGATGGTCCTCTTTGGGTCCAGGGCAGGGTAGAGTTGCCCCTGTGACCCTTGGGCACCATCAGAAAGATGCCCCAGCGAGCCTGGGTGGGTGCTCCCAGGAGGCGTCCAGGGCCTCACCCACCGGCGGCAGAGGCCAGAGCTGTGTGCTGTGAAACGGCTTTGCTCTGAGCCAACCCCTCCACCCACCGCGTTTTGGAATAAATACCTTCTTTGCTTGCATCCTTCTGGCAAAGGAGCTGCTTTTATTATTTGGGAGCCCTTGATTCCAGATCTAGTTCAGAGCCCTCGGCATTATTCTCCCTTTCGTGGTGTCATTCTTTCCTTCCAGAAACCGGCTCCGTGTTTGCGTTTGGAGAGAACAAGATGGGGCAGCTGGGCCTGGGCAACCAGACGGACGCCGTCCCGAGCCCCGCACAGGTACCTCGCCCTCCTGTGCCCCGCCAGCCTTTTGCGCTTGACTTTCTGGGACGAGAGCGTGGGTTTCTCTTGATTCCTCGTTCAGAGTCTAGATGCTTTGAGTGGAATTCTATGCTGTGATGTATGTCTGGCATTGGAAAAAAAAAACCAGAAAGCAGAGTTTCCTTCTGAATGAAATAATTTGTTACAGAGGCCTCGTCTGAAGCCTGTTCTGTCCCAAAGAAAGGAGGAAATGTTGTGTGTGTCATTCGTCTTTATCTGCCAGTCGTTGCCTGCCAGGTTGCCTGGAACACAAATAGGAATGAGTTGGAGGGGCGGGGCTTACACCTAAAACAGGAACTCATACAAGGCAGCAGGATGCTAACGAGTGTCTGACCAGTGGTTTCACGATGGAGGGATGCAGGTTTCTTGGCCTTAAAAAGAGACGGCGGCCAAGCCGGTCTGTGGTTTGAAGGATTTTTGAAGCGTTCCTGTTGTGTCAGCCATGTGCTCCTGATCAGGATGGCAGGGTTTCCAGAGTCTCCACCCCGTCCCCAGTTCCAGCACAGATCTGCCCCCGGTGCAGATCTCCCTCCCCGCTGTTACTTCGTTCCCCCCGCTTGTCACGGACTGTCCCGGACGCAGCTAGAGTGCAGTAAATAGCACGGTTTCCGAGTGCTCTCTGAGATTTGCTTTCCAATCCCATGTTCAGTTACTCGGGGCCTTCGCTGGCTTCTAACTTCTAATTGTGAACCAGTCTGTTTCTTGTTCATACCGTTGGTCAAATGTCTTTGCAAGGGTAAAGGAGAACGGTTGGCAGTAACACTTACAAAAGCTTTTCTTTGAAACGTTGGGGCTGAGCCTAGTGACTGGAGTGAGATTTGAGGGTTGTGATGGTGAGTTTCCCTTGTCTTCCACACTCACGCCCACACCGGTCAGTGGAAGTCAGCCTTCATGGGCCACCAGGATGTGCGAGGCCCAGTGCTGGCTGTTCTGAGCGTCAGAGTTACAAACACCTGGGACACCACTTACCTGTCTTTGAACTTGACTCTAGTGGGAATGTAGGGGTCCCCAGGGTGTTTCTTTACGTATACCCTAAGCTTTTGCCTTCAGAATGGTTGAGTCCATTACATTTCCTCTGTAGTCCAGTAATTGTTTCAGCACCAACAGAAAGGTAGAGACTTTTTAATCAACCTTTTAAAGCCGTGTCTGAAAGTCTCTTGTCTTTTCTTTTCAGATAATGTACAACGGCCAGCCAATTACCAAAATGGCCTGTGGGGCTGAGTTCAGTATGATAATGGATTGCAAAGGAAACCTCTATTCCTTTGGGTGCCCTGAATACGGTCAGCTGGGTATGGAAGTGTATTTTTTTTTAAAAGCTCTGTGATCTAACTGTATATTTAGAACCCGAAGTCAGTGTGGGGCTGCACACGTGTCAGGAATGTGGGTAATTGATCTCAGATAATAGCCCTGGTCCCTTAAGTGGATCTCACGCTTAGTGGAACAGCGTGTCCTAACTCACAGGGCTGGGGAGTGTTAGTTACAATGACTTGCCTTAAAGAAAAAGGGCAAGTCTGACAAAAGGTGCTTTATTCTGATTTGGGAGTTCATGGATATATACAAGGATTTCAAAGGGGAAAGGGGGCACCAAACCACCCTCATTTCGTTCTATATTTAAAGATGGGCTTTTGTGGAAAATGAGGAAGTGACTGACGCGAGGTTCAGGCTGTTCTGGACCCCCTGGCCTGGGCCAGCATTTGTGGTACACACCTGAGGAGCCACGTGCAAAAGCGACTGGGAGCCCTTCTCGTTTTCATCCCTAAACAAGAGTACTCATCCAAAAACGTGTACTTACAGCTCATTGAGTGAAGACGGGAAACTCAGGGAGCAGTTCTCACCACTTCTCAGGATATCTCTCCATCCTGATTTCGTAGGGTCTCCATTTTCTTTTCCCACCTGACACCAAAGCCTTTTTCCCCTTCCTGGTGCCGCCGCCCCACCCCCACCCGCCCCTTCTGAGTGGGAGGTGAGGCGTGGGCGCCCTCTGCTGGCTCCCTGCTGCATGCCGCTCTGGGCCCTCGCCCCCGGATCTGGGTTGCTGGGGCTGCGCGTCATCACAGCAGGCAGATGGAAGGCTGCATAAATAGAAGGAGGAGCGTCTCGCTGGCCTTAGACTTCAGGGAACAGTGACTTTGGGAAACTAAATATACCTCAAGTCAGACATGAATAAGAAAGAACAGCCCCTTACGTACGTACATTCAGTGCCGGTTGCCAGGGAGTTGCCAGAGACCATTGGAGAAAGCGTTTCCATAGCCACAGGCCCGCATGCGGTCCCCAGCCCTGAGCTAAACGCCAGAAGGGCGTTCTGGTCTACTTCCGGAACCGAGTGTGGCTCCCCTGCCGCCCGTGGCCGCCCCAGATCTGCAGAGAAGCGGCTTGTCACAACCCATCGGTTATCCTTCAGGGAGAACCCAGCGAAGTTGGTGAGAACAGCCAACACGTAATTGCTGTGTACCAGTCACCATTTAAGTGCTTCATACAGCTCTCCTCTGCTTAGCTGATACTCGTTTAGAGATATTGAGAGACTGGCTTGCTTTATAGCTACAGCGTCAGTTATTCTTTACTGGCCAGCTTGTAAACCTCTTTTCAACCTCATTGTCCAAATCCAGAGCTATCCCTTCTGGGACTAGAACGTGACCTAGGAGAAGCGTATCACCAGCTCCCCCCTCCCCTACCCCCTATCACAGTACACTTACTGGGTCAGGCAAGACAAAGATGAGAATGTACCAGTTAACTGTTCCACCAACCATAATGATACATGTGGGTTACTGGTAATGCAAAAAAAGGCAGGTCTGGGGTTTTGTGTGGTGGACTCTTTGGACCGTCTTGGCCCTGTTCGGGGGCTTCTTGAGGCCCCCAAGTGGAACACAGACCATTCCTTGGGACCAGCACCTTCCAACTTGGTATCCTGTAGCCCACGGTGAGAAGTGCGCTCACCAACACAGCCCGATCTGAACACAGAAACAAACACAAGGTTACGCCCTTATTGCAGACCTTGGGTGTTTCTTGATTCATTTTGAAAATAACCGAATAACTGGTTTTGACCCACAAAATGGGCTTCATGGCCACAGACAGGGCTGTGCCTCAGATTGGAGGACGCGGCTTGATTGACAAAGGTGCCAGCTGGCCAGCCTGGGGCAGGTGCTTGGCTGGCTGCTGTGGCTAACAGGGCCCTGGGCCATGGCTGCTGCTGACCGCTGGCTCTGGCCACCACAGGACACAACTCGGACGGGAAGTTCATTGCCCGAGCGCAGCGGATAGAGTATGACTGCGAGCTGGTGCCCCGGCGAGTGGCCATCTTCATCGAGAAGACAAAGGACGGGCAGATTCTGCCAGTGCCCAACGTGGTTGTGCGAGACGTGGCCTGTGGCGCTAACCACACGGTAAGTCCTGAGTGTTCCTGATGTTGTCTTCCTGCGTCCTGCGAGTCCCCTCCGTGGGGCAGTGGCGAACACTCCTGTGTCCCAGCTGCCTTTGTAGCTTTCTTCCTGACTCCCACAGGCATGGCTGAGCACATGGATGTTTGGGGGGTCACACGTCGTTCTCTGCTTTGCTTCTGTCCAGCAGAACATCATGGGTGTCCCTCTGGGTGGATGGACAGTGTCCCATAGGGAGATGCTGACTGGTTTTCATAAATCATATTTTAATGATGAAAATGGGTTCCATGAAGTCACTTGAGGTAAATGGCAATGCACTTTGTGTACAAATACAATCTCAGCGGCCTCCTTGCAGCTGCTTCGCTGAGAATGCCCGTGAGTCGCGCACAGCCCTTTTCTCTGTTGAAAGAGCGCAAGGCTGGGAGTCCAGGGGCCAAGCTGGTGTCCTGGGGGCTGCTGTGCAGCTGGGTGACCTCGGGCACTGCCCCGTCCCGGGTGTCTCCCTCCCGGTCTGATGCGCGGGGGCTTGGACCAGGAGGTTTCGGTTGTTCCAAGTCTGGAAACAGCCTCATCGGGTTGTCCTAGCAGTTTGTGTTTCACGTGATTCAGACGTTAAACACCAGAGGTACTAGGAAGTAAAGAACACTTTGTATTGTTGGAACGTCCATGTGCTCACTGCACCAGGGACCAGGGGGTCACCTGCACATACGGGGCTGGGGAGTCTAAAGACAAGCGTGGCGGGAAGCCTGCCTGGTCCTTTGTGCAGTTCAGTCAGTGTCATTGGGAAATGGTGTGTCCATCTGCTCCGGGGATGTAGCCCCTTTCTGGTGAGGGAAGGGAAAGACATGTGAGTTAAGGAACAAAACAGAGTGTCCCTGGCACAGGCAATGGCCCGGTCCTCGTGCCGCTGCTGCTGCTCCTGCTGCCTCCCCACCCGTGGAGGCAGGTGACGGGACAGTCTCTTCGTGTTTGGGGCCCTTTGCCCTTAGCCACCGCACCAGGTTCTCCGGAACAGAAATGAGGACTCCTGCCAGCCCTCCTGCCGGCAGGCCTGTCCCCCACCCTGTGTCATCTCTCCCGCAGCTGGTCCTTGATTCCCAGAAACGTGTCTTCTCTTGGGGCTTCGGCGGCTATGGCCGGCTGGGCCACGCCGAGCAGAAGGACGAGATGGTCCCTCGCCTGGTGAAGCTGTTCGACTTCCCTGGGCGTGGCGCGTCCCAGATCTACGCCGGCTACACCTGCTCCTTCGCCGTCAGCGAAGTGGGTGAGTGAGGTCGTGGTCTGCCTCCGCGGCAGAGGCGTGCCCTGGTGCCCTGTGGGAGCCACAGCCGCTGTCCGCTCCCGGGGCCAATGATGGCTGCTTCCCGGTGTCCTTTCGTGCACAACACTGCTTTGTCACTGGTGCAAGGTGTCTCGCCTGACAGTCCCAGCCCTGTTCCCTGTGTCATTGGTGTTGCCGAAGGGGAGAACTCAGCTCACAGGGGTCCGTGGATTATCTTTCTCCAGGTGGTCTGTTCTTCTGGGGGGCCACCAACACGTCCCGTGAGTCCACCATGTACCCGAAGGCCGTGCAGGACCTCTGTGGCTGGAGAATCCGGAGCCTGGCTTGTGGGTACGTGGCCGTGGCTCCTGCGAGGCAGGGCATCCACCCCTCCTGGGGGTGTTGGACTTACGGGGGGGGTTGCCCTTGGGAGGGTTCTGCTGTCCATCGGAGCATCAGGTAGACTGAACCCCGAGTCCAGGAGGCGGAGCTGTGCTTGTTAGGGGGGCAGCGGTCCTGGAGCAGATGACTTGCTTCCCTTCCTCCAGGGAAAGTCACTTGGAAAGGCGCTTGGTGTGCTCTGCTCATGCGACAGGTTCAAAGTTACATTTAGGGACACGTGGTGGGGTTTCAGTGGCTCTGACACTGAAACTGTGGCTGGTAAGAAATCAGAGTCTGTGGCTGTCACGTCAGCTTGAGACCCTGGTGAGGTGCCCGGCAGTTCTTGCTCAGGAGTTCCCAGCTGGGTTGCGGGGGGAACACCAGTGGGGGTGGCTTTCATCTGCTGCAGCCTCTGGTCCTGCCCAAATAATTGTGAGGTGCCACCCCCTTTGGAAGGAGCTCCACGTTGTCCCTATTTGGTCCCCTTTTTCCAGTGTGTTCACTCAACTGTGACACCCCCGCCCCCACCCCTGAGAGTCCTAGAACCCCGCGCAGAGGTGAGGCAGGCGGGTCAGGGTCCCCTGCGAGGCCCTGCAGTTTGGGCCCAGGAGGTTCAGAGAAACCTGGTAGCCCCCCTGCCCTGCATTACCAGGAAGTGAGAGCACCTTGGAGTTTTAGTGGACGCACTTGACTTTAAAACTCACACGTCACACCACGTTCTTGAGCTGGCAGCTGGATCAGGTCCAGGGCCTGGGCTGCCGGCCGTCTGCTGACCACCCACCTCCGCTGTTTGCAGGAAGAGCAGCATCATCGTGGCCGCGGATGAGAGCACGATCAGCTGGGGCCCGTCACCGACCTTCGGGGAGCTGGTGAGCTGGCCCCCACGCTGCAAGAGGCGGCCCAGTCTGGGCTCGCCGAGACCGAGTCCTAGAAATACACCGACTGGGGAAACCGGCCGTTCCCTTATTGTGCGAAGGCCGGTCGTAGTCCCCAGTCTCTGAGCACTTCCGCGCTGCGCCGTCGTCAAACACAGTTGACCCTCGGACGGTGCGGGTCCACTTACACGCAGGATTTGTTTGGTCCGCTGCGGGTCAACAGACCTGTGTCGGGTTATAGCCCCACGGGTGGGAATCCGCACGTGCAGAGGGTGGGCTAGTGACACGCAGATTGTCAGCTTTGGGGTAGACTGGTCCCTAACCCTACCCCCTCTCCCCTCATTGTTCAAGGGCCAGACAACTGAAGGGGCTTTGTGGCCACGTTGTGACATGGGAATCGGGCAGGATTGAGTCCCGGGCCCCCTGCATCTTGTAAACCGTGGGTGTGGTGCGAGGGTGATGGGAAAGGCCGGGCCCCCTGGCCCCTCCAGGGTGGGAGGGAGCCTGAGCGAGGGGAGCAGCGGGACCTTTCAAACCGTGTGGTGGGTGCACATCGAGTCTGCTGCTTTCCTCTGGGTCCTCGGAGCCTTTTTAGCTCCGTAAACAGCCCTCGCCGGTTCATGGAGCAGTGGCCACCTGGCCAGCCTCTTAGGTCACTGGAGACACCTTCCCTCGTTTTTCCTAAGTTTTAAGTGTGTTCCTGGCTTTTTCACAGTTAGGTGAGTGGTCAGACCTGGTGCTCAGTTTCTCCCACGTACTTGGCCTTCCCCAGCCACGTGCCTCTGCTTCTCAGGTGCTGCTGCTTGGGCAGCCCAAACTTCTCCTCACCTGGAAGGAAGGCGGGGCTGGGGCTCGCCCTGGGGTCCGCCTGTCCTGCCTGTGGTTTGGTCCTCTGCTGGGCTCGTGTGCTTCCTGCTGGGAATGCAGTCCATCTCTCCTCCCTCCTGTCACGGACGGGGGCTGGTGGCATCGTGGAGGCGAGGGAAGAAGGGCTGGATCGCTTGAGCCGTCTCTAGGACTGCTGGGGTGAACGTCTCTTTTCCTGGGTGCTGGGTACCCACCTTCCGCCTGGTGGCTTTGGAGGGGCCCCACGGGGCCTGAGAACCTGGCCCAGTTTTGATGGATTGATCCTAGGGAAGGGGCCTCTCAGAAATACAGACTGTCAACTTGAAAGCTGAAGGGGAAAGAGAGGGCCTTTCAGGGCAGCCTCTCGGGGTGAGAAGACAGCACAGCACTTGGAGGAGCCACTCACTGTGGGCGAGGCATGGGGCGGGGCCCGGTGGCACCAGGTGCTGGGGAGGGAGGTCTCCTCACCTGCCCTGTGTGTCCCTCTGTTAGAGCTGAGCTGGGGGGTCTGCCGGCTTTGAAACCACCCACCTCCTCGCCTGCGACCTGCCCCGGGCCCTCCCCCCAGCAGTCCTTGACCAATCTCGTCCCTGGTCAGGCGATGATGGTGTCATCACTGATAACAGGTGGTGGGCGGGTAGACGGCCAGCCTTCTTTGTGACCTTGTAGCCCTAAAGGGCGGTAGTGGCCATTTCTTTCTGGGCTCATGATGGTGTTTTCTCGTTAGTGAGACGTCTCCAAAGGTACCTGTTATCACAGAGATCCCCAGGGGTTACAGGTGAGCCTCTGTCCTCCCCAAGTTGAGAAATAGTCACATGTTGGCAGCACATTTTGTGGGTGAACATTGGTCACGTGGCCTGGCCCCTCGTGTCTGAGGACAGTAGGGCTCAAAAACAGAGGCACCGGGCTCTGGCTCCGGTCAGCGGGTGGCCGCCATGCCCTTCCGGCCCGTGCCACAGGGACCCGCAGGTCTGTGAGCGCCCCCTCCGCTTGCTTTGCCAGGGCTACGGGGACCACAAGCCCAAGTCTTCCACTGCAGCTCAGGAGGTGAAGACCCTGGACGGCGTTTTCACAGAGCAGGTGAGCCGGGCCCTCTGTGCTGCTGGGGGAGGCCATGCCCTCTGCACCTCGCCGTCCTGGTTCCGGTCTTTTTCTGATGCGTAGCCGCCGTCCACAGGACGCACAGAGGCGTGCTGGCCAGGCCTCTGTCGTCCTTCTTTCTCACCCTGGACGACGCTGGCCCCGGTTTGGCCCCAGGTGGTTTTGCTCCAGGCTGACTCCCTCTCTCACATCGGCCTCGTAGCTGTCCCCGAGACTGCCCACCCTTAGGCTGGGGGCAGGTGGTGGGCTGAGGCCCCTTCTCTGCCGCTAGGTCTACCAGGCCACCAGCTCTGCCTGCCGAGACGCAGGCCATGTGTGTGCCTTCCCACGAGGCAGGGCTGTGGTCCAGGGAGGCAGACGGAACAGAGTGGGACCCGTGTGTCCCCACTGGTCCCTGCTGGCAGGTGGTGTGGAAGCCCTGCTGGGTGGGCTCCCGCCATCTCCTCCTCAAGACAGCTGGGAGGCGCTGGTGGCCGGGTGTTGGTGACAGGCACGTGAGACGTCACCTTCGTAAAGGGTTTTTCATGCATTTTCAGGCGTCCTCCATGTTTCCCATACTGACCCAGTTTGCCCGCCCAGCTGGCTAGTGTCCCGTCTGCTCCAGACGCAGTGTGACATGCCTGTGTGCCGGTGTCACACCCAACACTGATCTGTCCCTCCAGGTTGCCATGGGCTACTCACACTCCTTGGTGATAGCAAGAGATGAGAGTGAGACCGAGAAGGAGAAGATCAAGAAGCTGCCAGAGTACAACCCCCGCACCCTCTGATTGCCCCGGAGCCTCCCACTCCACACCTCGAGGCAGCTGTCATTTCCACGTGCACTGGGACGGGAAGTCAGACGAGGGATTGAAACGAGCGGAAGTGGACTGAAGGTGCATTTTTGTTAGACTCCCTGAGGTTCCGTTTTTTAAGTGATTCAACGTCAACTACCTTTTCTGTATGCTTTCCAAAGTGTTTTTCCTCTCTTGATGTTTAATTAAAGTATTTGCTCATAGTTGACTTACCATTCCTACAAGAGGCAGAAACTTTGAGCAATCTAGGGTTTTGTTCTGTTTTTTAAGTTTCTCTGCCCCTGCTTCCCAAATATACTTCTCAAAACTCCCCTTTTCGATTGTAATCAGCATTGTGGTCCGAGTGGGTGCACCCTGGGACAGCAGTCCCCGTTTACTTAGAAAACAACGTCCCTTATGGGAACTGGCAGCATTATTGGCAAAGAGGGTCCCTGGTGGTCCAGCTCTGTCCAAAATCATGCCCACGTGCTTCGGGAGCACCTGGGTCACTCCCTTCCTGCCTTTTCCTGTAGACCAGCCTCCAGCCTTGGTTCTCTTTTCCCGTGGCTGCTTGCAAGCCCCGCCCACCACCTTGTGGCTGCACCATTAATAGAACTTGCCATTTCCCCCCTGGTGGGGGCTGTGGGTATGTGTTTAGCCATTTATATCTATTTTATCTGTAAATGAAGTCCAAGTGAAAATCAGGTGATCATGGAACCAGTAGGGGGTGGGGGGTGCAGTTGTGGGTCATCGTACCTGGTTCAAGAACCAGCTTTAAGGTTCCTCTGAGGAGCCGGGGCCGCCTCGCCAGCATTCGCCATTAGAGATTGACTAGCCAGCAGTAAAAAGTGCATTCTGCAGTCCTTGTGAAGAAGGACCAGCCCTCCTGTACCAGCCTTTATCGCCTTGTGCTTCTGTTTTTACTACCCCCCACCCCCCACCGCTGGGTCCAGCTTGGAACGGCCCTGTGTGTTTCCGAGGCTCGGGTTCCAGTTCTGCCATCCCAGCTCTGTAGTCACCTGTGCTTAGCCGTGGTACCAAATAGTTGGGATGATGAAGTCCTTCTTCCCCGCGTGTCAGCGCAGATGCTGGGACTGCCACCCAGCTCCCCACCAAGTGCCCTCTGCCCGAGCCCGTCCCCGGCGTCCCGCTGCCCTGTGTGCGTTACGAGGTGCCTTTCCCAGAACCCTCCTCTCACTTGGACCCGAGAGGCGACAGCTGTGGCTGGGGCTCTTGGTTCCGAGATGGTCTGGACTGGTTTGGGTGCTTTAAATAGATGTTTTAGTTCAGCGGTGCTTCTGGGGAGAAGGGGGTAGAACTTCAGTGTGAGACTTGGGTGGATGGGAAAGTTAAATATTGGTCTTTATTATTTTTGCTTTGCTATTGTTACCACTTGTCATTGTCTTGATGTTAAAATGCCAAAAATGAACTAGTTGTTGCTTTTTTTCTTCCTACTCGTCCCGTTCCTCCTTGCAGTGGCTTCTGCCTGGGCAGGGCTTGTAGGAGCGGTCTCTGTTCTGGCCAGTCGTGAGGGGACGGCCCACATCTGAGACTTAGTCTGACTTCACGCTCATCTCCGCTGTCCTGTGTTCAGTCGATAGTCCAGGGGAGAAGCTTCTGCCATTTCAGAGCTTCTGCTAAACTGACCTGGTTTGTCCAAATCACCCCTAAGCCACCGTCTCCAACTCAAGCTTCCGCACGTGGACCCGTTTCCCCGGACAAGTCTCTTTCCTGACGTGGGGGCAGGTGCCTATGTCCCTGCCCCCGCACAGCCGCCCCGGCGGTGCAGTCGCTGAGCGAGTGCCAGGTGCAGGAGCCGCCCTTGGCCAAGCAGGGCTTCGGTCTTCCAGTGGACTGAGAGTCTGCAGCCCCCGCCAGCCGATGCTAGAACCCCTTGCCAGGGACTGGAGCAGGAAAGGGATGCAGCTTCCAAGTGAAGCTGCCCTTTCTCTCCCACAATCACTCCTTTTGGCTTAAGAGTTTTAAAATGAACTTCCTACTGGGGGGAACTCCTACAGAACAAGGAGTTGGGGGGGGGGGCATCCTGCACTCCAAGAGAAAGGGACAGAGTGACCAGAGCTGAGAGAGGCATTGGCCGTGTCTTCCAGTTCGGGAGGAACTGGGAAGAAGAGGCTTAGAGTGAAGGGGAATCTAAGAGGAGGTTGTGATTTGGTCGAAGGTGCCTGGTTTAGTGCTGTAATTGTCTTATTTTTTTTATATATATTTCTTGGAGTAAACATTTTAAATAAACAACATCATTGTTTACTCTGTTTTGGCTTTTGCGCTTCCTTTTCAGTGGCACGGAGGTAAGGACACGATCGACTCCGGTTTTCCTCGGCTCCCCACACGTGCAGCCCCGTCCTGCCCGGGCCAGAGCTCTGCCAAGGGGCTGTCGCAGCAGCAGCCCAGGGCGACGGGTTTAGCTTCTCAGCTGAAACCATATTAGGGTTGGGAGGTCCCTTGTGAGGAGACGGCCAGCACCTGTCTTGCCCAAGTGGACTTTGTGTCCACCACACTGGGGCTTTGAGACCACAAGATGGGGCATGGAAGGCACCAGAACGGGAGGTGTTTGTCCAAAAACATCTAGTGTCAGTTGCTACCCTCCCCTACCCGCTTTTTAGAGGGGAGCCTTATGTCACTAGAGCATGGTCACAGATGTGCCCCTTCAGCCCGCACTGGCCCCTTACTTGCAGCGAGGTAAGCTGCCCACCAGGGGTACCGAGAGGCAAGCCGTGTGTTGGAGGCCCTGGCCTTTCTGTTCTGCCCCAGCTGCTCCTCCAGGCTTATTTGGCCGCACCGCACCAGCCACCAGGCCCCTGCAGCCCCTGACATTTCAACACCGCTCACTCCTTGGTGGGGCCTGGACACTGGCTGTTGACACCAGCAGACCTGCTCTCCCAGTGGGCGTTGCCCCACTCCAAACACCTGGACCCCCCGGGAGTGTCACAGCCCTGGGAGAGGCAGGGTGGGAACAGCCAGAATCATTCATTTGCTGTAGCGGCATTTTTGTGCCATTAAACACAAGGGCAGGTGGGCGGGAATAGATGGCCGTAGAGTAAGCATTTCCTCTCCTAGACACTTAGGCAGGCGTAATGGGAGTTGACCCAGGCCTGCCCCTGATGTACCCTATCTCCCAGAGGCTACACACCAGCAGCCCCCAAGAAGACCAGCGCCTGACACAGCCAGCTGCTCCCCAGGCCCGAAGGGTACCACCCCTCTTGGCCAGGCCTTCCTCGGCTGCAGCAGGCCCCTTGCCTTGTCTCTTCCCCCTGCCTGATCTGTCCCACTTGGCTCACGCTGCCGTACCTGGCCAGTCTCAGGTGTTTTTCTAGGGGAATGCAAGCAGTCTGATTCCCACCACTTCTCACTCGAGCCAGCATGAAGGGTGAGGCCAACAGCAACTTGTAAGCCCAGTGGCCTGCCCCCACAAGTAGGACAGCTTGGCCACTGCTATCCCACAGGTACCTGTGGAATCCCACAGGTATCCCTGCTCAGCTTTCCATCCGCCCCCGAACAAGGCGGCCGCTGCCAAAATGCACTCAGAACAGCTACAGCTTTAATAACCACTTATCAGCTGAAGGCCGTTTACGTTTCTCTCCAAGGGGTTCAGTCTGGCAGCCTTTGCCACCCCACTGGATTCCGAGGGACAGGAACAGGATATGGAAGGGGCATGGTGTCTCAACTCTCCAGCCTGAGCAGGGCAAGGGCAAGTGACCATGAGCCATTTGTGCTGGGCCTGGGTCTAAGGCACCATCCTCCACCATTTGTAGGCAAAGGGCACCCGGCGGACGTTGGCGCAGGAGCAGAAGTCTCCGATTTCAGTCATGTAGCAGTCAAAGTCGCTAATGAAGGTGCATTGGAAGCCCAGGGGCTCCAGCAACTGGCATATCTTCTCCTCCAGGCAGCAGGTGCCCATGATCTGGGGCCCAAAAGGCTTGGGGATGCCCAGGTTCTTGCCCATCACTATCAACTGCAGCTGTTGGAGAGACAGGGTGGGCAAGGCCTGGCCAGGCTGGAGCCGTGGAAGAAAGCCCCTGTCCGTCTAGGTTAGAAGTCCCATTGGGTTCGTGCAATGCAAAGGAAAACCCAACTGCCTCTGGCTGGACTGGACCAGAAAGGCCCCGCACATACCAGCACTTCCCCAGGTCTGTGTTCGTGCAGACATCACTAGTCAGTCCTGGCAAATCCAACTCACTCCTGCTTAAGCCTCCAATGGCCTCACCCCCGCAGGATTCAATAGTAAAACAAATCCTGCCTGGCCAAGGCCTGGCTCTGCCGGCTTCCCTGGTTCCTTCCTCTCCTGCATTTCTCGTTCTGGCCTTAAGTCCTGTTCTTCACAACCTTGCCTACCTCTGCTGGAATGTTCCCCCGCCCCTAGCTTTGTCATCTGACTGTCGACTCCAGCATCACTTCCTTAAAGCAACTCCCATCATGCCCCTCCCCCACACACCTGCTCCCAGGGCCTACACAGGTCTGGTAAAGTTAGCAGGTACCCACGTGTGGTTGGTGAATGCAAGGCCTGTGTCCCTGGGCCTCAGGGAAGAGGTCTGCTGGTGTTTGGGGGAACTGCTGAGCTCAAGTGTCAGAATGCGTGCTAAGTGGCTGCGTGGTGGGTCCCAGTGCGGGAGAAAGGTCAGACATAGGCCAGAGTCGGGTAGGCTCGGCTCAGCAGGGTCTCCTGTGTACTGCACGCCCCAACTTCTGCCCCGCAGTCTACATAGTAACTACCCTTATGAGTGTGAGCACTTCCCTGTTTCGGATGCTGCCCTGGTCCCAGGCTCTGTGGGAAGTCCTGTCGTGGGGACCTTGCCCACCATCTCAGCCAGCAGGTGGCTCAGCTACCCGGACACTGGTGGTGGCACTGTGTCCCAGTCTCTGAGCTGGGCTGCACGGTGACTTCCCCAGGGCCCAGCCATGGGCACTGCTTGGCAAGCCCCTCAGCCTGGGTCCTGCACACTGCTCCACGGGGAGAGGGGTCCTCCCTCCGCTTCCTCTCCGAGGCCATTGCCTGCTCTGCACCGCCCACCCCCTAGTCTGGCGCTGTATGTCCCGTCGGCCGAATGGTTCCCCACCCCCAGCTCCACCAAGGGGACAGCCCGCCAGCGAGCCTCTCACCAGGTTGGGGAAGAAGGGCCTGGCGTAGAGTTTCTCAGTCTGCTGGCTCGAGGGGACATTCCTCAGCGGCTCCAGACAGAAGAGCTGGGGGATGTCAATGATGTCGCTGTTCTGCAGACCCAGCTCCCACCTCAGGATTTGTCGGTTCAGGTTAATGCACTTCTGTGGGGCAGGTGGGCCAGGGCAGCCGTGAGTTCACGGGCGTGGAGGGCGGGGGCCTGCAGCAGCTCCCACCCTCCCATCGCCCCCCCCGTGTGGCGGAGCCTCACATGGCGCACCAGCCCTCTGATAAAGCAGAGTTTCCTTTTTCTGAGAGGAAGTGGGGGCTCAGTGTCAAGGCCTGGCCTCCAGAGGCCGGGCTTTCACAGCCAGTTGGCACTGCAGCAGCCACTGGCCCTCATTCTATGGAGCTTGGGTCCCCCTTTAGCCCTCAATCCTGGCTGGGGTGAGGGACCTGGGCAAGGACAGGGGACCTGGGCAAGGACAGGGGATAGGGGGACAGGGGATAGGGGGACAGGAAATTCTGCTTCCCTCCTGAAGAAGGGACAGGAGGAGTGGTTCCCACTTGGGCACTTTCCTGCTCAGGTCGGGTGATGCTCAGCGCCCGAGCATCTCTCTGGTCTGACATAGGGCACGACCCCTCCGCCCAGGGCACTGTCCAGGGTTGTTTTGACACCAGACCTGGCCAGTACCTACCCTGCTGTGCCAGGAGGCCTTCCCTGCTTTAGCAAAGGTCAGAGCACCAGTGCTCTGTGGCACTGGATGTGCCTTGGCTGGGAGCCAGAGAGAGCCAGAGGACAAAGCAGTTTTGTGCCAACTGTGTGACCCCAGGCAACTCCACCCTCCTCCAGGCCTTGGCCTCCCTTCCAGAAGTCAGGTAAGCTCGTCAGGTAAGCTCTTCAGGGAGCTCCTGTGCTTCCCACAGCCCGCGACCCACATTTGCAGACATTGCTGGATTCTGGACACCGAGCCGATGGGCCCGAGCATGGAGAAGGCCCTGGTCTGTTCCTGTCTCAGGTACTTGGCTTCTTGGACAAGTCAGGGGTGGGGTCCCCCGCCCAGAGGCTGCTGAGCTCTGGCCCTGTTTTCTGGCCCAACCCCGTGAGTGACGCAGTGAGTGAAGCATGAACATGGTAGTCCCACAGGTTCAAACCCAGGACTCCAAGTCATCAGCTTAGACCAGTGACTTGACTCCGAGCCTGCCTATCACACACGGGTGGGTGTGGCCTCACGGGGTTATTCCGAGGACCACAGTAACGAACGCATCTTGCATGCTGCTGGGGCTACAGTAGTTGCTCAGTTAGGAACTCATCTAGATTGTCATTGCCTCCCCCCACTTTCTGGAGAAGGTCCCCCACATTCTCAGCCCCTACCTCCACATAGTTATTCTGCTTTCTCAGGTTTTCATCAGCCAGAAGTTGATTGATGGTGCTGTAATGCCTCCCTGGAGGAAGAAGGAGAAAGCAGGCAGGCGTGTAAGGCCAAGGAGCAGGCAGCAGTATCCAAGGCTGGCCAGACTCAAGCCCCAGACACAGTTGACTGTGTGTATTCTTGGGCCAGTGACTAGGGTGGGTGACCTGGCTAGTCTCTAGGGACTGAACAGGGGCCTTGAGAGGCCAGGCAGGACTTTTCCTAGCCACTCTGTCCTTGGCAGGACGGAGAGTCCCTGCTTGGGAAGCAGCTTAGAGCAGGTCCCGCAGGTGGCGTCAGCCCCACCCACCTCTGACCTGTACAACCGGGCTACCTGCTACCTGTGACTTTGACCAAGTTACTGAACTTTGCTTCTCAGTTGCCTTGTCTCTCGAACAGTTCAGCTGAGGTAACACCAAGTGTCGCATATGACACATGGTTCATGCTCAGTAAATGCCCCCTCCATAGTGCTCCCGGGATCAGGAGACCCGGACCCCATCCCAGAAGTTGGTTGGGGGAGGTCTGGGGTGCGGCAGAAACTGCCTCTGTAACAGGCTCCCAGGTGGCCCTCAGACCACACGCTGAACGGCAAGGGCCTGCAGGACTTCCCGCCACCTGCCACCCCGTGCCAGGGCTCCCACATGCTAGAAGAACCACACGTGGCACCAGCTACACGACCTCCTCCAGTCTCTGTTCTCCCTAAGGGTGACCGGAGACCCCTGAAGCCCCAATCCCTGGGGTGCTTAATCCAGCATTCCCTATGTAGTTCTGGAAACTAATGCTAGCTTCTGGCCCTCCCCCTTCCCCACCCCGCTGAGCTATCGCCTGCTGGCTGAGTCCCCTTCACACGTTCTGGCAGCCTGAGCCACCCCAGAACTTCTGATCTGCCTGTGCTGTCCCAGCACCCCCAGAATAGCCCAGAACTGGAAGAAGATGTTCTAACAGGGTACATGCTATGCTTTGATGTCTCCCTAGGACCCTTTCTTCCAGGAAAGACAGTAAAATGATTCTGGAACGGATACATGGGGAGGAGGGGACAGGCCTCCGCTCTGTAGCTGAGTGGTTCCCTTACCGTTAGAAAGGAGCTTATCCTCCCGGACTTCTTCAAACAGAGGCATGTGTCCATAGCCCTGCTTCTGCTTCTCCTGGAAGAGTCTGTAGCAGGAGCTGGGGCTGGCCAGGAGCAGCCAGAAGCCCTGGGAGACAGGGAGCTAGGGTCAGACGCTAGCTTCCCCCACCTTCTGGAAACCTCTAAGGGTCTCTAAAAGGCGGGAGACACCCTCTGCAGCCCCCAACACAGACCTTTTCGTCCTTGCTCTGGACCGGTGAGGGGAGGAAGCACATGAACTCGTCCACGTGGCCGGTCATCAGCCAGTCTGAGAAGATCTCCACCGGGGCCTGGACTTGCTGGGCGTCTAGGAAGCCACGCAGTTCTTTACTCATGTCCCGGCCCTCCCTGCTAAAGGGAAGAGGGAAGGAACAGCCCTTGAACCAGCGTAGTCCTGGTTTGCCGCTGAGTGCCAGGCTACCTTCAGGTAACCAGCTACTCTAACCACCTATCAGGCTCCAGTGACAGCCCACAGGGGTGGGGTGGTAAGAATCCCTTACGCACCCCCTGGCCGGTACGGCTTTGCTGGTCGGAGCGTTACCCCAAAGATAGATCACTGGTTCCATTCCCAATCGGGGCACATGCCTGGGTTTCAAGTTAAGTCCCCGGTCAGGGTGCATGCAAGGGGCAACTAGTTATTGATATTTCCCTCCCTTCCCCCCTCTCTGAAAATTAATAAAAATCTTTTAAAAACCCTTTGTTAGGGTCCAATTTAGCACTGAGCCAAGAGATTCTAGAAAAAAGACTGGACCTCGGTCCTCAGTATTTCCTGGCTGTAAATTAATGGCCACCAAGAAGTGGTGTAGCTTTGAGGGAGGCCACCTAGAAGTCCACATCTTGTGGAAGTGACATCCTGTGGGGTCAACAGACCCACTGAGTTCGGCTCGCTTCCGTTTAAACCTGGGAATCACCACTCAGAATATCTGTCTCTCCCTTTAGTTTCCCATGTGAATCGCAGACTCAAATATCCTTTACCCGAGAGTCTAAGGAATGGCCCAGGCAGGTGGCCTACTGGGTCGCAGGGGAGGCAGGTGCAACTGGGTGACCTACCAGGGTTCCTTTAGTTCTAAGACACCTGGCCACCCGCCACCTGACCGCTTGCCTCACCTGACCACTTGCCTCACCTGGGGTAAAAGCTGCTGCCAATGAGGATCCTGCCTAGAGGATACTCTTTCCCTTCGAACTTGACTGGCGGGGACACCATCAGGTTCCCAATGGAGTCCATGCTGGCCACCCTGTGGTCCTTGGCGTACCGGATCATGTAGCCAACCCTTGGGCTCTGGAAGCAGACCCAGCGGGGCGGGGGTGTTAGGAGGGATGGGATTTAAGCCCCAGTCTCACCCCTAATTCAGACTCTCAGGCTCCCACGCCCCCCAAGGCCACCTGGGCCCTCCCCCTTGGCGCCCCCATCACTTCCAGACAGGCACCAGGCCCGAGCGGTCAGACCGAGTTCAGATCAGCCAAACCGAGCCCCACACCAGTGAGTATTTCATGGGGAAATCTTCGAGCCTCAGGAGCCGAGGGGTGTCGAGAACCAGGGACACAGTCTTGTGGGGAGCCTGGGTGTAGCAGAAGGCCATCTCGTCCTGGAGGGGACAGGAAGACGAGCTGTGATGTGTGCTTCCCACAGCTGCTTTCCTGCCCGCGTCCATCTGGCTGGCCAGGCACAGTGTTCCCTGTACTCGGGCCACCTCCAGAGCAGGGCGGGGGTTGGGTAGCAATGGGAACATGTCTTCCTTCCAACACCTGCTCAGCTCTCGGAACTCAGCTCAGGAACGCCACCTTTTGGGGGGCTTTTCTCAACTCATTCTCCCATTCAAGTTTAACTGTGAGCCACGTCCATTCTTCCTCCTCTCATCTTTTACCCCCATGAACACACCTCCCAGGCTTCCTTTCTAACACACATTAGGATCGGTCTCACCTAGAAGCCACGTGGGAGAACCGCTGTGGTCTCTTCCCTAAGTTACTACCATGCCCTCCGACTGCCTTCTCACCTATTCTTGTCCTGAGACCTGATCTCTCTCTCTCAGCTGAAGGGGTCCTTTCAGCCCCGAGTCAGAACGCTCACAGCCCTGATTCGCGCTGTCCGACATCATCCTGTCTTGCTCTGGATGTGTTTCTGCTCCTCACCTTGGCTTGGAGGGCCCTGGTACATGACCTGCACCTGACCTCTTTGCTCTGACCCAGCTGCCCAGCCCATTTCTGCAGTCTCCCAAGGGCGGCCCCCATTACGGTCTTCAGTCAGCCGCTCCTCCAGCCCGGGGGCCTCCTGCTCCCAGTCTGCCCTGCAAGCCCAACCTTCACAAGGCCAGTTCTGTTTCCTGAGTCTGAAGGTTGTCCTGGTCTCCCCAGAGCCCTGGTGGGACCAGTTGCTCTGCCACATCTCGTCTGCACAGCACTTAGAGCTCCATCTTTGCTAGATCAGGGGCAGTGGGGTCCGCTCTTCTGATAGTCAAAACAGTGCCGGCACGCAATGATCACTCAGCTCCTCCTGGAGAACAGTGCACCAGGAGGAGTTCCTGCTCTGCCAGGCTCAGACCCTTCAGGTGCTTGGGGGTCAAGGGCATGTGTTCTGTGGTCTTGACCGCACATGCACCCTGAGTTAGGAGAAGCTGAACTCTAAGCTCTGTATTCCTTCGTGGCTGTGACTCGGACAAGTCATTTCATCGGAGCCTCCAGTGAGGTTCTAAAGATAAAGATGCCTCGGGGGCTTACACCTCACTGGGAAGGTCAAACGGAAGCCTGAGATGCTCATCGTATGGGCTGCCATCGGGAACCCTACTGGCAGGGTTCCCCAGGTGGGCTGTTACCTGGAGCCACCTGCCCAGGCGGTTGGGGTCCTCGTACACAAACGCCACCTGGCAGCTACTCTTCTCACTGAGCTCCGCCACTGTGTCCACGAAACCCTGGACCTGCAGCTCTCTGTGGAGGGAGATGAACCACCTCTGGGAAGGCCTTCAAGGCTGCCCCCCTCCCCCTGGGTCATGACCTTGCTGTTGTCCCAGGGGAAGGGGGCACCTCTTTCTGGTCAAGATCATGTCCTCACCCACAAGATAAGCAGAGTGGCTGTCCCCCCACCTCATGGGGCATAAGCCGACAGCTCAGCGTGTCTTGCCCAGCACCATTTGGCTTAGCTCACGGCAGTGTCTGGTCAGGAACTATCCATATCGGTCCCCACTCTGGGGGCCTAGGTCCCTCCTCTGTCCTTATCCCACAGTCATTCTCTACAAGCTCCTTCTGGCCCTGCCCCAGGCAGTTTGGGGGCCACCCCAGGCTCTTCTGCCTCAGTCTCCCCAGAGGGCGGGCTCTTCTCTCCCCGAGGGGGTTGCATTTTCCCCAGAGATGTCAGGACCTCAGGAGTCCCCCTGTGAGCTGACCACCATGGCTGTCATTTGTATGGGTAGCAGGAGTTGGGGCTTGAAGCCCGGGATCTCAGGGCCATGGTGCACAGCACTCTGGGCACCGTCCTGCAGGTCCACGCTGAGCATCTGTTCCTTGGAGATAAACAGCAGTGTGGGAGGCTATGTAAGATGACCACCGTCTTACAAACAGACCCTCGTGACTTGCGTACGGGCAAGGCCACGCTGAGAAATGTCGAAATGGGTATTCTAATCCTATTCCTGATATAAAACATGTGTGGCCAGTCATCACTCCTGTTCCAAAAACACTTTCTCGGGTCTGCAGGCCCACAGGGAGCTAACCACCCTGACGAGGTCTAGAACAGTCTTGGGGGTGGGTTCTGGGTGTCTTGGCCTTCTGTGGCTAAGCCAGGTCAAGCCGTGCCTGCAGACTCCTGCTGTGGGAGGCTCCCAGAAGACCCAGGTTCCCCCAGGTGCCTCCTGTGAGTGAACAACTTGTCTTCAGATACAAAAGACAAAGTAGCAAGAGGTGGTGTTTGCATGCGTGTTATCAGCAAAAGTCCTGGAGCCCTTCCCTTGATGGTCTCGTTCTAAAACCTGCCATTCCCGAGGACCCTCCAACCCTAGCTGCCCTCCTGTGGAAGGGCTCTTTCTGTTTGGTACCCCATGCGCCTGGGGGAGGGGTTCCTCCTTGCCATGTGTTGCTACATCTGGGTCATCGAAGCCTCTTCGGTCTTTGACTTGACAGCCCTTATTATCTACCTCGCCCCAGCCTCCTCCCACCAATCACACCCCCTCCAAGGTCTCGACCTAACGTCCAGCTCCATCAATTCCATCCTCCCTGCTCGCCCCGTCTAGTGGCTGGGCTAGCAGCCTGACCACACAGGGACCACCGGCCCTGGACTGCCCTCATTCTCACTGCCCTGCCTCTTCGCCTTTCTTCTTACCTGGCTTTGAGTCTCTCATCGTCTCACCCCTGCCCAGCACTAACCTGGGTTTGTTTGCCTGGCAAGCCTCCAACCCTGGTCAGACCTGGTGCTGCATTTACGCTTCCCTAGAATTCAAGTTGCTGGAGACAGACCAGTCACCATGGGCTTTTCTCCAAGCTGTCGGCTCAAACAGGTGCTTAGCGCTGGGTAACTTGAAGCCACTGCAGTGGGGTCTGTTGCAGCCCCGAGGCTGTGCCCTGACACACGGGGGTCCCCGAGGCCCTGCTGGCCTTGGCCCCATCCTCATCTCCTCTTCCCCTCCCATCACCTGCTTTGTTCTAGCTCTACAGGCCTCCTTGCTGTCCCCAGGACACACTCTTGTCCTCGCCATTTCGTCTACCTTTTGCTCTATGGCATTTGATACTGAGGACACATTGTTTACTTGTCAGTCTCCTGGTAGGACTGGGGGCAGGACCTTGCATTCCTTGCTCTATCCCTCACTTGGTAAGCATTCAGACTCGTACTGATGACCATCTTGGGGACCAGGCAGCTCAGGCGGAAGGGTTTCACTTTCCTGATAAGAAGTCTAGTCCTCGTTACTGAAGCGTCTGCAGACAGGTGGAGGGGGGCACTGGGTATGGGAGCAGCCTAGCGCAGGCAGCCTGCAGGGTTCTCACCTGCACATGTAGACCTCTAGAGGCATCTGGGTGCTTGGGATAAAGATGCAAGGAGCCACCCGGAACACCACCGTGTCCTTGTATACCAGGGTCTCCGGAATGGACTGCGACAGAAAACACGGTCCGGCTGGTGACCTGGTTCCACATCTGCCCTCTTCCCTGTCCCCCCGGGACTCCAGCTGCTTGGTCCAGGCCACCTGTCCTCTGCCACTCTCTCCTCCAAAGGTGGCATTGAAACCCCAGCTCCACCCACCAAGCTGTGTGCTCCCCTCTCCCTGCCACCTGGCCAAAAGGGATGCCCCCCCCCACCATGCATTTCCTGCTCCAAGAGGGGCGTGTCTTCTCAGGGACTTACTGGGTCTTGAGACTCTTCCAACAGGGAGAGAGAGAAGGAGATCAGGCCAGAGAAGCTGGCAGATGGGAACTCTGTGGCCTCCACGTAGAAGGTCTCCTGCAAGTTGCTCTCCAGCGGGGGGAAGGTGTGCGAGTGCTGGTCTGGCCCCAGTACCAGCTCGAAGGTGCTGGAGCTGTCCTCTAGGAAGGAGAGGATGGACAGGCCAGCGGTCACCACAGCCGAAGGACCAGGCTACTGGCTCCTTCCTCTCATCGGAAGCCTGGCTGAGAGTTCCGGGACAGCAGGAGCCCAGCTGGCTTTCCTGTCCCTATGTCTCTAGTGTTTAGGACAAAGGCCTGTCGCACATCAGGACTCGGGACTCAGCTCCAAAGGGCTGCCCTCAAAGCACGCAGTCTAGGGTGAAGACCCATGATGGGCTACGCACTGACCACCTTTGGGCAGAAGGTCATGAAAAGCCTTGAAGGTAAGAAACAATGATCAAAAGGGGACTCGGTGGCCTCACCCGAGGTCTGACACTAAGCACCGGGAAGCATCAACGACAGCTGTCTCCTGGGTGGGACAGGCTCCGCTCAGGGTTTCTGAAGAAGGTGAGAAGCTTCCTACCACATGGGTCAAGCCCACGTTGTTGCAGCTTTAGATGGTGAAATATAAAACCACCCACAGAAGCAAACAGAGGGACGTTGACCACATGTAGTTGCCTCTGGTTAATCTGGCCCCAAATTCATCCGTTCTCCATCTCTGGAGATCACCGTGTCCCAGGGCCACCAACCTGGACCACTTCTCCCTACCTGGCCTTCCTTCCCGAGTCCCTACCCTTCTCACCCACCACCTTCAGTGTGGCAGCCGTAGCCGTAGCCCCGATGACAGCTGCTCCAGCTTAAAGCCTCTGGATGGATTCCAGTTTGGGGAAACCTCACTGTAGGTTGACCTTGGCCACCGAGGCCTCGCCATACATCATGCATAGCAGGTGCCCACTGCCTTGGTCTCCAGTTTCAACATGCCAGTAGGTGGCTGCTGAGGTCACAGCTGTCCCCAGGGCACAGGCTCTGGTTCACTGGCCTCTTGACTCTGGTCTGCAGTTCCACAATGGCCTGGGGAAGGGGGGGGTGGATTGTCCCTTCAGAGGGACTTCAGCTACTAGCAGTTATGCAGAAAAACCTTCTTAAAGGTTCAGGGGTGCTGGCCACAGGCTTGGCCTCAGTCCCCTTTGCTTCTGCTGCTGCTGGCTGTGTAGAGGCTGGGCCAGCTGGGGATGCCCCTGCGAGATTCTCCGCTGGCCCTGGGCCAGGCCTCAAGGGGGTCAGACTGGACAAGATGAGGCTTCTTCCAGGACCCCTGTAGGCCCCCAGCCCAGAAACACAGCCCTTTTGACTCACTGCTGAGGTTGCGGCTTGGTGCCCTTTGGGTTCCCAGCTCCACAGACTGAATCACAGCTGACCGCCACTTGGCCCCCTAGAGCTTCTGCAGACCCAGCACCTTCAACTGTGCCAGGGCCCTGGGCTCCCCATAGGTGCTCCACTCAAAGCTGACTCACCAGGGAGTGGCGGGGGCAAGAGGGTCCCAAGATCGCCTGCTACAAGCCCCTCAGCCCTCCGGGGGACCTTCCCTCGGACACTCGTTTCGTTCATGCTTATGAACTCCCACTTCCAGTGTCCTCACCTGAGCATGTGCGCTCTTCCTGCAGTTTTCTCCAAGGTCTTTCCCCACCTCCCCAGGTGGGTCCCCTCTGCACACAGATGTGCTGTTCCACCACCTTCAGATACGGTCCCCCCCGCCTTACCTTCCCCCTCAGTTTTTATCCTTACAGTTCCCTCTGGACAGTTCCTGCTGCGGTCCGTATTCCCCACGCCTGCCCACCTCAGCCTGGCTTTCGTCCCCACTGTTCTCATCAAACTCACTAATGACTTGCTTGGAAAACAAGACGTGACTACCAGTCTGATTCGTCTGCCGACAGCATCCGCCATGGGTGACCGCCGCCGCCTTTGCGAAGGCTTTCTTCTCCCACCGTGTCTGGAACCTTATGCTCTGGGTGCCTATTGCTCCGGAAGCTTCTTCTCAGCTTCCTTTACTGTATCTTAGACTAGTGGTTCTCACACTGGAGATTCTGAATCCCTTGGAGGGCTCGTTAAAACATTGGGCTGTGTATCTCAGCCTTAAACATTTTTTAAGTTGAAAAAATAAAAGCCCTGGCCAGTGTGGCTCATTTAGTTGGAGCATCGTCCCATAAACAACGGTTGCGGGTTTGATTCCTGATGAGGCCACATGACTGGGTTGAAGGTTCGGTCCCTAGTTGGGATGCGTACGAGAGGCAATTGATCGATGTCTCTGTCTCACATTGATATTTTCCTCCCCCCGCCCCGCCCACTTCAAAATCAATAAGCATGTCCTCAGGTGAGAACAAAACAAAACAAAGCCAAACAAGGGTGGGTGGCTTGATACATACGTGATGATGCGGAGCACCTTTAGCCACGGGGCTCACTGGCTTCCCGAGCAGGCCACAGGGACTGCCCAGCTTAGCCTGGTTGTTTGTACTTCTTGGTGGACCTCAGGGGCCACAGCAGCCCTCACGGCCTGAACCAGGCCATGACCCACAGGTTTCTAAGGCTCCCTCCTAGCCCATAAGTAGAAGGGCCACCTACAACCTGGGCTATGTTTTCTGTCTAGTTCCCAGGTCACTGCCAAGTCCAGCTGTGACCTCTGGTCCGCAGAGGAGATGCAATGGGAGACAGCCGAGAAAGCCAGAGGCGTGTGCTCCCATGCGGGACACAGAGCTGGTCCAGCATAAACCACAGGCTTCACCAAATGCCCAGCTAAAGCTGAACATGGCTTTTAGAACAAGGTGACAAATTGACATGTGCCTCCGGAAGGAAAGAGTTGAGTCTCGGCGTCAGGACTGCAGAGGCCCTGGGTGCTAAACCTGTTCGGCAAAGTCAGAAGACTTGTTTGCTCAAGGCTATTCGCTGGAGCTGGACAAGCCCACTTTCTAACCCAACAGCCCTCACACCTTCATGGAACAGGGACATGGCACCTGCCTGCCAGGTTGATAGGGACTGAAGGTGGCGTGGGGCCTGAGGTGGACACCCCGGCATCACTGCTACCGGCTTCTTGGCCTCTGAACTCCAGAAACTTAACATAGTGGTGTCCTGGTTCCGGAACGAAGGTGGATTACTCTTCCGGCAGGAGTAATCGGGAGGAGGCATTACCTAATCTGTATAAGGCAGGAGCTATTGTTTTAGCTACTGCGCATGTCTCCTCTTCCAGGTACAGAAGTCCTTCAGGATAGGCACCCTCACTGCCTCCCCGGGGAAGGTGTCCTGGATGCACAGGGACTCACCCATGTGTGCAGACAGTTTGGGGAGACAGTGGCAGACAGACACTTAGGGATGTGACTCCAGACCCAACAGAGCCTGACCAGCAGCATCTCCAGGTCCCCAGTGGCTTGGAGGGGACCCTGCCAGGTGTGGGTGTGGCCGCACCTTGGCCAAGAAGACAAAACAGAGCTGGCGTTGGAACACTCACCTTGGGGCCGATAGACCCTCACCCTCCTCGCCTCTTCCTTGGAGGTGTGGAGAACCAGCTGGTGCTTCCTCAAAATGTCGCTGGGCCCTTGAAGGGTCAGTACCATCGGGGACAGGTTCTTTATTTCTAGGCAAGAGAAAAGGCTAAGGTTCAGGGTCTCTGGAGGCTGGCGCTCCAAGGGTGGGGGCCTTAGTGCTGGACCCTCCTGCCTCCTGTTCTGCCCAGGCTGCCCTGGTCCACATCACACTTTGCTCTCTACACAGTGGGCCACAGGCAACTCGCAATCCTCAGGCCCATTTTGAGTGAGGGTGGCACTGACCGCCCCTGCCCATGGTAACCCACAAACACCTAGAACAGGGCCTGGCGTGGGCAGTGCAGAGAGTTTCCCTCCAGTCTTGGTGTGAACAGAGACATCTGTCCTGCTGCTGAGACCTAGAACTGAGGTCCTGACCACATGTCAGGACCAGATCCAAGACAGTCAGGGTCCCATCCCAGACAACAGAGGGTTTTTAGCGGGGCTCCCACATATTTGTCTCCATTTATTCTTCTCACCTGCCCTGTGAGGCCAACTGTATCAGGCCCATTTTACAGAGGGCAAAACAGGAGCAAGGAGGCTAAGCGGACATGCTCAAGTTCACAGCCAAGAAGTAAGTTTGTTACCTGACTTCAGATCTCATGCTCTTCCCCACGGGGCCTCTTTCTTCCTACTTACAAGCTTCAACTCAATGAGACTCGATTGGCCCAGCCCCGAGACATCAGCCCGGAAGCTGTTGGCTGAGGGGTAGGGCGCTGAAGCCACAGGTAAGGCAGGGCCCAAGGAGGACAGGTGGCAATGGTCCCAGGCAGTGGCCACTTCTTTCTCACCCTCTGCAGAGAACACCTTCTTGGTCTTGTCTGTGACCTGGCCCATGTCAACAGGATTGCAGTTCACAAGCAGGATGGCGCCCCAACCGCTGGGGCCCCAGACCCAGTTCTTCTGCAAAGATGACAAGAATGGTGGTTCCAGAAGATGTCGGGGAGAGGCTCTGCTTCCCAGATGCTGCCCCCCATCGGGGCAGAGCTGAACCTCCTCTTCAAGGTGATAGGAGCCTGCAGGTCAGAACCTGCCAGCTCAGGTACCTTACAGGAACCGGAAGGTGACAGCAGGAAAATGGGCCAAGAAGAAGGGGAAAAACACCTGGGGATGGGCCACCAGCTTTCTACCTGGTGTCAGAGGAAGCAGGGACTGAAGCCAAATAGAGGAGACATGTTCTATCCAAAGAGGCCGCTAACCCAGCTCCCTGCTCTGGTTGACTATACCAGCAGACTAGGGTGTGAACCTAGCATCTCCAGACAGTCTAGCTCTTTAAGGTTTTTGGAAAGAGGGAGAAAGATGGAGAAGACAAGGACACTCAAGAGAAACATCGATCAGCTGCCTCTCCCAGGCCCCCAACTGAGGATTTGGCCCACAACCCAGGGATGTGCCTGACCAGGAATCGAACCGGAGAACTTCTAGTTTGCAGGACAACGGTGCCCAAACCGCTGAGCCACACCATTCAAGGCTAGTTTTCGTTTGCTTGGTTTTTTTCAACTAGAAATTGACCCCATCAGCTCCGATTTGTGTTGCAGCGATTTGACACGATGAAGGTCAAGCAGAGAGGTTGGTGGCCTGGTCTGGCCCAGGGTCCCCAGGTCGGCACCCCTCCCCTGGCAGCCTCACCTTAGCCCACTTGTCACTTGCCATCCCCATTTTTCCATTGCGGTAGAGGTCCACGTCCAGGGAGACCGCTGCAACGGGATGAAGAGATCTCAGCCCCTGGGCCTGCTGGATGGAGCCTCGGAGCTGCCGCTAGCTAATCCCCCAGGGCCACCCAAAGCTGCTGTCGGCTCAGCTGGAAAAGGGCGCCAGAGGCAGACTGCTGCTCCTGAGCAAGCCTGGAGGGGCCCAAGTATTTACACGTCTCCCCAGACTCTTGGGGACTCACAGAACAAGTCCCCTGTGGCCATGGTGCCTTTTGTGCCTGATGCTGATGCTTACCCGGAAGGGCTTACTCTCCCCAGCCTTCTGGAAAGCTCCCGGCATGCTAAGACACAAGGAGGGCTCAACATCTAGCAATCGCAAGCCCCGTTAGAGGTTATGGACCCAGGCTGTGCCCGGGGACCACCACAGAGGCGGTCTATTGTCCACACATTTCACTTCCTGCTCCTCCCCACCGCAAAATGACCGGCTGGGTGGCTTTCTCATTCATGGCTTTTGTCACCCAACATGCTATTTCTCAACTGGAATGTCAAGGCCAAGGGAACAGGCCTTGGTTGCTGCTGAATACTCAGCACCTGGCACAGATGCGCATGACCTTTTGCCTGCTACAAACCAGGCACGGTTCTAGGCCCTAGAGGTACTGCCGAGTGCAAGATGGGCCCTGCCTTCAAGTGTAAAGGTGTGTGTGCATGTGCTTGCACACACATGGCAGGAGATGAAGAGAATACCTCACACACACACGTCTGATGGTAAAAGTGCTGTGGAAACAAGGAAGGGATGGAGCGGGTTGTCTCGGTTTTAAGCAGAGAGGTCTTCCAAGTTGAAATGTGAACCGAGACCGGGAGGAGGCCAGAAATTGATCCATGTTAATATCTGGAGTTAAGAGCAAATCAAATAGGAATTGCAGTGGAAAGGTTGAGGTGGAAAGTTCAAGGGTCAAAGACACCAGTGTGTCAAGAGCAGAATGAGTAGGGGGAAGAGAAGTGGGGCACAGATTAGAGGCCACGTCAGCTGGCTCAGGTAGGCCCTGTGGCTAACTGTGACCCTGGCTTTAATCCGAGAAAACAGAAGCAGTGAGAGGCTTCCATCCAAGGAGACGTTACCCAATATGCTTTTCCAGGTGTGCCGCTCTGGGGGCCAAATTAAGACTGAACACATAGAAGGGTAAGGATGGAGCAGGGGACCTGCGCAGTGACCCAGGCAAGAGAACAATGGCTCAGACCAGACCAAGGGCCTCACAAGTGGAAAGTAGCTGTATTCCAGCTAAACTTAAGGTTGCACCACCACCAAGGGTCACAGATCAACACGGGCCAAAGAAGAATAAGGGTAACACCTGGTTGGCTAGAAGGGTGGACTACTATCTATGGTAATGAGGAAGGTAATTAAAAACAGGTGTTTGGGGTAGAGCGTCTCAGCCCAATTTGGGGTATGTTAAAGCTTGACACGTTGGGTAGACATTCCAGTTGCATCGGGTCGGCAGCTAGCCAAGCCAAGTTAATGGGAGACAGCTGGCTAGAGAGTTTTGGGAGCCATCTGTCTGTAGAGCCACAGGGTGGGCCACCTGAGCCACTTCTCCAGATCCGGCAAAGGGATCTGAGAAGGGACAGCCAGCTACGCAGGGGCGAAGCTGCATGCGGGGTTCCTGGAGTATTTCAAGTGAAACACATTAAGAAAAACACCAGGTGCGTGCAACACCGTTGAAGGCAGAAGAAGAGAGTTGGCCCCTGGACAAAGTGAAGTAGGCGTTGCTAGGGTCCCCGACAGGGCAGTGCTGGTGGTGGGGGTTCTGATCCAAGCAGGCTCAGGAGGAAGGGAGGAGAAATCGAGACTCACAGATGGCTGCACAGGAACAGAAAGGTGGGAGTGAGTTCGAAGATAATACAGAATTAGGTTGAAGAGAACAAATGGTATGGCTTATTTGATAGGCATTAGAGGCATCATTGCTTGCTCTGGACCGATTCGGAAGAGAAGGGGGAGGCGCAGTGATGTCCTCCCGTCGTAAGAATTGCTGAAGGGATGTTCTGACATGCGCGTGAGGAAAAAGGACCCACCCAGAGTGATGAAGTTAACTTTGAACCAAACCCCTCCCACTGGCACCAGACATGGGCAGGTGGGCAGATAATGGGAACACACGCTCGATGGCCTCCGTTCTCAGAGAACGAGGGTGGTGGTGGGAGAGAGGCGGCCAAGCTTTGAGGCAGGAGTGTGCGTGGTGTGTCGAGTGAATCCCCTAGGACCCAAGGAAGTGGCTCATTACAGGGAGAGTCCCTTCCTCCAGCCTCTGCCAACCCCGCCTTTTCTCCATGGGCGGGAACAGCACTCACCAATGCCAACAAGGTAGAGTTCAGCCATGGCCACGGGCACCTGGTCATCGGGTCGATAGTATGAGACCACGACCTGTGGAGAGAGCACCCAGAACCCATGGGAGCAGTGAAGGGCAAAAGCAGGGCCTGTGCCACGTACTCAAGTCCAGCCCCTTGACCTTGGTCTCACAGTACAGCCCCTGATGTCTCACTGGGAGCCAGTACAGGGCCCTGTGCTGTGACTCAGACTAGGTAAAGAACAACCCGTTTAACATGCCACCACCACTCCAAAGACTTCCACACTCAAGTCTCATAACCACCCATCCAGCTGGGCTCTACCCCCAAGGGCAGAGGGATCCAGGGACTTGCCTGTGTCCTTCAGACAGGCAGGGGTAGTACGGGATTGGAGATCAGGCTTCCTGGCCCTGGAGGTCAAGCTTTATTTAAATTATACCTGCCCTCCTGAGATTCACCTGTTACCCCATGAGGAGGGCAGGGGGGAAGTGGGGCCTCCCATAAATTAAGCCACACACTCAGTAGGAAGTGGGGATACCTGGGGCAGGGACTGGAATTGGAACTCGGTCTTTCTTCTGCCCCAAGCCAGCCTCTGCTTCCAGACAAAGACTTGCCCTTCAGCCATTGGCCTTGAAGGCCCTCACCAGGAACCAGAGAACCAAACACTAGCCAGGGCCACAGTTACATGCGTAGGACCACCACCTGTTCCTAAAGGGAAGCTCTTCTCCTCCAAGGTCAAGCATCTCACTCCGCAGGCCACTCCTGGCAGGGCTGGAGGCTGAGCCCTGGGCAGACTGCTTCTCAGACCGTCTGGGCTCAGCTGGGCGACGTGCCGTTCCCGGCTTAGCCTGTTGCCTGCCTCTGGGGCAGCATCTGCCCGGGGCACGTGGCGTAGCCTGGATGTGTACCACCTACCTGCTACCCCAGGTGAACCCCCTGCCGCCTCCCAGCAGACCACACCGGCAGCTTCTGATAAACGCCCTGATCCTGAATGGGCCTCACCTGTGAGTCTCACGCTCAGCCTCCCAGTGAAGTCACCTGGAGCCTGGGAAATGCTGATGTCAAGACCGCCCCCCCAACCAGGGGGTGACTTAACTGGCAGGGCTGTGGCCCAAGTGTTGAGTGTTAGCAACCCTGATGCTTCTAATTGATCTGCCGCCACCACGGAACCACCACCGATGCCCAGCCCACCACGAGCCTGTCGACCTGTTCTACCGCCAGGGGAAGTCGATCACCACCTGCCACAGGTGCTCCAGTAGGGAGACAGCTCGCCCAGGAGCAAGGGCACAGCCGTGGGCTCAAATCCTGGGTCTTCCCCCACTCCAGTTACACCAATTAACTTGACAAATGTAAAACGGGGCAAAGCCGACCTCTGTATACAAGATACTTAGGTACATGGCATGCGTTTAGTACACATGAGCTCGTAAGCTTCATTAGGATCTCCACCTCCAGGAGACTAGCCTTCACCGGAAAGCTTGTTTGAGTTCTGCTGCTGGAAGCTGTGCCGGCAGCCTGCCCAAGCCCCGGTTTGGAAGCTAGCCCAGAGTCATGGTCAGAAGCACACACCAAGCTGGAATCCCAGTTCTGCTGGTTACGGACACGGGCAGGGCCCTCAATCTCAGTGCCCCCACTGCTTTATCTGCAAAACGGGGTCACCGAGTGCCCCCCTCACAAGTGCATTGCAGGCGAGAAAGATCAGCCATGCAAAACCCTGGGCACTGAATTTTTCAGAAGCTCAGGGAATGCCAGCTGTGAGCAGGGAGACCCCGGGGTTGTGTTACTCCAGCTTTACTCCAACCCCTCCCCCGAACCCGGCCCACCTTGTCCTGCTCGAGGGCGAGGGTGGGGGTCGTCATCTTCACCAGCACACCCGTGAGATCAGACAGAGGCAGCTGGGGGGTGGTCACCTCCTTGTCATTTGTGCCTCGGACGTCCACCAAGACCCCCGGAGAGCCGCTAACAGTGAAGGACTCGCATTCCTTCGGGGCACACCTGCTTTGCCCAAAACGGGGACAGACTTCAGGGCACAAGTGTCTTACCTTCTCAGCCTGGAGTGCAGCTGACATGGTGGGGTAAACTCCCACCTCCTCTCCTTAGGGTGCAGAGGCCCCCCATTCATGGCCAGAGCAGTTTTGGGGGGTCCTTTCACAACTCCAGCCTTACTCTTACCCTCCCCTATTCCAAGGACCCCTTATTGTCATGTCTCAGACAAGCTCCAGCCCAGGCCCCACCTTCCTCCCACTCGATGCTCTAGAGACCCCCAAAGCTGCATCTTACTTGTAAACCCCAACTCCCAGGGAGAAGGGAGCCACAAGGGGTCCTTGGAGCACAAGAGTCATGGCCTTAGCCAGGGGAGGTCTCTGCTATGACCCCAAGAAAGACACTGGCCCCTTGGGAGTGTCACCTCTCCCAGTTCACAGGCGTCTCTCTTGAGAGCCAGCCTCGCCCCCATGCCGGAGGTCAGGGGACAGAGAGCACAGAGCATGGGCTCCCAAGGCCCCCAGACCACAAGGGGCAGAGATAGGATCCGGTCAGAGTCCTGTAGCATCAACACAGAAGAGCCCTAAGGGACCCACACTTGGCTCCTAGTTGAACTAAGACAGGACAACGAGATAAGATGCCAAGGAAGGAGAAAACCCGCAACTCCCACAAACCCCAGGGGCGGCTCCGGGAGGGGAGCCCGGGTAGTGCCCCCAGCTCCTCACCCGCAGAGATCCAAGCAGAACTCCATGCCCAGCACACAAACCGCATGGGCAGGGCTGTCCAGGGACAGGCGGATGACACTCTGGAGAGACATGGCACAGCCCTCCCAACCGACCACCACCTCAACCCGCCCCAGGGCTCCCCACTGTCCTCCCCTCTTATGCACTCAGGGTCTCTCCAGCCCGCCCCCTTGTTAAGAAGCCTGCCTGCAGCAGCTGCCCAGGTGTGACTGGTTTTCTCCATGGCAGCTGCAGAGGAGCAGGTGGGGCCCAGAGTCCCTTCATCACAATTTATTAGGCAGCTTGTTGCCTGCAGGCCCGAGGCCCGTGAGGGGCTGGCTGCTTAGGCCTCTGGCCTTCAGCTGGGGACAAGGGGGGCTCTGGGACTGGTCAACCTGCTCACAGTGCCGGAGGCTGTCAGCAGCAGGTCTGCAGAGGTGTGTGGGGCGGCCTCCAGGGTGGCAGCGTGTGGTAGCCACGCCAGGCTCTGGGGCCTCGGCTCTAGGGGTGCGTTTCCTGGGAATTGACGAGGGGAGCCCTACAAAGTGGTTCTCAAGGCTATGGCGGTTGAGAATGACCAGGGAGTCTTGTTTAAGTTGCAAATCTCAGGCCTGGCAAGTGTGAGGTGTGGCCTGGGAAGCCAGCTACAGGTTAGGGGGAGCTCCTGGTCCACACTGAGTCACCAGCTCACTGCGGGGCTCAGCAGGTGTTGGTAGAATGGACGGGGGAGCCCGTGCTGAGCCGAGTTCACCAGCTGCTCCTCATCTCCACTGAGCTCACTGAGCTCACTTAGCAAAGCCGTGGGAGCTCCTGCTCCAGCCCCGGGGACTCACCAGCTGCCCTGAAAACGGCGTTCATTTCATGTTTAAGTGAGGGTTAAGGTTATGCTTGAATAGGTGCCATATTCACATGGTTCCGAGTTCAAAAGCGGCTTGAAACAAAGTCCCCCTCCTCCTGTCACTCACCCACTCAGTTCCCTTACTTGGAGGCAGCTGGTGGCCTCTGTTTTTCCTGTCTTTCCAAATAAATGTTGTGTGTGACCAAGGAAAAGTGTGTATACCCACCCCTCGTTTTTACATAAAGGGTAGTGTATGCTACATAGTATGCCCTACCTTGCTTTGTTCACTTCATAGCATAACTCAGACAGGAGGCCTTTGTATCAGTATGTGAAAAGAAGCCTTACCCTTTTCATGGCTGTATAGTATTTCACACAGGGCCACACCATCATACATATGTATTAGCACCTGTTTTCAGTTTTTTGCCCTGACGCACAACCCTGTGAGTAACAGCATGGTGGGTGTAAGTTGGGTCCTGAAGACTGCTCAGTTAGCCAGGCTTCTTCAATTTGGGACAAAAGTAAAAATATGCCTCCTTGGAGGGTTGAAGAACACAGCATAACTATCGGGGTGGCTTTGTTTTGAGGGGTCTTAGAGCAAGGGGCTGGCAAAGAGACCCTGAAACCCCTCTGGTTGAGTTGAAAGTGGCAAAATTGAGCAGGAGGAGTCCCACACGTGGATGCTTGCCCCACAAAGGGCTTACCCACACCTGCCCGCTCACTTGCTCACACAGGCGGCCAGAGTGGGGCTGCAGGGAAGCTCTGTCCCTGTAGCCCTCAAAGAGCCCTGCTTGGTGCCAGGGCTCTTTCAGAGCACTGCAAAGGGGGGTAGGGCACCCTTGGTTTTTCCCTGGACATGAAAGCGACTTGGAGAAGTCTAGAGGGGGCTCTGTTCACTACTGAATCCCTAGCTCCCACAAAAGTCTTGGATGTAGTAGATGCTCAATAAATTCTTGTGTAGCCAATGACTAAACGATCCCCACCCCCACCTCCATCCCCCCAAAAGGTAACCCGGTCGGCATCCACGAGGCTCTCCAACCAAAACAAGAGGTTTGTAAACACAAAGCAATATTACAGAGGCAGGCCCACAGCTCCTTTGGGTGCTTGTGCGGTGTTGGAGGTTCTCCACTCCCTCCTCAGTAGTCGAGTTCTGCTTTCACATTAGGTCACTGTGATAGATGCCATGGTGTCCCCCTACACCCCCAAGGAGCCACTAACCCCATCCCCCGCCCCCAGATGCTCCGAGTCGGCTTCTGGCAGCTCACAGCAAGTCCTTCAGGAATTGTCCTCTGCCACTTCCCAAGGCTACACCCCCTCCTGTGGCATAGCTACATACGATGTGGGGGACAAAGTCCAGACTGTGCATATTAATTCAGGACAACTCCAGGGCCTGTCGCAGCCGCCGAGCTTCCCATGAGAGTACCCGGCACTTCCGTGGCCCTCTTCCCAGCTCACCACCTCCCAGCATGCCCCACACCCCTCCCCGGTGTGGATCCCCCAGCAGGCCAGTCTCCCTCTCAGAGTCAAGCACAAAACAGTCGCCAGTCTCCGCTCAGAAGTTCAAAAGTCCAGACCAATGCAAAAAAAAAAACCAATCTCCAAACTCAGTTTTACAAAGTTCGGTCTTTCCCATTAGGGTTTAATGGAGGGGCACAGCCGAGAGCTGGGGAAAGGAGACACTCAGCTTCTTTCTTTCCCTTCTGCCTGCCCCAGCTGGCAGACAGTGGTTCCGGGCCTGGAGGAGGTTGGGGAATAACCCCCAAATCTACCGGCCCCTAATCCCTAGAACCCGTGCTACCTCATCTGTAGGAAGAACCTTTGCAGATGGGACTCGATTCACAGGTGTGACTGGATCTTTGAGGAGGGGACTATTCTGAATTATCTGGGTGGGCCCTAAACGCATCACACGTGTCCTCAGGAGAGAGACACAGGGGGAGCTTTGACCCGCTCACAGGAGCAGGTGCGGCAACCACACGGGCAGAGAGTAGAGTGACGCAGCCACCGGCCAAGGCCAGCTGGCAGCCACCAGAGAAGGGAAGAGCCAGGGACCAGATTCTCCCCTGGAGCCTCCAGAGGCGACGGCCCTGCTGACACCTCGATTTCGGCCAAGCGAAACTGATTTGGGCCTTCCGGCCTCCAGAACTGTGTGAGAATGAATTTCTGGTGACTTTAGCCACCCAGTTTGTGACCCCTGGGGGAGGGAGGGGAACCGAGGGTCAGGGAGGGGAGGGAGCAGCACGGTTTCTGCTTGGGGCTCCTGCCCCAGGATGCTCCGTGGGGCTGGTAGCATGCACACCTGCTGCTGTGCCCGCAGGGGCTTCCCTGCCTCCGTGACAGATGCCCCCCACGCCACCTGGGTGGCTGGGGATGCTCACCTGCATCTGCCTTGATACAAGGGCTACTTCAGCCACCAGCTCGTCTCCGGATCCTTTGTAGCCTCGAGAGGCTGTCGCTGCCCCGGGCAGCCCTGTGGTTAAGGTTTGGGGATGACCTCACCCGGCTTCCTCTGTACGAGCTGCCTTTCCTGGTTCACAAGGAATACAGGACACATTTTGCCCCAACAATCTGGGGGAGGGGGAAGAGGCACATTTTCACCAGGTTCACGGATCCCTTTCTCCTTAGTGTGTGGGCAGGGGCTTTGCATGTCCATCTTTTCCACCTCAGCGTTCTCCACGACCCACGGGAAAACCGTACCTCATCTGGGTGTTTCTCAGTATCGCAGGCTCTACAGAGCCAAGACCTCAGTTTCAAAGCCCTCAAGTCATTACGGTTTATTGTCTATTGAGGAATCTAAGTCCCTGTGTCAGGGCCATGAAAGAAAACGAGCGAAAAGGACAGAGGGGACCAATGATTTCGTTCCACAGAAACCCATGGCTCCTACTATGCACCACACCTCAGCAGGTGAGTGGTCCATGACTCAGAGCCAGAGAGCCAGGAGCCTGCTTTATGGGGCTTTCCAGCTGGTGGCCCGGAAATGATCACTGGAGGGACAAGGAAGATCTGCCAACCTCCGGGTGTACCGACACAACAGTCAAACCCGGACGTCCCCTTTGGGCTCTTGCGTCACCTATCTGCTGCCTTTTTCTCGAAGGACAACATGATCGGGGATCCAATTCTTGGGCACAGGCAGGCACCTTGGCCTTTGAAAAACCCTGATAGCACCTTCGGGTCTGTAATATCCAATTCGACAATGCGTGAATGAATGGAGGAAAGAAAGATAGCTTGGCCTCCTGTACATGAATTACAAAACTTTATTGCAGCTTCTCACAGCAGAACTGAGTTTGCAATGCCGGGACCATCTTGGGATCTTCAGAGCGGACACAGGGGAAGCAAGCAAGCCTCTGCCTGGAAGGTAGTCACCTCTGGGGAGCCAAAATGTCCCCAAGAACTCTTGCTATGCCACACTGCAGGGGGCCAGAGCCTCTGGCCAGGAGCTTCCCACGGGAGAAGAAGCTGGGGGTCGGGGACAGGCTCAGGGCACCATGTGCCACCACTTGGAGGAGAAGGGCTGCCTGCGCACGTTGGTTCCGCAGTGGACCTCCCCGTGCCGGAGGTGGTAGGCGTGGAAATCGTCGATGAAGGTGCAGTGGAGGCCCAGCGGCTCCAGCAGGGCCCGCACCTTCTCCTCCAGGCAGCAGCGGCCGTGGATGATGGGCCCGAAGGGCTTGGGGATGCCCAGGTGCTTGCCCAGCACCAGCATGTTCACCTGCGAAGGTGAGATCCCAGGTCAGGGGCGGCAGTGTGCCACCCACGTCACTATCCCAGCCCCTGTCCTTCTTCTGACCTTCGGAAACAGCAGCCCCACTTTCCAGATGAGGAAACTGAGGCCCGCCCAGGGGGAAGTGGGCTGCCTCAGACCACCCGCTAGTCTAGGACTTTACACCCAAGTCTGTCAGACTCTGGGGGCCGGCTCCTTCCCCACCCACTGCCTTCTGGCCAACGCTGTTACTCAGCGGCGCTCAGGTCAACCACCACCCCCTGTGCGAAGGTGCCTGTAAATCCCAAACTCCTGCGAGTCCCCATAGCTCCAAGCACAGTGCCTGGCACGTAGTAGGCACTTAATACATATCTGTTGAGTGGGTGAATGTGACGACCTCTTTTGTAGCACATTCCATCTGTGGTAACTTATGCAAATGACCGTCTCCTCTGTTACATTGGGAGGTGGGCTAGTGAGATGGAAAGACCAGGGTTTCGGCTCCAGACCCCCATGGGGACCACTCAGCAGCTGTGTGGCCTCAGGCACATCTCTTCACCCCTTGGAGCCTCATCAGCAAAATGAGCCCTACACGTTTCCATTGCTATGGCAATTAGACAAGGACCCCGTGTCGGCACGTGGCAGGTGCAGATTCAGTCTCAGGGCTCATGAGTCACTGAAGGGGCTTCTTACTCTGTCACCTCTGTCCCGGCTCAGACACAGCCCACATGGAGTGCCCGCACTCTTCAATTCTCTGCCTGGGTCTCCCCCAACCCCCCTGCCCTCCCCCCACCCACTGTGGGCTCCTGGGAGAGCCGTGGTTGGTGCCCAGCCTTCCGCCCAGGGCCTCACACAGTGAAGGGCCAGAGTCAGCCCTTGGCACAGCGGACGGCTGCATTAGGGGTGCCTCGGCCCCCCGCCATCAGCATCGGCTTTCTGCCCAGAGCTGGGAGACCTGGCAGGGTTGCACGGGAGGAGAAACAAAGTCTCGGGGCCAAGGAATTTTGTTCAGAGGGGTGAGAGGAGGGTGCCCCCTCCTGCCTTGCTTTGGCCAAGGAATCCTTCACTCCAAACAAAATCATTTGCAGAACTTCAGTGCATAAAACAGGAAAAATCTGAACCACTGGATCAGAGGCCCTGCCTTGGAACCCCCGAGCCCTGGCGAACCCAGAGTGAAGACCACTGTGCTCCCCCCGAACTGTAACCCCAGCTCCGGCAGGAGGGGGAAGCTGAGGGGCCCCAGTAGAACCAGGCGAAGTTGCTGGTACTCTTTGAAGGGACAGAGTGACAGGGCAGAGAAAGGGTCGCAACACAGTCAGTGACCTAGGATGGTGCTGAGGGTCACAGTTAAAAGTTCTCGACAAGGTGGGATCGCCCTCGGGCCCACCCTTCAGACAGGTGGGTGCCAGCCGCGGCAGTGCCGATCTCGCCTCCGCAGGGAGGCCTTCTCTGACCACCCAGTGAAGCTCCGTGGTGCCTGGCTCCACCCGAGAGGGTTTTGTTTGGTGCCTGTCTCCCTGACCCCACTCCCAACCCCCTTCTGTCAGGGGAGCCCCGCAAGGGCAGTGCCGCTAGCGGTCAGAGGGTGGGCTCTGCGGCTGGACCCCTGGCTCTGGACCCCGCTCTTGCCAGCTACGTGCTCTGGCGCCAGAGACCTCCCCTCTCTGTGCCTCATCTGTCAAGTGGGGGTGACGATCGTCTCTGCCCTTGAGATGCCCACAGGGGCTAAGTAAGCCTGTTGGGCCGTGAAAATCCCCAGCAGATGAGGTGACGACGGAGGCCTCGCACCCAGAGCCCAGCTGACCTCACGCGCTCAAGGCCACTGGCAAAGGTGGGCCACCTCCCAAGGCCACTTCCTTACCATGTTTGGGAAAAAGGCTTCAGCCTTGAAGGTCCCTGTGACGTCCGCACGGAGCTTGAAGAGCTGGGGGACGTCCACGATGTCCCGCTCCGTCAGGCCCAGCTCCCGCTTCAGCACCTCCCGGTTCCAGTCGATGCAGCTCTGGGGGAGGGGCGGGGGTGCCGTGAGCATGGTCTGGGCCAACCTAGGCAGGGTGGGGACTGCCAGGGGGAGGACCGGGGACAGGGTCAGGAAGGAGTGATGACACCCATTCTTCCCTTCCTCCCTGGGTCTGTCCCTGTGTTTCCAGCCACTCTGTCACTCCAGCACTTGGCCTCTCTCCTGCCTCTGTCCTTCTTTGAGTGGTCACCTGTCTCTCCTGACAGTCTCTCTTTTCCACATGTCACCTCGTGTGTGTTCCCGAGGTGGCAACCTGGGCCCTCCACACTCTTCCTCACTCGCACACATTTACTCCCACTCCAGGGCTGTTCCACAGAGCCAGGACACAGCCCGAGCAAGGCCCTGCCTCGTGGGGGTACCAGCCCTCCGGGGCACCCAGCGCTGGTACCTCCACGTAGGAGTTATGTTCTCTCAACTTCTTGTTTGACAGAACGTCCTTTAGTGTCTGCCGTTTTTTTTCTGTTTTGGAGAAAAAGAGGAAAAAATGCAGATTAATTCAGAGGTCCGCTTCCCTCTTCCTAGCCAGCAATGGGGACTTGGTTTTCCCATCTGTAAAATGGGACAGCACTGCCTCCTAACACACAGCTTTGTTGTGAGGATCTAGGAGGCAGATGCCAGTAACAAAATATTTTATCAGGGTAGGTTCTCATTATAAGTGCTGCTCTATTCCTTTAAACTCTCTTGTTTCCAAAGGGATCCTGTTCACTGAGGGGCAAACAGAGGCCAGGGCATTGCCTGGTGCCATGCAGCATACTACAGATATTGGGCAAAGACTCTTAGCCATGGAGACTTGCCAGCCTCGGACCCCGGTCTGTATCCATGGACTCGACTGAACAAAATAACATTTCATTCCGTGCTCCAGCCAGACTGAACTTTTTTTCAGGTCCGTGAACACATCTTGCTTCCTCCTGCCTCTGAGCCTTTGCATTCACTGTTCTCTCTACCTGGAATATCACTCTTCCTCTCATCCCACCACCCTAATTGTCTGGCCAACTCCTGCTCATCTCTCATGCTCTTGCTTGGATATTGCCTCCTCCAGGAAGCCTACCTTGAGCTCCTCCCAGACATCCCCCAAAGCCCCTGTGTTACACTTGTTTCCTTGACTCACTTCCCCTGTTCACACAGCAGCCCCAGCACTCAGCACAGTGCCTGGCACACAGTAGGTGATCAGAAGACACCTGACGCCTGAGTGATTCCATCTGGCAATAGGCAACCACATGAAGGCAGAGGGAGGTGCCCAAATGGAAGAACGAGGCAGGGCCAACTTACTCGCGATGCCCTCGAACAACACAGCCTCACTGTGACCCTCCTTCAGCAGCTCCTGGAACAGTTTGTAGCAGGACCTGGGGCTGGCCAGGAGCAGCCGGAAGCCCTGGAGGCAGAAACACTGGGATCAGAGGTCAGCTCGGCCATGGGGCTCCCAAGGAGGAGGGCTCTGTGGAGGGTGCAGGGAGTGTGGACTCAGACCTGAGCAGGCCACCTCCTCCATGCCCCCTCCTGGGAGGAGGTGAAATAGAGCCGGGCATGTGAGGTCAGGCCTCCCAGGCCGAGTGCAGAGCTGTGCTTGGGAACCCAGGAAGGAGGTGTGTGGCTTCCTCCAGGCAGCCCCCCCAGACTGCACCTTCTTGTGCACCGGAACGAAACTCAGGAACTCGTCCACGTGGCCCACATACAGCCAGTCAGAGTAGAGTTTCACAGGGGCCTGCACCTGCTGGGCAGCGAGGAAGTCCTGCAAGGCCTGATGCATCTCCTGGCTCTTGGCACTGCCCACACAGGAGTAAAGGGGTGTTATGGAGGGGTCGGGGAGGGCTCGGCATGGTGGTCTGTGGGACTGGAGGCTTGGCAAAGGGGTCAGGAAAGGGACTCGGGGGCCCGGGCTGCCTCTGTTATGTCCTCTAACATTTGAGGCATTTAGGAATTTTCACCCCAGTTTTATTGGGGAAACTGAGGCACGGAGTCAGCAAGGTAAACAGGACCAGAGTTTAGCCTCAGAAAGCACTGCCTGTTGACGCAGCCTAGATGAGGGTGGGAATAAACATGGGGTTTGGAGCTGACCCCTCCTGAGCTGGTGATCTGCTAGCCACGTGGCCTTGGGGACATTCCTTCATCTTTTCAATTTCAGTTTCTCCTGGCTCTGGCCTCCAAAGTCCTTTGTGATCTAGCCCTTTGCTCATCCTCTTACTCAATCTGTTTTAGCCACTCTGACCTTCCCGAATACACGAAGAGCATCCCTGCCTCGGGGCCTTTGCACACGCTCTTTCGTCTGCCAGGAACCCTCTACCCCAGACCTTTCACACCCACGTCCTTCTTGTCATCAGCACTCAGCTCAATAGCCTCGTCCCCCAAAAGGCCCTCCCTGGTCACCCCAACACAATTCCACCTCCTCCTCTGCCTCTCCCATTTTGTCCTCTTCACTGTTTGAAATGATCTTATTTGTTTATTCTCCTGTCCCTGCCGCATTGCTCCTCACTACCATTATGGCAGGGACTTGTCTGTCATGGTCATGGCTGCATTACTTCCCACCACCTAGCAGAGCGCCTGGCACATAGCAGGTGCTCAGCAAATAGTCACTGACTGGAAGAGTGTAAGTGGCAGCACTAGACATTGAACTTGGGTCTGTTGGGACTTGAAGCCCTTGTTTCTTGCCCTGTACTTGGATCCCTCTCCTGTGTCCCACCATTTGTTGAGCCCTCTTGGGTTGGGGGCAAGTAGGAAAGGCTTTAGCTCTGGCCTCTGCTTTTCCATGTCACCTGCGGGTCCTGGCCACCCCCACAGCCCCTCCCCGGCTCACCTGGGGTAACTGCTGTCCCCAATGAGAATCCGGCCCAGTGGGTATCTCTTCTTTCCCACTGTGACTGGGGGGCTCACTTCCAGGTTCCCAAAGGAGTCGAGGTCACTAACGCCCCCTGTTTGGGGGCCTCGAGTCACGTAGCCAAAATCCGGACCCTGAGATGGGAGAAGAACATGCCGAGGGTTAGAAAACTTAGTCCCTGGGCGAAGAGTGGGTGGGGTCAGAGTTTAGAGACTGACTTGGTCACAGGAAGGAACTCATTCGCCATCAGCTGCTGGTCCATAGCAGGTACCATGACCGCGGGGTGTTGAAGGGGCCCCTGAGTCAGGTGGGCCGGAAGAGGCATTTGCGGGGTCCCTCCTGCCTGCCAGCTGCTTTGTAAACCTAGTTACTGCCACGAGCATGATAACGAACCAACAAAATACCACTTCCACCTTCACTTTGCAGAGAAGATACTAAGCCCAATGCTGGCTGTGGCTTCCGCAGGCCCGCAGCCACTGTGAGGAAGGACCAGGGTTTGAGCTGCCTGCACAGCGAACTCTCTCGGCCCACACCCCCACCCGGGGCCGGAATGAGCTTCCACGAACAGCTGTGACATCTCCTCACGGATCTGCCTGAGAAGGCAGGGGGGCAACACATGTCTCACCCCCCGTATTGGTTTTCTACTGCTGCCATATCAAACGCAGTGCCTTACAGCACCACATTTATTCCCTCACACTTCCAGAGGTCGGAAGTCTGAAATCCATTTCCCAGAGCTAAACTGAGGTGTGGCCAGGCTGGTTCCTTCTGGAGACTCTGAGGGGGGAATCCATTTCCTGGCCTTGTTCAGCTCCTTGTAGCCCGCTGGTGGCCTCTTCCTCCATCTCCAACCTGTTCCCATCCCCGATGGTCTTCACACACCCTCCTTTCTCTCTCTTACCAGGAGCGTTATGAATACATAGGGTCCGCCCAGATAATCCAAGATAATCTCCCCATCTCTAGTCCCCTAACTTGATCGTACCCCAAAGCCCCTTCAGCATCAGGCTGCAGGGAAGAGTTTGAGGGGCCATCGTTCGGTCTACAGCACTAGCTCTAGTATCGAAGATCATTGGCGGTCTGTACCTGGGGCTTCATGGGGGCCACAGACGCCATGAAAGCAGGTTCCAAACTGTGAGCTTGGGTGCCTTTTTCTGGGAAGATAAATCATCTCAAGGAGGTCTGGGATTCTACTGATTTAAAACCCGCCATTTCCAAGTCCTGTCCTTCCTTTCTCTCAAACACCTGTGCCAACAACCTGACTTCCACCTTCACTGTGTCATTGAAACTGCTCTTCACGATCACACAGCCAAACTCATGGGCAAGGCCCAGGCCTTGTCTTCCTTGCCCACCATCAGCATCGAGCCAGCCGGTCATACCCATGCGTTCTCCCTGCACTTGGCCTTCAGGATCCAGTGTACTCTTGGTCTTGGGCCCTACTCATCACTACTCCCTTGCAACCCCCCTGTGCAGGGGGGCAGAGCCCAGGAACGAATATGCCCAAGGCCCAGCTACGTCCTCAGCAGGACTACCCTGAGGTGAGATTGCGGCTGGAAAGGGCTTTGGGGAAGGAAGAGCCAGCTCTCACCACAGTTATAGCAAAATGCCAGGTCCACCTGCACCATGGCTGCCTGGGCAGGAACTGCACCTGTGCAAGCTGGGACGCTCGGCTGCAGGGGGCGCGCAGGGAGACAGGCCACGAAGAAGGAGGCCCCGGGCCAAGGGGGTCTCAGCCGCCAGCACCCACCCGCACCTACCAGCAGGCATTTGATGGGGAACTCCTTCAGGCCCCTGTTCCTCGGAGAGTCGAAGACCACGGGCAGCGTCTTGTGCGGGGCTTGGATGTAGCCAATCTCTATCTCGTCCTGGGCAGAGCGAGTGGAAGTGAGGCCCGTGGCCGTGCTGCCTGGGTCCCCCCGTGCGAGGATGGGGGACACAAAAACACCCACACTTTCTCCCCCTTGTGGCCAAGGGCAAATTTATGTGGGACCCCAGAAGGGGGGGGTCTGAGGAAGCAGAGCTTATCAGCAAACATGTTGTGTAACCCTGGAGTGTCCTTCACCCCCAGGCCTGGTGAGTGCCCCAGGCCAGGTCCTGGGGACCTGTGGTGAGCAAGCCTTGGCACTGACCTTGAGGTGAGAGATCCGGGGAGCTGGGGACTTACCACCCCATGTTAGGAGGAGATGGGAGGGAAGGGGGCCTCGGTGGCCAGGAGGCTGGGGCAGGCCAGGGAAGGGAGCATTGCTGAGCCAGGGCCTGGAGCACAGGGAGGAGTGGCCCTCCCATGAGGGGGGACAGGTTAGGGGAAGGACCCTGCTGTATTCTAGCAGACAGATGTGATGATGGCCATAAATCACTATTAGACTGAACCATATAAAATTGCCATCCTGGTAGGTCAAGAATAGTGGCATATCTTTCATTTCATGTGGTTCAGCCTGATTGAGAGTAGAAGGAATGGCGAGAAAGGAAGGGGGTGCATTATTTGGGGACAGAGGACACTTAGAAGAAAGAGGGAAGAATCCCTGCTGGAGGTACTGGGGACATTTACCAAGGGGAGACTTTCCAGCTGCGAGTGAACAGGCATGCTTTGGACATGGGGATGAGAGTGGGAAGGTGGTCGGAGAGGAGGGACAGCGTGGGCAGTGTTGTGGGGGGGGGGCTGGGCGAGAGGCTGGGAGGGGCGGAGTGCTGAGGCAAGGCAAGGGCGTAGCGAGGAAGTTGGGGTCAGCCCACCACCTCCCAGTGGCTCGGCCCAGTGCCAGGCGCTGGGGTACAGACATGAGTGAGACTCTGGGTCTGCCCTCAGGGAACTCGTGACTTGATGGGGCACCTGTCGTGGAAACAGGATCATTGATGCTGAGTCACCTGTGTGGTGGCCGGCTGGCGGTGGTGGGAGACTGGGGCTGGGGGGGGGGGAGGTGCAGAGGGCGGGGCAGCCAGAGTGAGAAGGCCCTGGACACAGGCTGAGGAGGAGGAGATGGGAGCCACAGAGGTGCTGGAGCAGGGCTGAGGCCTGTCTGGTGGCTGAGCCCAGAAGGCCGGCTTGGAGGAAGGGCCACTGGACAGAGCAGTTGAGCTCCAGTCCCTGAGCTTTGACTCCTGTCCAGAGGTCATCAGAGAGGTTTTAAATGAGAAGGTGGCTTTCACCCTGGTGACCATGGTGGGCATGCTGCAGCCCGCAGTAAACGTCAGTTGAATCTCTTGCCTGAGTCCCCTTACGCAAGGACCGTGACAGGCTCCTAGCTCCCTGCCTATCTGAGGAAGGGTGGTCACGAGGCACTAGCTGGGCCCCCCGGAGCCTGGGTTTTGCGAGGGGGTCTGTTCACCCCACGTGGCCACGAACCTGCATCCACTGGTCCTCCATGCTCTCCTCCATGGGGCACACAGTCAGCTTGCACTTGGCTTTCTCGGCCAGAGCAGCCAATGACTTCACAAAGTCCTCATTGTCAAATACCCTAGAAAGGACAGAGAGGAAGTTCCTTAGTGTTCTGAATGCAGCAGCCAGTGGCCTTGGCCCAGATCTGAGTAGGCCAACTAGACCCCTGCAGGGTCCCTAGGGGAGGAGCAAGAGCTCAGGCCTGGCCAGAGGTGGGGAGGCGCACAGTAGGTGCTCAGGAGAGGCTTGCTGCCCAAGGGGGGAGGTGCCTGGCTTGACCTATCTCTTCGCTCTTCACAAACATTATCTCATTAAACCCTCGTGACAACTTACAGAGTGGGGAGGCTGGCGTTCAAAGTCACGCCCCCTAGGGACCTCACTGGGACTTGAATCCAGGCCTCCAGCTGTGCCCTGACTACCAGGTTACACTCTCGCCTCTTCTTCCGCTGACTCAACCGGGAGAGCAGAAGGGAGGGACCCCCGAGAGCCCAGCATACTTAATACGGGCTCTCAGACCGCAGGCTGGATGCCAAGGCTCCCAGAGCAGCCTGCTCCATACACATGGCCCATCTCCAGGTACGTGACCCAGCAGTACAGAGGCTGGCCAGAAATGTGCATTGTATTTTTATTTAATTTTATAGAGTTTATTTATTTATTGTTAGAGAGAGGGGAAAGGAGGGAGAAAGAGAGGGAGAGAAGCACTGATGTGTGAGGGAAACATTGACTGGTTGCCCCTCACATGCACCCCACTGGGGACCAGCCTGCGACCCAGACATGTGCCCTGACCGGGAATCCAACCGGTGACCCTTCACTTTGCAGAACAATGCCCCACCCACTGGGTCACACCAGCCAGGGCAAATGTGCATTTTAAATGAGTCCTGGGAGCTCCTGGTGCAGAAGGTCCAAGAGCCACGCTCCGAGGGTTCCATCATGCAGGTCTAGCCAACTCTCCAGGCCCCCAGGGGACAAAAGCAGCCCTCAGGACAGAACAGGACAGAAACAGCCACAGGGATGAGCCCTGCCTGTGAGTGGTTCCCGACAAGCCATGAGCCCTCCCAGAGCAGCACAGGGGTTGCCGTTTTCCCCATTTGCACAGCAAGTGCACGGTGGGCCTGCAGCCAGAGCCCCGGGCTCCGGGCTCCGGGGCCGGCCTCCTCCTGGTGTGTCTGGGCCCTGCCCCCACACCCCAGGGCCCCTCACCTGCACACGTACACCTCCTCTGGAGGCTGAGTGTTGGGCGTCATGATCCAGGGGGCCACACGGAAGGCCACACTATCTTGGAACAGCAGGGCATTGGGGAGATCCTACAGGGAGAGGGGCAGGGCAGGGGCTGTCACAGAAGCCAGGGCCCAACTCCTACCACCCCTCCCCCACTGGGCCAGCGCCTGCCACCATCTCGGCCTACCAGGTTGGACGTGTCCAGCAGGGAGACGGTGAGAGAAACGAGGCCTGGGAAGTTGGCGTCGGGGAACGCGAGGCCCTCCACGTAGAAGTCTGTGCTGTGCTGGCCGCCCGGGAGCTGCAGGGCGTGAGAGGGCCGCTGGGGCCCCAGGATCGCCCTGTACCCGGAGGGCTGTTTGCCCCCTAGGAGAAAGCGCGGGAGGCTCCTGTCTGCATCCTGACCTCTGAAGACCCTGTCTCTTCCTGGGTCTGTGATGCCTTCTCAGGGCCCCTGAGGGTCACCCCTGAGGGCCCCTCACAGCTGAACCTGGCTGCAGCCTCCCCCTAGGAGAAAGGGACTGAAGCCTCACCTGGGACATACCACCCCCAACCCCAGCCTGGGGGTCCAGGGATGGAGTGAGCGGAGTGCCTGAGGCACTTCCAACTTGATAGGAAGTCTAATGTACGTTGTTCTTTCATTCATTCATTCATTCACTCATTCATTCATTCATTCCTGAGCACCTGCTCTCAGCTGACACCTGGGAAGACCGAGAAGACAGTCGCTGTCCTGGTCCCCCGGCAGCGCACAGTCTCCTGGGTGAGCAGGAAGGTGCAAAGACAGTCGCAACCCCAGGTGGTAATAAGCATTGTGACAGAGGGAAGCCCAGAGGACCAGGGAAGGCTTCCTGGGAAAGGCGATCCTTGGCCACCAAACCAATGTTTAGAACATAAGTCAGATCAAGTGGTGTCTCAGCACAAAACTCTCAGATAGCTCCTCCCCACCCCCCTTAGCCAAGAGGTCTGAGTCATTCCTTGCCTTCCCGATCTGACCCTGCCCCTCTGCCCTCTCCTCCGCACCCCCACCTACCCCACAAACCATGCACACTGCGCCCCAGACACACCGGGCCGCTGCATCCCTCCAGCCCATGGGCACTATCCTGCCTCAGGACCTTTGTACTTGCAGTGTCCTCTGCCTGGAATGTCCTTCCCCAGGCTGCCTCCATGGCTGTCCCCACACACCTCCTTCTGCTCAAATGACATCTTATGGGGGACACCGGCCCTGACCATCCTCTTGCCCACCCCCTGACTCCACCCGTCACCCACGTCCCCTTCCCTGTCCCATTCTTCCATGTAATATTCAACGCCATCTGATACACTAAGCATTTTACTTAATGATTTTACATGTCATCTCTCCCAACCCTCTGAGACACAGGGGACACCAGGCCAGGGGCTTCGTTGTGGTCTTCGCACTCGGCCTCACACCTAGAACTGAGCCTGGTGCTCACTTAGCAGCAGGTGCTGGTGAAGGCTCACTGACAGCTTTGATCAGCAGGATGTGGGAGAACAAGGCTGACCCAACACATGCGGTCGGCTCGGATTCAAACATCTCCTTAAATAAGAGCTCTGCATGTGTGTGTGTGTGTGAGAGAGAGAGAGAGAGAGAGAGACAGACAGACAGACAACAGACAGACACACACACACAAATGGGTACAGATGACAACGGCTCTTGGGAGGGAAGTCACTCCTTCTCAGAGTTCACCAGTTCCAGGCACCATCCTCAGAATCTGTCCCCATTCTGCCTTTGTCCTTTCTAGAAGCGGGGCACAGAGACCCTGTCAGTCTTGCTCACTGCTCTATCCTCAATTCCTAGAACCTGGCACATAGTAGGTGTTCAGGGATTATTCCCCAAATTGGGTGTGCAGGGCTGTGCCTACAGTGGGGGCAGAGAGGGAACATCGAAATCACGGCCGAGGACAACTCACGACTGGCTTGAAACACTCGGACTTTGTCCATCTCAGACTTGGCCACGTGGAGCACCAGCTGATGCTTGACGAAGAAGTCCCTGGGGGTGTTCGTGCTCAGGGTCACCAGGGACATGTCCTGAAGGTCTGGGACGAGAAGGTGTGGCCTGAACGCAGGCCCCTGCGACCCCGAGCTCCCCAGCACCAGACCACCCTTCACCGTGTCTCCCGGTTTTATTTTCTTTGTGCTTGTTCCAGTGTTTAAATGACGTTTCCCATTTTGGAGTTAAAGGCAATCAGGTGTGTGGTTTTCTCCCACTAGAATGCACTTAGGATGTAAGCACGGGGCCTTGTTTATCTCATTCACCGTTCTCTGGCCCCCAGAGACTAGAAAACCTAGAAACACCTAGAATGACTAGCCCGTGGCCAGTGCGTGATGCTATTTGTGCAATAAATAAGTGGAAAGGCTTCTCCCCTGGGCCCGAGCGGGAAGTGAAGTTTGTGAACCAACTAGAATAAAGGCTGACCAAGGTGTGGGCAGCTGGACAGTAGCCTCAGGTTGGACAATGGTCATGGGCTGGACGATAGTCACGTGGCTAAGAGTGCTGGGGTCGGTGGGGTTCGAACCCTGGATCTGGGCAGGCTTAGGGGAGTTATTTCAGCTCCTGGTGCCTCTGTTTTCATCATCAGCAAACAGGGCTAAGGGCAGGGCCCACGCAGAGGGGAGAGTGAGGTCATCCATACCAAGTGCTTATCACAGTGCCGGCGTCTTGGGAGTGAGTGTCCACAGAGCCTGCCAGCTGGGCCACTGTCACTGTGTGCCGGGCACCGAGCTGAGGCTGCCCCCTGACATCGGACCAGGCTGGCTGCATGCATCTGTCTCTGTGCTTTCCAGGAGGGCCACTGCCGCCCCCCGAGCTAGGTGACCTCACCCGTTAGCGCCCTTCTCCAAGGCAGGTGGCAATGTGCCTCCCACCCTGGCCACACTTCAGAGGCATGCTACAGAGGTCCTGCCCAGGCCACCATCTGCGTGCCCCCAAACTGGGCCCGGTGCCAGGATGCCTAGGTTCAAATCTGGAACCTTCGACTTACTAGCGGCGTGACCTTGAGTAAATTGCCTAACTTGCCCGTGCCTCAGTTTCCCCTTCTGTAAAGGGGAGGGAGGCAGTACACACTTCTTAGCCTCATGTCAAAGGGTCAAATGAATCAATGTATTTTTGGACTATAAGACACACAACCCCCAATTTGGGAGGAATAATGGTTGTTAATGCTGCTGTTGAATTCTGTTTACATTTACATTGGTGAAATATTATGTTATTTATGTTATTAAATATTTTGCCACATTTTTTGGCTTCAAATTTTTTTCCTCTAAAACCTAGGTGTGTCTTATGGTCCAAAAATGCAGTACTAATTCTGAAGTGGTCAAAGCAGTGCCCGGCCTACAGCAGGGCCTTGGGGGAGCGGTCAGACTCTCGTTTTGAATTGTTTCGGGCCACAGGATTGACCCAAGAGCAGAAGTGCAGGTTGGGCAGCAGCCTGGGGCGTGGGAACTGAGGCCTGGGGCAGGTGCTGTGGCTACTTGGGGTTGGTCCTAATCCTTATCTGGCTGCTTGTGTCCTTGGGCAGAGCCACTTGCCTTCTCAGGACCCTTGTCCATTCCTTCTCCTATGCGATGGACCCACTAACAAGATCACGCCTCCAACAGCCCCGATTTCTGAGGGTAGTTACAAGGCTCAGGACAAAGGGCCTTATAAAAAGATGAAGCTCTCTTCCCGTAGCTCTCGGGGTCTTTACCTTCTCTGTCATGCACCTGGTCATCCATGCAGTCCCTGGAGGAGGGAGACTTTGGATTGTCTTTGTCACAGTTCACCAGCAGGATGGCGCCTTGTCCGCGGGGGCCCCAGGTCCAGGTCCTCTGTGGATGCCAGCAGAGATGGGGTGCACGTGAGAACCTGCGCATGTCCCTCTGACCCCCGGGGAAGCATAGCCATCTGTCTCCAGCATCCCAGTGGCCTCAAACAGTTTGTACATTTTGAAATTCTTTAGTCCCCAGGAGTGGATTTTTGCCTTCCCTTCAAGTCATGAGCAAGCCTCCAAAACTCCAATATATCCATGTAACACAAGGAGCCCACAACAGTAAAATAGACTCTCAACAGCTTTTAAAAAGTGTTGGATTGGCAAACCAAACTGCGCTAAATACTTGCACCAAGATTCTAATCTAAGTAGTTACTCTTACGGGAACTTTTAATTACTCACCAAAGTACGAGCACTATTCTTAGCAGCCAGATACTCTCCGTCTGACAGTTCCAGCCGATGAAGCAGCCCCTCCCAACAGCGATGATGCCCCCCCTTGGCAGGGGAGTGTTGCCCCCCCTAGGGAGTGACTGCATTTGGGGTGGGACTCAGGGAAGACAAATTCCACTCCCAGAGTTGGAATTCCTCCCCCACTCTGGACAGACCTAACAAAGGCATCTTCATCCCGTGACAAGGCACAGCTCCCTAAGGGGCACTCAGCACAGGATTGTGCAGGCGGCTCTGAGGCCTCAGGGTTGCCCTGGGGTTTATCCTTGGACTGCGGTTCAGCCTGCTGCTCACTCACAGACACGACCTCCTCTCTTTCTGCAATGGGCATCCCTTGCCCTCACCTGGCTCTTCTCTCCCCTACCCGCTGCCCTTTCTTCCTCTGTCGGTGATTCACACCACAGGGCAGCACCGTGGGAATCTTTCCCTCTAGTCGTTAAAGCCTGGGGTAGGGGACTTTTGTGCCAGAGAGGAGACCCGCTTGCAAATTTTCTCTCTGTTGTGCGTCAGCTGGGGGATTGTAATTTCCAGTTTGCAGAGCAACACGTTCTCTGAACTCACAACCAGTGAAAATCTAGTTTTTTAAAGAGATGGGAAATATGTGAACGAAAATGGTAATGGTGATTTTAACTTCCTTCTTTTTCTCGTTCTTCCTAAATTGTGTCTTCCTGTTAACCCGGGGTGTGTAAAACAGACCGCCATTCACCTTATCACCACCAGGGGGTGTCAGAGGATAATGCAGCAGCTTTACAGGGGACATTCTGGGTGTCGGTCAAGGTTGAGCATACCTGGTTTTTCTTGGCTTTGGTTGGCTTCACTTTGCCAGTGCGAGTGATGTCCGCGCTCAAGGAGATTTCTGAAATCCCACCAAGTAAGAGGAGAGTATTGGTAAGGGTACAGGGTTGGGGCACTTGGCCTGGTCCAAAAGGACAATCCTTTCCCCAGGACACTGTCTGCAACCGGGCTCCCTTTTCTCCCCTTCAGAGGATCCACAGGTTCAGAGACACCCTTATGTCCTCCCCTCCTCCCCAAAAAGAAGTCTGACTGCAATTCAGACAGCAGAACTGGGGCTTCTGACCACACGTACCGCCCTCGGAGGGGGCCACACCACAGCTGTGGTGCCAGCCGGACCCTGCTTGTCCAGCTACCTTCTGGGGTCTCAGGAAGAGTCACCAGTCACAGCCCACCGAGATGTTTGGTGGGAAGCCCCTGCAGGGACGCCTCAACTCCAGCCCCCAGCAACCTTGGGGTGGGGGACGCCGGGGTTGTTTCAGCCCCACCTGTCACTTTATGATGTATGTCATGCGTGCCCTGGATACAAGTCATGCCCCCCAACATGCCCCCTCTGTCCGCGTGGCATGGTCGAGGAAGCATGTTTGCTTCCAAATTCTGCCTCCCTCCTCAGAACCGTGACTGGGTGGTCGTCCCAGTGACAGAGAGCCATGATTTAGGGCCCTTGGGGCTCACAGTGTGAGGCCAGCCCAGCTGCCCTTTTAACCATATCCACAGCCACGGGTTAGTGAGGGGCCAGGGCAGTGTGGCCGGGACTTCCCTGCTCCTTCACTAACCGGCTGAGGGACCTTGGGCAAGTCTGCTTACCTCTGGTGCCTTGGCTTTCCCATCTGTAAAATGGAATGATAGTACCAATTTTGTTGGATTGTTGTAAGGCTGGCATAGAGTTACTGCTTTATTATGATCCTCGTTATTGTTAAAATGTGCATGGATGACATAAATGTGTATTAATAAATGAAATTCATTAATGAAATGAAAGCCAAAGCTTTCACAGGCAGTTCATATAGGTAATGCCCATTTAAATAATAATCATACTGTCACTATATTCTTGTTCAGGATGGGGTCAAGTTAAAAAATACACCTATTCAAAGAAGACTGTTAAATCGATAGGAGTCTAGGCTGATCACTGAGAGGGCACAACCTGTGACACTGGGACGTGAATAAGGAACCAGGACACTGGCCTGCGACAGTATCACATACGGCAGCGTCATCATCTTTTTCTTATGAGCAGTCGGTCAAAAATGCATAGAGGCTCATGTACTAAAAAATCCATGTACCACTTCCTAAGTGGAGAAACAAAGTAGTGAGATGAATTTGAAGCTCCCCGCAATAATCCTCTCTCCCCTGCGCTGACTGGGACTATGAACTACCAGGTGTGGCTGGCCGGAAACTGTCCTTTCTCTCTGCTCAGTCTGAGTAAGCGCCAGAGTGTGGCTTCTCCTGGAGAAAGGCTGTGTGTGGAGGGGACGAGGGGCGGTGCTCTAGGGTCCTGGTCACTTACCCACCCCGGTGATGTAGAGCAGGGCCTGGACCGGGCCGGTCTTGGGTCCATAGTAGGAAATCTGAACCTATAGGATAAACCAGTAATGACTTCTCTTAGTCATTCAACAAACACAAATTGGCCCCCTCCTATGTGCCAGACTGAGACCGGATGCTGAGGAGACAAGGGAAGGGCAAGAAGTCTTAGCTGCTGGGGAGCACCCCAACTGTGGGAGCAGCGGGGTAGCAAAACACTCAAATGGCTGGAATGCGTGGACGAGGGTTCCATGGGAGCCCAGAAATGGGGGCTTATGCTGCCCAGATGAGACAGGATGCTACACACTAAGGCACATCATTTAAGAGAAGAAGCTGGGGACACGGTGCAAAAGGCATTAGAGGGACAGCAGCCATGGCGACTGGCTCCGGCCAAGCAGAAGAAGCAAATGGACCTTGGAAAGGCTGGAGCCCCCACTCTCTGAGCATCTGGGGAGCAGGATATTTGGGTGGGTGGTGGTCCCTTCAGGGCAGGGGCTGTCCTGGGTGAGAAACACCAGCCCCCATTACCCAAAGTTTAACAACAACAACAACAAAAAATCCAGAAAGGACACATCTGATTGGCCCAGCCTGGCCAGAGGAGGGTGGAGCATCAGGATTGACACTTCTAAGCAAAATGGCAGAGTGAAGTTCCCCAAAGCAAACCCAAGGAGCTGCCAATGGAATACCAGGGGCTCCTGAGGGGACATACTGAGATGTTGGATCTGCCCTGTAGATAGTGGGGATCCAGAGAAATGTCACGGCCACCATCACCTTGTATCTGGGCCAAGCCTCTCGTCCAGTGCCTGGACCCAATTTACTCCCCACACTGCAGCCAGCCTGCATGCATTCTAACACGCCAGTGCAGCCGTGTTGCTTCCTGAATGAAATGCTTTCATTGGCTTCCTGTTGCCCTTGTAGAATGAGGTCCCTTATGCCAAACCCTTTAATACTGCCTTTCTCCCCCACCCACCTCCCTCTCCACTCTCCTTTCTTGCCATACAGATCTTCTCCAGTTTCCACAGCACGGGTCTCACCCTGTCCTCACCCAGAGTGAGTGGCCAGGTCACATCCCCTTCGTAGAACTCTCTCTTCTTGGTGGGGGGCAGGAGGGTCATTCATACCATCCTTCAACTTGCCACTTCTCCCAGGAAGTTTTCCCTGATTGCAGCTTCCCCAACTTGCTTTGATACCCAATCTCTGTGCTCCGACAGCAGGCAACAACTCTCTGCCCCAGGGGGCAGCCTGTTTGGCCTGTCCTGCTAGGAACAAGGGGTCATTGGCCCAGTTCTCCATGGAAACCCCAGAGGTTCCTGTTGGCATCTACAGCCAATGAGGGTGCAGTGGTAAATGGTGGTACCCCAAAAGATATGCCTGCCTCCTAATCTCAGGAACCTGTCAGTGTGACCTTATTTGGAAAAAAGTCTTTGCAGATGCAAATAAGGGTCTTGAGATGAGATTCTCCCGGATCACCAAGGCAGCCCTTGGATCAGAGTGATGAGGCCCCTCCTCTAGGAGCGCCAACAGCCACCAGAGGCTGGAAGAGGCAAAACGCTTCTCCTCCCGGATCCTCCGGAGGGAGCGCAGCCCTGTGGACGCCTGGATGTCAGACTTCGGGCCTCTGGACCTGCCGGAGATGCAGCTCTGCAGCGCTAAGCCGACAGTTGTGGTTGTTTGTGACAGCAGCCACAGGGAACAAGGTACGCAGGCACGGACCGAGTTCCCGGGGCTGCCTGGCCGCCGCTCCACACCACCGGCGTCTGGAATCGTTCAGCCACAGAGGGGCCAATGCCCTCACCCGTGGGTTCTCAGCCCCATAAAGGCGGCGCCCTCACCTGTCTTGTTTGCTTCTGTATCTCCAGTGCTCGGCATGTGGTAGCTGATCATCACCGTTTGCTGAATAGATGAATTTCTTCATCCTCAAAACCCTGGCCTCAATGGCCCCCCGGTCCCTATATTGTCCCTATATTGTCTGCGGGGACGCTGTGGCTGGGATGAGCCATCATGAGCTTCCTCAGGGAGACGCAGGCGCTGCCAGGGCAGGGCCCTGGGTCAGTGCAGGGGGGACTGTGGGGACCTGAGCCTCTGTGTCCGCTGTCCTCCTCCCTCAGAGCCCCACACCCCTCGGCTGCCACACTCACCTTCTGGTCACCTGTGCTGCTGCTGGCGACCCTCACCCCCAGGCTCACCTCCAGCCCGGGGGCCAGCGGCCACTTGGAGGAACCTGTGGGACTCCTCTTGGCTGGAGGGCTGGGGACCACGTCCACGACCACTTCTGGGGAGGCTCGGATGCCAAAGGTCGCGCAGCCCTTGGGGGCAGAGCTGGAAGACAGAGATGGGGAGCACAGGGGTCATGGAGAGGCAGGGCCTGGCCCACTGTTCCTCTCCCGGCATTCTTCCTTTCCCCCCAAAGGGCCGCCACCAGGTAGCAGCCAGTCCGACCCTGACCCCAGGAGGTTGTCAGGAGGCTGAGAAACCGGAATATAGTCCCCGACCTACAGGGCTGGCACTGGACCTCGGGGATTGGCGGAGGGATGTGGACGCCAAAGAGAAACACAGGAAGTGTGCACAGAGCAGTGTGCACCCCCGGAGGCTTACTGCCCACACACGCACGTGCGTGTGCACACACACGCACACTCAGGGCTGTGTCTGTGCGGAGACCGCTGCGGGAGCCCAGTTCACTGCAGGCCCACCTCTCAGGAAACTGCTGTGTCTGCTCACCACAGGCGGTCAGCTGCGGGGGCAGGGTGGGGTGGGGGACAGACGCAGCAAAAGAGAAAAACCAGGGGACCCGGACAACAGTGGGGCAGGAGTAGGGGAGGGGTGGAGGGAGGCAGAGGAGGGTACGGGAGGGACAAATGGAGGGAAGGAGACTTGACTTGGGGCGGTGAACCCACACTACCGTGCACAGATGACGTGTTGTGGAATCGTGCACCGGAAACCTATATGACTGTGTTAGACACTGTCTCCCAATACATTCGGTAAAAAGGAAAAATAAACACGTCCTGTTTTTTATCCTCACCGGAGGACATGCTGATTGATTTTAGAGACGGGGAAAGGAGGGAGGAGGAGAGGGAGAGAAACCCCGGTGTGAGAGACAAGCATCAGTTGGCTGCCTCCCGCACACGCCCTGACTGCGGACGGAACCCGCAACCCAGGCATGCGCCCTGACTGGGGACCGAACCGGTTTGCGGGTCAGTGCCCAAACGACGGAGCCACACCAGCCAGGGCGTGTACATACACATTTAAAATCACTGCTGGGATCGTGGGAAGTGAGAAAAATCGCTGAGGACTCCCTTCACTTCTCGTACATGCTCGCTCACACGTATGCTCACACGTACACACACACATAGTTACACTGAAGAACACCAAAGACAAAGAGAACTTAAATCAGAAAGGAAAGTCAGACTACCTATGAAGAAATAACAATCAAAACTAAAAGCCAACTTTCTAAGAGCAACAATAAAATCCAGCAGACAAGTGGGGGATATTTTCAAAGCATATTGAAAAAAAATAACAGTTAGCTTGGAATGGCATACCTGACAAACTGGTCTTTTTTTAAACCTCACTCGAGGATGTTTATTGATTTTAGAGAGAGCAGGAGACAGAAACGTCAATGCGAGAAACGCCGAATGGCCGCCTCCCGTACACACTCCCGCCGGGGCTTGAACCCGCAGCCTCTTGCTGTAAAGACAATGCTCCAGCCAACTGAGCCGCGCAGCCAGGGCCAGAACTGACTCTTCTCATAACTTCCAGCAGCCTTGGCGGAGGAATACGGAGAACCCGTGCCCCACACCAGCGACATCATTTCTCCCACTCCCGCACCCAGCATTCCCTAACCACGACCCCCCATGAGTCTGCAACACCCTCGCAGTCAGGGGCACGTGCAACCCGCCTGGGAAAGCAGACCACTCTGTGGGGCAGCTGGCCTGCTTCTTGTGATTCAGCCTCACCACAACCCAGCAGGGCGGCTGTGGATTTGCCCATTTTACAGATGTGTAAACTGAGGCGCAGACACACAGACTTGTTCATGCTCCTCACTATCACCCTGAATGGTCTCCTATTGAGCAGGAGACCCTGAGAGGAGGAGGAGAAGCCCACGGCTGGCAGCTTCAGAACACCCACCATCTTCCATGGTTGGCACCTCCCAGATGCGCCTCCCCCCCCAACGCTGGGCCTTTTGCACGCCCTGTGGAAGCTGCATAAACTCCACCAAGCAGGCAGCCATGCCCAGCGAGGCCAGCCCCGCAGCACCCACAGGCAGCGTGTGCTGGGGAGGCAGGCGAGGTGCAGATCAGACGGTCCCGGGTGCCGATCTCCTGGCTTTGCCACCTTTAATTTGCGTGACCTTGGTAGATGCTTCTACCACGAAGCCTCAGACTGCTCCTCTCTGAAATGGGCATGACAACGGTGCTGAGCACGCCGGGGGGGGGGGGGGGGGGCTCGGTCTGTGAGGATCAGAAGTCACCACCAGGGAGGGACCTGGTGCGTGGTCGTGCCCGGGCCCAGCCACAGAGTCACAGAGAGCCCTCGACAAGCCCCCGTGTTCGCCTCAAGCCAACGGGGATTTGTTTGAATGGATCAGTTCCTGGTCCAGGGAGAGTACTTTAGAAATGGACGATGAAACACACTAGCAGCGTTGTAACTTCGGCTCTGGAACAGGCACCACACCCCTGTGGTCTGTCCCCACCTCCATGTCTGTCACTCTCAGGGCCCCAAGTCCAGTGACAGAAGGCACGGCCTGAGCAAAGGCGAGGAGGCCTGTGTGTGCTGGGGGTAACATGGGGGGAGGTCACGCTGGACAAGCTGCTGAAGAGGGGGTGCCAACCGGCTGAGTTTTAGGGGGAGAACCGAGGCTCAGCTGCCCAGGGCGGCCCAGCCAGCCAACAGCAGGGCCAGGGCTGCTGCCTCAGCCTGGCCGACATCAGAGCCTGTCTCATCACACCCGCGCTGTTTCACACCTGTGCTGTTACACACCCACGCAGCCAGGTAGCAGGGAATCTTGGCTGTGGAGTGGGGTGTGACTAACTGTGCCAGGAACCAGCTACGTATGGGCCATGGAGTCCAGGCTCTAGCCTTGCTTCCAGGACGCACTTGCTGTGTGATCTTAGGCAAGTCGCAGACCCTCTCTGAGCTCCCATGGCCTCAGTGGCAATACTTTATTTGTGGTGAGGCCCCAAGAAACTCCCTCTTGTATATGGCACAACCCAGGGCCACCCAGGTCTCCTTTTTCCAGCCTGTCCCCGGCAGTGGCTACAGAGGCTGGAGCCCGCAGCCTGACCCAGCCACACGTCCTGTGTCGGCAGAGCCTGTTCACCCAACATCGCCGGACCTCCTCCCACCCCCAGGACATCCCCTGCTCACCCGTAGACATCCAGCTGCATCTCGGTGCCCAGCACACACACAGCGTAGGTGGGCTGCTCTGGGGACACATGGATCACTGTCGCCCGGGCCATAGTTCAGCCAGCTCGTCCCTGTGGCTACAGGAAGCCCCTGGGCCGGTTCCTTTATATTGCCCAGCTGAGACCGTGAGTCAGCAGCACCTGTGGTTTGCGGCTCAGTGGCTTAGCCCCTCCCCACTCAGGTCCAAGGCCTGTGCTGTCAGCCCCTCCTCTGCCCCAGATCTGCCACTGACCCCATGGGTGTTGGTTCCAGAATCAGAGGCAGGCTTGCTCTGCCAGGTTCCCACGAAAGGCGGGGGGCTGGCGTAGTCCAGGGGCGGGATTGCAGGTCCGGGCCCCCCTGGCCATAGACCGACCCATCCCTGCCTGGGGCCGCAGACACCTGCATCCAGCCAGCCTCCTCTGACTGTGCCAGCCGGGGCTATCAGAGTAGGTCAGGCAGGAAACACAGGGAAGTTTCAAGATCTTAGGCAAGAGGTCACAGCCCGGGCAACACACTCGAAGACACGCCTGGCTTGGGACAAGTCCCCTAGGCTGGGTGGCCCACGGGGTGTTTTCTGTGTGCTGGGCACCCTTCCCCGAGCTTCAAATGGAATAACTCACTGAGGCAGCCTGTGAAGGAAATGCTGTTACCACTCCCTTGTTCCACTCCGCCAGTAGCTTCACCTCTTCTTACAGTAGAAGAAATGGGCTCGGACAGGATACTCGGCGAGAAAGCGGGAGAGCCAGGATTTGAACCCGAGGCATCCTTCTCCTGAGTGTGAGACACATTCCTGCCTGCCACACGGCACATGTTTTTCCGATTTTGTAACATCTACTCTGCCTACACTACGAGGTATAGAGGAGCTTGTCACTGCTACCCATTTTACAGAAGGGAAAATAGAGGCTCAGCGAACGAAGGTGACTCCCAGGGTGCCACAGCTCCTGTGTGGCAGGCGGGAAGCTGGTGTTTCCTGCGCATGGTTGCCTGCCTCTTGCCAGGCCCACAAAGAACAAAAAAAAAAAAAAAAAAGGAAAGGAATGACGAGCTTTGGATCAAAATTGAGAAACTCTATTTATTGAAAGACAGATTCAGAGAGTAAAAAGAGAAGCCTCTGGGAGAAAATCATACATGTAAGCAGTGACAGTGGTGTACAGGTTTGTCGACTCCAACGACTCCACCAAGAAATGCCCGGCCCTCTGGTCTCTGAGATCAGTCTGTTCATCTGTCTCTGCTTACGTTCTTCACTGTCCTAGTTGCTCTAGTCTTATATTAAGTCTTTCTTTTAAGATTTTATTTATTAACTTTTAGAGAGAGGGGATGGGAAGGAGAAAGAAAAGGAGAGAAACATCAGTGTGTGAGAGATTCATCGGTCGGTTGCCTTTTGCACTCTCCAAACTGGGAGCCTGGCCCACAACCCAGGCATGTGCCCTGGCTGAGAATCGAACCTGCCACCTTTCAATTCACAGGTCGGCACCCAATCCACTGAGCCACGCCAGCCAGGGCTATAACAAGTCTTCATATCTGGTAGAACAAGTTAGCTCACGGTTTCATCTTGACGACTTAGTGGTTCTTGGCTCTTAACAGTTCTATGTAAAATCTAAAATTAGCTTGTAAGTCCTACACACACACACCCTACAGCAATTCTAATTGGGTTTGCATTCACTCATAGGAGAACCGACATGTCCTCAACACTGAGCGTCAGTGTGTGAGCACTGTCCCTCTCCACTAGCTTAGAGTTTCTCGAATGTTCCCAGCACAGCCGTATCGTCTGCTCCATAAGGTCTCGGACATCTTTTTGTTAGGTTTGCTCTTTGTTTTTATCCACTTTTCTATTGCTACTAGAAGTAGCATATTTAAGTTTTCCCATTTTCTATTTGCAGTTGGCATATGGGAACGCAATGGGTTTTTACATGCTGGTTTTGCAGCGATAATAGCCTTGCTAAACCGTCTTACTAATTTTGATAGACTAGAGACTCATTCGGATTTCCTACATGTAGAACTGTGCCTTTCCAGTCCTTAGAACTTTTCTTTCCTTTTCTTGCCTCGCTGCACTGCTTGAACCTTCTATTCAGTGGAAGGGATGGCCGGGCACCCACCTGCTCTAATCCCAGGAGGGTGGTCTCAACCTTCCATGTCAGCAGGTTTGCAGGGTGGGTTTCCTGTGGGCGGGCGTTCGTGGGCTCCAGCAGCACCCACAGCCCTGGAGGCCTTACTCAGGCACAAAAGGCTGCCGCCCCCTTTGGCTCCCCCAGCCCCGGTTTCCAATTCAGTGAACCTGGGTGCAGCCCAAGGGGCTTCGCTTCACACGGATTCTCTAGCAATGCGGAGGCTGCTGTCTGCGGACCCCCCTTTGAGAACCACTATGATACATATTCTTTGTCAGGTTAAAGGAGGTCCTTTCTAGTCTTAGCTTACGTTTTATTTTAAAGCCATAAATGGACATTTTATCAACCGTTTTTTTTTTTTAATTCAGATGGTTGTGTAGTTTTTTTCTCTGCTCTATTAACCTATTGAACTGGCTTTCTAAGCTAAGCCATGCATTCCTGGGATCTGTTTGATTCGTTCTGGTAGTGTGTAATCTGCCATTGTATCCTTTCTGCATTTAGTTCACTAAGGGTTTTGCTTAGAATTTTTGCGCTTCGCAGGCTCATTGCCGTGTCTGTAGGTTTCCTTTCTCACACTGTTCTTGACAAGCACAGTCCCCAGTGACGCCCTTATCACTGTACTCGCTGCACTGTGGTGCCTGGTCCGTTTGACAGCCTTGCTTCGTGAGCTCCCTGAAGTCAGGGTCCGCACCTGCTCAGTCGCGGCCCCATCCCCAGGCTCTGCTGCTGAGCTGGACACAGAGTTGGAGTGACCATGGCCACATACAAGAGGGGTGAGGATGACAAAGCTGTCTGGGACACGGTGACCGAGGCACTGACGCTGTGGCGATGGGGGAGGGAAGAAAGCGAGGAACGAACGTTTGCTGGGTGCTGTCTGCCGGGGGCCCTGGTCTGGTTCTCACACCGCCCAGGAAGGGAAGCATCACTCACCCGTTGCGGATGAGCGACAGAGGCTCGGCCCCACGGGAGCGCTTGGTGCTCCCATTTGGTGCCGCAGCGGGGTTGGGGGTGCTGACCACTCCACGTCCTTCTATCAAGGCGCCCGTGTGGTGGGAATCATTGGCCGGATGTCTGCCTTCAGATAATGAGAGTCGGGGGGCTAATTCTGATTCCTTTCTTTGCATGGGCTGCTGGGAAGCTCAGATTCTAACCCCGACCTTAACCACACCCAACTAGTTTGATCCTCATGGTCAAATGTGAGTATGTTTGTCCTTTCCCCCCACCTATATTTCCTAGCTTTTTTCTGCTTTGGTGTTTTACTTCCCTCCACTTTTAAATCACCAGCTTGCTGACTATGTCCTTCTTATAAGTGGCCTCACATCCCTTGAGAATTACATCGATGGAGTAAAAAAAAAACAAGTAAACATAATGACAGAGCTGTCCAGGACCTTCCCGGACGGTGTTACTCACCTAAGAATGCGTTTCTGAATGACGCCTGGCCCAGCCCTTCTCAGGTTCCTGCTTGCTGGAGCCCTGGGAACTGCCCGGGGCGGCTATAATTTCTGCCAGTGAGATGTTTCAGATTAACATAATTAACACGGAGGCGCAGTTTCTCAGGATGCTGAGACTCATTTAAAGATCCAAGAAGGGTTCAAAGAACAAAGGATGGAACTAACTTTAACATTGGCCTTCACCTCTTCTAAGACATAACTGCTTCAGAGAGAGGTTTCTTTTCATCCGCTGCTTCCTGACAGACACACCTGTCGAGTGCCCACTGTGACCGTGCTCACCCTGTGTACCCTCATTTCTAGGAATTCCAAGGGTGACTCCTGCCCCCTGGCATCCTGCCAGCACCTGTCTCTAACCCTTGCCACCATCACGAGAAAATTCGGGGAGCCAGGAGATCAAGACCGGGTGCCCAGCATAGGGGTGATGGTGGGGACTAGGGAGCCAAGCCCCTCCCCTCCCCTAGGCCTGGTGCAAGTTTGCCCACCGCTTGTCAGGGCACATCGTGGTGGACTCAGGAGGGACGCCGCAGCCCTCCTCCCAGTGGGTGGGAAATGCTCCAACCTGCTGCATTAATCAAGGCTTTGCTGTAGCCAGACTTCCTACATGTTTGTAAGAAACTTTAGCTTAAAAATGTTTATGGTCAGGAAAAGACACATAAAAGATTCTGGGTGGCAGCGCAGAAAATCGAGGCTTCCGAGCCAAGCACACTTGTCTTTGAGCTTCCAGGGGCAAGTCAGTTCAAGTTGCATCCTCCCCGTCACGCGGCTGCAGTTTACGAGCGCCAGGCACTGTGCCAAGCACCTACCCGACAATTTCCTACACAGCTCCCAACACCACCCCAACACGGGTACTATTAGTGTCCCCAGCTTACCAATGAGGAAAGTTACGTAACGTTCAGGAAGGTTAAGTAACCTCCCCAAAGACACACAGCGGCCCAGGGGCCAAGCCAGGAAGCTCACACTGAACACCTGGGTGCACAGGACGTGCTCAGCAAGCAGCTAATGAACTAAATACAGGTGTGCCTGGCGGTTGTGCCTTCCCATCTGTAGAGCTCTTACGCATGAGCAGCAGGCAGGTCCAAGTGGGCAGAGAACCTCAACTTACCTCTGTGTGGGCACATCGGTGAATTGCTTCATCATCCCAAACAGCGAAGGGGGAAGGGAAAGACAGACACTTGCTCACACGCCTTTGTCAGCCGCCGGGTCCTTGGGGACGGCCTTGTCTGCTCCCTCTGAGGTGGCTCTTGGCCCACTAATCTCTCTCCAGGAAACTCTGCTTACCGTGGCTCTCTGTCCACCAGGGAGCCCCAGCCCCGCAGCCTGAGGGCGCCTGGGAACAGGGTGAGGAGCAGACTGGGAGGAACCTGCGGGGGTTGGGCCCGGCGCTGGGTGACCACAGCTAGGAGGAGAAGGCAGACTCTAAATCCCCAAGGGTGGGACCACGTGAAATGGATAGAAATGGAAGCGAGGGAGGGAGGTGGGTTTGGAGGGGGTTGGGGGAAGGGTGTGGGGAGAAAATACAGACAACTGTAACTGAACAACAATAAAATAATTTAAATAAATTAAAAAGCTGCAATTAAAAAAAAAAGAAATGCAACTGAAAACTAAAGGCTGGGCCCTGGGACGCCTCCTCCGTAAAAGAGAGCCTTTTTAAATTTTAATGGCCTTCTGTCTTTCTCCTCTGGTCTGAGGTGGCTAGCGGCAGCAAAGAATTCCTTTGTCTATCATGGGGACTCAACCCTGGGAGGCTGCTTCCCTGCAGAGAACCCCATTTCCCAGAGTGCCTTGCACCCCCCATGGCCACTGGGTTCTCCTGGTTGCTGATTCTGGGAGGAGGGGGGCCGGTTACCGTGGAGGGGGAGGGGCAGGGGTGCTAGGAGGACAGTGTGGCCTGGGTCACTGACGCCGTACCCCGACGGCATGTCAGAATCACGGGGCAATTACATCAAGACAGAGTTTCCGAGGGGTGACTCGGAGGGGTCCTCACCCTGCTAGGTTTTTAGAGCCTTCCAGGTGACCCTAACACACAGACAGGTCGGGAACCATTAGAATGGCTGGTTAAGAACCCAGGCTGTGGCGGTCCCGTGTCTGAGCTTACACCCGTCTCCCCGCTTAACTCAGTGACCCAGGCAAGTTCGTTCCGCTGCGCCTCGGCCTCCTCCTCCGTGCAGTAGTCACTACTGGCTAGCCTGTCATGCAGAGCCAGTGACAGGGTGTGTGCCAAGGGTCCAGCACGGGCCCGGCATGTGCCTGGCACACGGCTCATACTCACCGTCATCTCGCTGCAGGGGATATGGGACCATAGGGACTTCGTAGGAAGTGACGGCTTTCACCGACTCTGGGCAGTCACCCACAGTTCCTTTCCCACCCGCTTCCCCAGAGCCCCAGGTGCCCCCCTCTCGACACTCCTGCTCTCTGGGGCTGCCAACCAAGGTGCCGGGGACCACAGGACTGGGAGCCTCCTGCCAAGGCCCTGCAGTTACTGATTCCTCGTTCTGAACACAGGGTGAGTCAGGCGGGCCCAGTGCCACCCAGAGCTGTAAATTCCCACAAGAAAGACAGGCCTGTGCTTCCAGTCTGGACCGAGCCTCTTCCAGGATCTGCCCCTTGAAGCCCAGACCAGCAGGATTCGATCTGAGAGTTGCTGGGACAGCCTGCCCTTCCCCTCCCCCAAAATCTTACTGCTTGGTCGCACAGGGTCCTGGTCCCCTGTTAGAATGCAGAAATTAGGAATTTATCTAAAAAGCACTGGCTAGAGGAGGGTCTGCAGGATGTCACATAACAAGAGTCACCGATTATTGAGCACCTACTATGTGCCAGTCACTGCTACTAATCGCGCCACTTAACCCCACGCAAGCTCCGTGAGGCAGGCACAACTATGGAGTCCACTTTGCAGAGGAGAGAACTGAGGCTCAGAGAAGCCAAGTGCACAGCCAAGTTCCAGGTCCGCATCGCATCGTCCGACTCCGAGGCACATGGCCTTTGCACTGTGCCGCGCTGCTTTGCCCAGAGCCTGCGGTGTGTGTGGCATATGGGCAGAGTGCCCGGATGTGGTCTAGCCAGGGCCATCCAACCTGCAGCCCACGGGCCAAGTACAGCCCAGAATGGCTGTGAATGCGGCCCAACACAAAACCGAGCTGAGGGTTTGGTGACCCTTATCCTCAGACTTGATGAAGCAGCCCCCAGTGCTTTTAGGAGTCACCAGTCTGCACCCACAGGGTCCCGGTGTCAGCCCAGCACTGCTGAGGGTCCAGGACTGAGCACCAGCTCAGGAGGACCCATTGATGGCATCTTTCTCCTGTTGACTCCATGACACCTGTCAGGTGGCCAGGCTGGATTTCAGAGGTGGCGTGTGTGGCCCAGGTCATGGAGGCCAGAAAGCCCAGTCGGGGGCCAGCTGCCTGAGACTGGCAGAATAATGGCCCTCCAAAGATGGCCATGACCGAATCCTCAGAACCTGTGAATATGAGACTACGTGGCCGGGGGAGTCAAGGTTGCGGACACAACGGAGGTTGTGAATCAGCTGACTCGAGATGGTAGAGTCTTCTGGCTCGTCCAGGTGGGCCCAGTGCAGCCAAGGTCCTTATAAGTGGAAGAAGAGGCAGGAAGGTCTGAGACATTCTTAAGGCATCACACTGCTGGCTTTGAAGAGGGAGGAAGGAAGGGCCACAGGCCGAGGAAGGCAGGCAGCCTCCCAGAGCTGAAAAAGTCAAGGACACAGTGTCTCCTCTGAAGGCTCCAGAAGGGACCCAGCCATCCTGATACTGGATCCATTTCAGACTCCTGACCTCCCAAACCGTACGGTAATGAACTGTATTGTTCAGAGCCACTGAGCTCATGGTCATTCGTTACAGCAGCCGGAGGAAGCCAAGACACCGACTAAATCCCCTGTGTGGAGAGGCGAAGGCTGGCTTCGGTGGCCCGAACAGGGATTTATTTTGCTTCCTCTCTGCATCGGGCTCAGGCTCCTGGGGCTGCCCAGTCAACCTCACCCCCACCGGCCTGGAGCACAGGAGGCTGACTGGGGAAGAGAGAAGTGCCCAGGGCTTTCTGCCACGTCCTCCCAGAGCCCTGTGGCCAGCCCGAGGGTACCTGGGGGCAAAAAAGGCCAGCTTGCAGCCCTGGCTGGTGTAGCTCAGTGGATTGAGTGTGGGCCTGCGAACCAAAGTAGCACAGTTCGATTCCCAGTCAGGGCACATACCTGGGTTGCAGGCCAGTTCCCAGCATGGGACGCACAAGAGGCAACCATACATTGATATTTCTCTCCTTCCCTTCCCCTCTAAAGATTAAAAAAAAAGGCCACCTGGGAATCTCAACCCTGTTCTCCCAGTTTTAAGTACTTGCTTTCAAGAAAGTCACACTCCCCACCCCAAACCCTTTCACTTTCTTTTTTTATTACTCAATTTATTGGGGTAACATTGATTAATTAAACCCTTCCAAAAACTGGATTTTTCTCAACATCCTCATTTGTTTCAACTTCCTCGGGAGGTGGCCTTATTCTGATAAAATCTGGCCAAGGCGGGGCACTAGGAGTCCGCCCCAGAGAACCAAAGCAGACGGTGCTGGGGAGGCGGCATCGGAGACCCCCGTAGCTCTCTTCTGACCACCCAGCAGCAGCCCAGTGCCGGGGCCAGCCTGGGAGTGCTGCTGTTTCGCACATCTGGCGACAGTGGGAGGGTTGGCAGGGTGACGGGCAAAGGGAGTGGTTTCCCGGGCCCCCATCGCAAGCCCACCTGGCCTCTAATGGGGCTCCCCATGGCAGGAAGGGGGTGCCGTCAAGGGCTCGCTCGCAGCAGGCCGCCCCGCTCGCCACATGCTCCATCCGGCTTCCCCCATTACCACACTCACAACGCAACCTTCCGGCCGCAGCCCAGCCCTTGCCCTGTCACGCTCGCTTGGGCCTTGCTGCCCGGCATCTGACCATGAACTTGCATCTGTGCCTCCCCGCCAGTCCTAACTCATCCTGTGGCCAAGACAGAGTGACCTCGAAGTCTTAGCGAAATCTGGGCTTATCGTCCCCAAATCTTTCATAGGTCGGGCAAGTAAAGGCTTCAACTTTGAGGAGCTCTCTGTTCTTACTATCGTGTTCTGATCCTAAAAAAGGGCCAGAATCAGACTCAAACCATTTGTGCTTCTATAGGTTTATTAGCCAGTGATGGAAGGACACAGCTGGACCACTCGTAACTGATGCACATCTGTTTGCCACCCACAGCATGCCGCCCACCCCCCCCCTTTCTCTCCCCCAGCACACGGAACAGTTTATTCCCAGAGTTGCCCCACTGAGACCAGTCTTGGTGGGTTTGGCCCCTATAGGTCCCTTCTGTGGCACAGCAGGACTACCTCCTGCCAGGGGTGTCCCCTCCAGCAGAGGGAGGCCCCAGGGCCACCCAAGCACCCTATGTATTTTGAGGATGTGTTCGCCCCTGTACCCACAGACTTCCCCATCTCCAGGAATTCCCTGGATACCCTCATCACCAAGACATTCCAGGAGGTACAAAGCCAGGTTTCTGAATATCAGGTGATGGGGAATTTTTAAGGCTAAGGGACAACTATCATTTCTTGCACGTGCACCTACAAGCACCTTCTATACTCATTCATACTGGGCATTGGGCAGGCTAAGTGGAGAGTTCAGGATCTGGACAGGAGTTTGGCAATTGGGGGATGGTCCTGCCTCAAGGTCAGCGGACCCTAGCTCCTTCCCTGCGGGTGGGGCGACGGGCAGAATCTCTCCTGTGGGGGGGATCTGACTTTGAGCTGTTCTCCTGCAGAGAGCGGGGCAATCAGGCCAAAGCAGAACCATGGGTCCTTCCTCCATTAGGATACACAGGCCGAGAGGATGGATGAGGTGCGTGGATGATTCTAGATCCCAGAGTGAATTTGGCTGTGAATGGAGGATTTGGGGGTGGGGATGTCTGGAGGAGCCCCCACAGGTCATGTTGATCTGCAGAAGAGGCCACAAGAAATGAGGTCCTCCTTCACGGAAGGCCAAGTGAAATCAAGCCCAAGGAGCAAATGGGCTTCCGATGAGGCATGAACATTTCTAGGAAACAGGCTTCGGAGAGGGCCGAGTCACCCTTGGCATTCCATCTGGACACTTGGGGTCTCCTGACCCTTATTATTTAGGGGCCTGTCTCAGTCTCCATCACCTGGGCAGAGGTCCCACCCCACAGGGGGAGAGGATGGCAGGGGGGACACGCTCAGGGCACCATGTGCCACCACTTGAAGGAGAAGGGCTGCCTGCGCACATTGGTCCCGCAGTGGACCTCCCCGTGCAGCATGTGGTATGGAGTGAAGTCATCGATGAAGGTGCAGTGGAGGCCCAGCGGCTCCAGCAGGGCCCGCACCTTCTCCTCCAAGCAGCAGCGGCCGTGGATGATGGGCCCGAAGGGCTTGGGGATGCCCAGGTGTTTGCCCAGCACCAGCATGTTCACCTGCGAAGGTGAGATCCCAGGTCAGGGGCGGCACTTCATCCTCAGTTCCCACCCCAACACCTTCACTCCACCTGGCAAGACCTGAGTTTGTCTTTTAGGCAGCCTCAAAAATAGCTACTCGCTCTTCCGTGTGGCGGGAGAGGGACCTGGGCTGGTAAGAACTCTAGCCAGCTGTGCTTCCCCAGGACCATCTGCAGAGCTCACAATGACAACTTATTTCTCTAGTGACTGCCTTCCTGGTTGGCGGGTTGTGCTACAGAATCCCCACCTTTTAAAAGCCTAGGGACCACGGTAGACATCCGAGCCAAGCCAGACTAATCAGATCCTCTCGCTCGAATTTCTGGAGCTGACATGGCAGGAGAGTCAAGTCAGTCTCTGTGTCTGTATCTATCGTGCATGGCCATGTTCATGTCCATCCCCAGGGACAGAGAAGCAAAGGAAGCCAGGCTGGAGGACGGGGGAGGAAGGAGGAGGGAGGGGGATGAGCGATATAAATAGATGCAGTGTTAAGAGATGGTCCCAGCCCCCCCTGCAGCCCCCCACTCCAGCCATCCCTGCGCTCCGCTTTCATGGTGTCCTCTCTAGGACATATTAAACCCCCCTCTCTAGGTGAAGCTAGCTTGGGAGCCCTCTGTTTTCTGCAAACACAGGAATCCGAACCCACGCACAAGCTTCTGGTGGCACATAGGTAATCGCAAGGCCACCTTAAACATGCAGGAAGGAAGGGGAGTGATGAGAGGCTTTGCAAGTGGGGAAATCCAAGAGGGCAAAAAAGTCAGAGAGGGAAGGAAAAGGGGGTGGGGCAGTGAAGCAACCGTGGTGCAGACGGTGGTGCAGACAGGCTCCTTGCAAGGGTCTGGGGATGGATGGGGGTTGGGGATGGAGGTGGGAGTGGGTGGGGGCAGGGAGGGAAAGGGGGTGCAGGGAGGGAAGCTGGGTGCTCTCCAGCAGTGCTATCCAAAGTGTGGCCCTCAGATAGCAGCATCCATGTCACTTGGGTCCTGGTTAGAAAGGCAGCAGTGTCTCAGGCCCTGCCTCAGACCTGCTGAATCAGACCTGCTTGCGTCCAGGTGTTCCAGATGCAAGTTCAAAGTCTGAGTCCTCAGGGCTCAAGCAAAGGCCACTGCTCCCATGCAGCATTCTGGGATGGTCTGACCTCTGAACTGCCACACCACTTTATGATACAGAACATCACTGGGACAGGTCCTCAGAGAAGGGAGGCATTTCCCCCTCTCCAGATTAGACCGGCAGCTGCCTGGGAGCAGGGAGCAGCTGCATCATCTCCGTATCTCCCACAGGGCACCCTAACGTGTGGAGGTTGGATGAATAGCTGTGAGCCCGGAGGAAAGGGGAGGATGGACATCTCCCCTCCCAGCTGACGCTGTGGGTTTTACACCACCTCATGCAACAACCTCTTCACTCTGCACATGTCAAGTGAGCCCCTGGGAGGGGGGAGTGGCCCTTTCCTGGTGGTCCTTGAGCAAGGGGCTTGGCCAGTAAGCATCTGTAGGGACCATGATGATCAGCCAACCAGAAGCCCTTCTGCGGGCCACCGTGGAACCCCTGCTTCTCTCTGCCACCCCCACTGGCGACTGCAATCCCAAACGTGGCAGGCACCAAACATCCTGCCTCTCAGAGAGTGGAGGCGTGAAGCCTATTGTGAGGAAACCTTAAGTCCCAGATGGTGGTCTCACCAAGTCAGGGAAGAAAGCCACCGCCTTTTTCTTCTCGGTCTTGAAGAGCTGGGGGATGTCCACAATGTCCCGCTCCGTCAGGCCCAGCTCCCGCTTCAGCACCTCCCGGTTCCAGTCGATGCAGCTCTGGGGCAGGGGGAGGCAGAATTGGGAACCCTTGCCTATGTGTACAGGGGTCCCCGTGGGGTCCTGTCTGGGTAAGACAGTGTGGGCTGCCCAGCTCTCTATACCAACCTGTGTACCCTTCATCAAAATACACCTGTCCTATGTGCCACTCCTCATGGTCCTGTCCCACCAGCGGGGTTCAAAATGACAGTGGTCCAGAGTGCTCCATCCTTGGCCCTCTTCCCTTCTCTGCGCCCTTCCCTCCTCCAGTCTCAGTTTGAACACCATCTGGACTCTGACGGCTGCCCGGTTTCTACCTCCCAGCCTGCCTGCCTTCTCCTTTGCTCAGGGTCGGAGCTCCCATCTCCTCCAGCCCCCTCCCTCTCTCCCCGAGGTCCCTGAGCAAATCCTTGCACATCTGACCCCATCTCGGCACTTGTGTCTGTAGGATCCCAGAGATCCCACTGGCCCTTCTGGACACACTGCACGCCATCTCCGCTCTGTGCCCCAGGAGGCTGACCCTTGAGAACCAGGTGTCCCGAGCCACTGGCTTCTGCTGGGATCCAGCCAATGGGGACACAGGGAGGAGGTGGGGGCTGGTAGGATGGTGCAGGGGGGTACTGGTTCTCCCCACTCCCTCCCTGCCAGGTCACTGTGGGCTGGCTCTGAAGGTCACAGCTCCTGTCTCCCACCCCTCTTTTCAGAGTGACCTCTCTGGGTTCCAGCAACAGCTCTGGTCCCTAACTCCTTCAGGCCTAGGGATAGGGACAGCTCCCCTTTTCCAGCCTGGGGACACTGCACAGACCTTGCTGATTTCCCCAGATGCTGCCTGTGTCTTTGTAAATATTCCCTCGATTAAGCTTAGACAGCTGACGGGCCATGCATTTGCTGCTGGGACCCACTGTCTGCCCTTACCCCTGTGATGCAATGATACAGTCTCAACATAGCAGCACAGAGATCCTTTCAAAGCCTATGTCAGATCAGGTCCCTCCTCTGCCCACTACCCGCTCCCCATGCTCAGTAACCTCCAACCTCACCCAGAGCCATAGCCAATGCCCTAGGAATGCCCTACAAGGCCTCGTGTGACCCTGTGGACCTCCTGGCTTGTCCTTATACACTCTGAGCCCCATCATTCTACTCAGGGCCATCCTCTGTGCTGTTCCCGCTGGCTGCAATGCTTGTCCTCCGCACAGGCACATGTCTTACCCACTCATTTTTCTAGGGTCAGAGTAGGGGCTTAGAGTGCCTCTGTCTAGTCCCGTCCAGCCTGAACTTTCTGGAACCATCAGCCTCAGATGCCCATCCCATCCCTGTCTCCATCCCTGCCTACCTCTACTCACAGCCCATGCCCTGTACCTGCACAAATTTATTGTAGCTGATGAGGTTTTCATCGGAGAGGACCTGGTTGATGGAGATGGTGTTGACCTGCACGCTCCCTGTGAGGGGGAGAGAGAGACCTGAAGGGAGGGGCCAGTACCGGCCCCTCTGTGGAACAGGGCAGAGGGCCACAGCGCTGTGAGCATTAGACCAGTATTTGAGTTCATTGGAAGGGGCAATGCCTTTCATTGGGCACTGACAAGCCCCTCCCCCAGGGCAGTTGGTGATGATTCCTCTTCTTCTGTGTAGCGAGGGTGGGGCTGGGTCACCACCTGCCCACCGGTGCCCGCCGTGGTGGACACCACTGGCCCTCCACCAGGGGAAGCATGCAGCACGCGGAGGCCTGGGGTGTCCGAGGAGACGGGGCTGGACAGGGAAGGGGAGGTTAGAGCCAGCATCATCCTTGCAGGCGCCGTCTATGCAGCTCCTACCACAACAGGCCCTGAGGTCGGAGCTATGCATTTAGCGCCTCACTTAACCCTCACCGCAGCCTCACGGGACGTGCGTCATTATCCCCACACAAATCCGGGAGCTGAGGCTCAGAGACGTGAAAGTCTTGCCCAGGGTCTTACAGCTGAGAAACAGAGAGGAGCTTGAGATCGAACACTAGCCCAGCACTCGGGAAGGGCCTGAAGCCTTGACCGTGGGACAGGAAATGGCTTCCTGGACCCAGCTGCCAGCTGGGCATCCCCTCCACCCTTTTGGGCAATCCCTTCTACCCCAGCTGGAGTCAGATGGCTGGGGTTCAGAGCCTGCTCTGCTACGTCCTTGCCTCTGGGCCAGGGACCAACTTCCAGGCATTCTCCGGTGTGAAGGGGGGTGACAGGGATCCCCCCAGGCCTCCACAAGGTCTAATGGGACAATTAGGGTAGAGCACAGGCCAGCAGCTGGGCACAAAGTATGTTATTATATAGCGATGCTGGGCTTCCCTGGTCACAGCCGTGGCTGTCACCAGGGCAGCATGGCGGCTGTGTGTGGCCGGACAGCCATGAGTCCCCCCACTCTCCTTCCCAGCTGGGCACTTGGAAAAACTGCTCAGCCTCTTCCCGGGCCTCATTCACCACCAACCTGGTGCTTCAGAGAAAGATGATGAGGGCTTCCCTGCCTGGTACATAACATTTGAAGAGGAGGATTTTTAAGGTTCGATCTGAGCTCAGAGGAGGCTGGTCATGGTCCCTCTGGGAGCATCGGCGTGGGAGAGATCTGTATTCCTTACACTTTTCGTCTGGGGTCCCAGGACTGTTCTGGGAGGGGGGTGGGAACTCAGTCCTGGGAGGCAGCAGGGGACAGAACTATTCACGGGAACATCCATGAGCCCAGGTTCTAATCCCCCAATAGACGGTCCATTGACTAATCAGATTTTTATCACAAAGCACAGACTATTGTGAATTTCAAGACAGTGACAACTGGGCATCAAACCTCAGGCAAGGGGCCCTTCTGAGCAGAGGGCCCTGTGGGACTGCACTGGTCCCAGGCATGAAGCTGGCCCCACTCCAGCCCGCTGCCCATCCTCCACCACGGTGCTCTCTGCCAGCTTTGTCCCAGCCGCGGCCCACAGGGGCTGGTGGAGCAAGGTGAGCAGTCACAGAAGTGAGGGCTCCTGATTTTGGGGGGACAGTCCTGCTTTAAAATTTGCCATCCCTCTCTCAAGTCACCATGTGTCTTGCTTTAAGTGAGGGGGTTTGAGAACTGTGATGGGGGACACTGGTACCCACCAACCAGCCCTTCGAACAGGAGGGCCCTGCCGTGGCCCCACTTCCGCTTTTCCTGGAAGAGCTTGAAGCAGGCACCAGGGCTGGCCAGGAGCATCCGGAAGCCCTGTGTGGAGAGAGCAGACGGGCTGAGCTGCCTGGACTCAGCACGGCTCCCGGGAGCTCATCCCCTGACCCAGCCGCCAGGGACAGCCCTGTCTCCCAAGTCCTTACCTTCCTATCGGAGGCAGGGACGAAACTCAGGAACTCATCCACGTGGCCCACAGCCAACCAGTCCACAAAGAGCTCCACGGGGGGCTGCACCCTCTGGGCGTAGAGGAAATCCCGCACCACCTGGGTGACCCTGCGGCCACTTGACCTGGGGCCCAAAGAGTTGAAAAAGGTTGCTTAACTAAACAAAGAAACAAAAGAGGTATGCAGTAATGGAAAGACAAGAGCTCAAGATTTCTGCATTGTATTTGTAAGTAGGGAAGCTATATATATCTCGTCATCCAGGCAAGTCCTCAGACCCCAATCTCACATTCTCCAAGCAACCGCTTTTACCCCTGAATGCCACCTCCACGGCAGGTGGTCCTTCTTCGAGTTTACCTTACATTTCTCTCTTCACAGCTTCACCCTCCTGTACACGAGTGGGGAGAGAGGTGGACAAGATCACCCTCAAGGGGCCTGAAAGCCTCGGCATTATGTGGTGGTGAATTTCTTTTTTTTTTTTTTGACATCTATTTATTTATTTATTTTTAAATTTTTTAATTGATTATGCTGTTACAGTTGTTCTATTCCCCCCTTCATTCCCCTCTACCCTACCCCCCATCCCCACCATTACCCCCCCTTTAGTTTATGACCATGTGTCTCAAGTTCTTTGGATTCTATATTTCCCATGCTATTCTTGCCCCCCCATCTATTTTCTATCTACTGTCTATGCTACTTATTTTCTGTACCTTCTCCCCCCTTTTCCTCCTCCCACTCCCCTGTTGCTAACCCTCCTTGAGATCTTCATTTCTATGTTTCCACTCCTGATCTAGCTGTCCTTTTAGTTTGCTTTTGTTTTAGGTTGTTAATAACTGTGAGTTTGTTGTCCTTTCGCTGTTCATGTTGCTTTAACTTCTTTTTCTTAGATAAGTCCCTTTAACATTTCATATAATAAGGGCTTGGTGATGATGAACTCCTTGAATTTGATCTTATCTGAGAAGCACTTTATCTGCCCTTCCATTCTAAATGAAAGTTTTGCTGGATAGAGCAGTCTTGGTTGTAGGTCTTTGGATTTCATGACTTGGAATACCTCTTTCCAGCCCCTTCTTGCCTGGAAGGTCTCTTTTGAGAAATCTGCTGACAGTCTGATGGGGACTCCTTTGTAGGTGACTGTCCCCTTAGCTCTTGCTGCTTCTAGGGTTCTCTCCTTCATTTTAATCTTGGCTAATGTAATTATGATGTGCCTTGGTGTGTTCCTTCTTGGGTCCAACTTCTTTGGGACTCTCTGAGCTTCCTGGATTTCCTGGAAGTCTATTTCCTTTGCCAGATTGGGGAAATTCTCCTTTATTATTTGTTCAAATAAGTTTTCCACTGGTGGCTGTGCCTTTCCCCCTTCTGGTACCCCTATAATTCGGACGTTGGAGTGTTTAAAGATGTCCTGGAGGTTCCTAAGACTCTCCTCATTTCTTTGAATTCTTGCTTCTTGACTTTTCTGTTTGGCCATTATTTGCTTTCTTCTGGTTCACTCCATTGATTTGAGTCCCAGTTTCCTTTTCATTGGTATTGGTGTCCTGTGCAATTCCATTCATTTCAATTAGTTTCGCCTTCATATATTTGTCTAATTTGTCGGTATAATCAACCAGTTCTGTGAGGATCCTGATGACCAGTGTTTTAAACTGTGCGTCTGAGCGTTTTGCTATTTCTTCATCGCTTAGATCTATGGGCTCTGGGGCTTTGAGATCTTGAGACATTTTTGGTCTGTTCTGGCCCTTTAAGTGTGGGAAGCAGTGCCTTGGACTCCCAGGTCGCTGGGTTGTGACGCTAAGCTGTATGTGGGGGCGTGGTCAGAGCGGGGGAAATGGCGACCCCCTCTGCTGTTTCTCACAGCTGGGTGAGGATTAGCGTCTTAGGTGGTTCACCTGGGCCAGGCCACTCAGAGTCGCTGGGTTATGACGCTGTATGTGGAGGTGGGGTCATGGTGGTGAATTTCAATCTCATTTTCTTTGCCCTCTGGTAAAGGATCTAGTGGCCTTGCCCAAACTGCCTCTTCCTGTGGGATCAGTCAGTCCCCTCCGAAGCTTCCTGAGTCACCGCCATTCGATCCCAAGTCCGTTCTAACTGCCTTGCTGAGCTTGGTTAACTCTATGTGTTGGCCTATCATACAGCAAACAACCATTACCATACAATTCCTTTCTTTTCCATCAGCCCCCTGTGGTTACATGCTGAATAAGACATAAGTTGTGTGCGTGTGTGTGTGTGTGTGTGTGTGTGTGTGTGTGTTACCACCATCTCACTTCTCAGGTCCCATACCTCCCTTCTCCTGCTCTCAGGAAAAGATCTGATAGTAGTCATTTACATCATAGTATAAACAAGCTCTGACTTAAATGCAGTTTCTCCCAGGACTATTGAGACTGAAAGCTTTTCCTTCTGTAAGAGTTCATTGGTAGCAACGTCTACTTATTTTCTGAATTGGAAGACCTACATCTAGTTATAACTTCACCTTTGGTGTCACCTTTCCAGGTCGCTCACCCTCTCTGGGCCCACGTGTAAAACAAAAGGGTTGAATGGTGCCTTGGGTCCCTGCTTGCTCTGGCCTTCTCAATTTCCCAATTTAAGTGGCAGTGTCTAGTGAAGAGCCCACCACCCTCCCCACCCGCAGCTTCTCGGACTATGATTTTATCGTTCCTTCTTTCTGGTTCTCTTTGGGGAGTGCAATAGCCCCTCACCCCTCAGCCTCCATCACCCCTGCCCCAGCCTCCATCCCGGCAACATCTCTCCCGGCTCCTCTCTTACCCAGGCAGGTTGCCCCCAATGAGGATCCTCCCCAGGGGGTACTCCTTCCCGTTGGCCACCACTGGGGGGCTGACCTCCAGGTTCCCGAAGGAGTCCAGGCCACACACAGAGCTGCCTTGTGGTTCCCGGGTCACATAGCCAAAATCTGGACCCTGGTAGGGGAAACTGAGTCAGGCTGGCTGGGGTGAGGGCAGACAGCTCACCACGAAGAGCTTAAAGCAACTTTCCGGGTTCTGAATTCCTTAAAGATGCGGTGGCAGTGGCTGCCCATCCTTCAGATGCAAACACTGAGTCGAAGGCTGGGATCCGAACTATTTGATATTACATATGTGCGCGAGGGCCAACATTGGGAAACACAGAGGCCTGCTGGCCCTGCTACCGTGTTAGAGCATGTTATCCCCCATGGTCACAGCAAGGCAGCAAAGAGAGCATTGGTTGCCCCTGAGCCCCCCCATTAGACACAGAGCCCAAGGCCATGGCTACCCCCTTTCTCTGTGCACAGGCATCCTGCCAAGTCCAGCCAAGGACAGTCATCTGGCTGCTCTAGAGTGGCCAGTCCCTGGGATCCAAGAGGCTGGGGACAGCCTTCTAAGTCTCAGTCTTTCAACTCTGGAAGAGGAGGGGACCTCCCAGGGCCACCTCTTAGAAGGCCCTTCAGAGGTGAGAGGCCCTGCCAGCTGTGTGATCTGGTGGCGGGGGGGATGGGGAGGCGCTCCCGTTCTCTAGGCACCATTGGGATCTCCCCTCCTTCCTCAAGGTGGCCCTGGTCAGCCATCGCTGTCTGCACAATTATCCTCGTCACCAATAATACTTGCATGCCCCCTCTGTGCAGACACAGGGCAGCCTCACAGACACATATGGGGCTGGGGCTGTGATGACGTTTTTACTGATGAGGAAATGGAGGTTCAGAGAGGGAGAGTGACTCATGCAAGGCCACACAGCACGTGAGTGACAGCCGAGCTGCTGTTCTGAACAGTTGCACTGTCCCGCCCGCCCTGTCCAGGGCTGTCAGATTTTTAACAGATAAAAATAGAGAATGCCCCGTTAAATTTGATTCCAGATATACAATATATTTTATTATTTTTATTAACAACAAATATATTTTAGTATAAGCATGTCCCATGCAATGTTTGGGACATACTTATACCCAAACGATACTCATTGCTTATCTGAAATTTAGCCTGTGTCTAACCTGGCAACTCCATTCCTGTTCTGCAAGATCGTGGTTCCCAGGGCTGCCCCCGGTTCTCCACACCCCAGTGTGGCCCTCGAGGTAACATCCCCTGACCCTCAGTGCTGGGCCACGCCCCAGACCACTCACCAGGATCCGTTTGTAAGGGAAGTCCTGCAGTTCCCCATTCCTGGGGGAGTCAAAGACCACCGGGAAGGTCTTGTGTGGCGCCTGGACATAGCCCAGCTCCATCTCGTCCTGCAAACAACAGAGAAGCTCGGCGGTGGGCCGTCAACAACTCCCCACGCCTGCTTGACACTGAGCACTTTGGAGGGCGGGGGGATTGCTCCCAGGAGGTCTCTGCCTCAGAGAACATTGTCCTCAGGAGTGACAAGGGCAGGGGCCATGATGTCTGCTGGCTGAGGAGGTGCTGGAGGCTCAGAGAGGGGGTGCACTTGTGTAGGGTCACACAGCAAGACAGGCCAGGAATGAATAAGAACATGGACATGACCTTGGGGGTGTCACCATGCTGGGTCAGGGCAGAGTGGACACAGAGAAGGACTCAGAGTGGCCTGAGTTGGACAAGCAAGACTCCGGGCATCAGCCAGAACCTCTGGCCTCCGCGTGTGGTCATGGAGGGTTGACAGTTGGATAGAGCTTCGGGGACACGAGGAGGTACCAATCTGCCTCTTTCTCAGACCCATAAATGTGCCCGGGTCAATCCTGAGCCCTCTGGTCCTGGAGGCAAAGGGGGCCCCGCCCAGACGAACTACACACCCAATGAGAAGCTCAATATTACATGCCCTGCCCTAGGCTCCTTACAGATATTAACTCCGTTCATCCTCATGACACGCCTATGTATAGGCGCTACTAGACCCATGTTATACATGAGGAGAGTGAGGAGCAGAGAGGTCTAGTTATTTGTCCAAAGGTGCACAGCTAGTCAGTAGCACAGGCAGAATCCAAATCCAACTGGTCTCACTCGGGGTCCTGCCCTTCACCACCTCATTGGATGAGCCTCCAACCATACCACACATCCTTGGCTTGGCATTTGAGGTCTCCCACCTCAATTCTTACCCATCACAGCAGCTTGGCCCTGGCCAGAGTGCGCATTCTTTCTCACGCCTGCCACACCTGGGCCTTTGCACGTGCTGCTCCCCTGCCAGGACCCCCATCCGCTGAGTCCCAGCACGGCCCTTCCCAGCTCCCTGGGCCTTTGCAGCTCTGGGAGCTCCTCGGGTGGGCAATGACAGGGAGTTGTCAAGAAGCGGGAATGACACTTTGGTAAGGACACATGGTGCGCAGTGAGCATTCACGGAATGGCAGACATCATTACCCATCCACTTGCCAGACCTGGTCCAGCTCAGATGGACAAGAGCCCAACACGGAGCCCCCAGACAGAGGTGGCGCCACCTTCCTGCAAACCTGGCTGGTGCTTTGCTGGCACTGCTGCTACATCTTAGATCGTACGAGCTGGGATTCGTACTGCAATAGTTCACCACATCGGCGCTTCTTGGCCTCGGCACCACGGACGGTTGGGGCCAGATCATTCTTTTTTGCAGGGGCCAAAAGCCAGTAGCATCGCCACCCTCAGTGTGACAATAAAAATGTCCAAGACTGCCGGACATCCCTCGGGGACAACACCGCCCTCCATTGAGAACTAGTGGTCCAGGTTGCTAAGGGCAGGGAGTATGTGCACAACCCAGTGCTTAGCCAGATCCTGGGGGTGAATGGGTGTTGAATCCAGTGTCAGTGTGTTCCTGGATGTCCGGAAAGTTCTGGAGAGAGGGGGCAAGCTCTAGGTCTAGATTTAGAAAAAGCAGTGTCCTGAGGTGGGATATCACAGTGCCCAGGACCTCCTGGATGTTCCCCAGTAGCCCCCTGCCCCACCCGGTCGGAATAGGCCAGCCTCCCCTCCCAGGACAGTGTCCCGGCTGGGCACTGCCCAGTGGCTGTGGTACCTGGATCCAGCGGTCATTTCGGTTCTCGGCCTGTGGGCAGATGGTCAGCTTGCAGCCGGCCTCCCTGGCCAGCTCTGCCACTGCGTCCACAAAATGGGTGTTGTTTCTCACACTGCAGACAAGCCCAGGGAGCGTGGGTCAGAACCAGGCCAGAGGGGCCACCAGGGTCAGAAGGCCCCCCAGAGTTCCCCAGACTCACCGGCACACGTACACCTCCAGGGGCGGCAGGGTGCTGGGCGTCATAATCCAGGGAGCCACACGGAACACAACGGTGTCAGTGAAGATCGGGGACTCGGAGAAATCCTGCAGGGGAAGAGCAGAGAGGACAGAGCCCTGGCCTCGGGTCCAGAGGCCCAGTGATCCGAGGGCTGGTGAGCCTGGGCGAGCCGCTTCACCTCAGTCTCTAGAGAGGGAACCGGCAAGGCGGTGAGCAGTCTGCAGTTCTTCACACCAGCGGGGCTGTCTCTCCCGGGAAGAGAGCTTTCTGTCACCTGCTCCGCCCAGCCAGCCCTACCTCATTGGAGTCGGCCAGCAGGGTGACGTGGAAGGAGATGAGCCCCGTGAAGCCGGCGTCGGGGAAGCAGAGGCCCTCCACAAAGAAGCGCTCCTCGTCCCCGTGGAAGCGGGACACCACGTAGGACACCTTGTTCTGGCCCAGCACGTGCCTGTAGGACTCGCACGAGTCCTCGGGACCTGGGAGGGGACGGAAGTAGCAGCTGTGACTCCCTGGAGGGCCTGGGGAGCATGAGAGCAGGAGATCTGTGCAACCTCACCAGGAACGCCTGCGGGCCAGACGACGCCTGCATCTCACCTCCCACGGCCAGAGGAGAGGAAGCTGCTTGCCACGCAGTGTGGGCAAGGTGCAGGTAGGGGCGGGGCGTCCGCATCTGACGAAGTAACACGCACCCCTACCAGCAATGCCACTTCCAGGCATGTGTCTTCGTCACCACTTCTAGGGGAGGGTCTTCTGGTTGTTTCCTTGTTCATTGAACAAATGTTTACTGAGCACCTACTATGCACCTATGAGTCACGGCTCTGCACTCAGGTACAGCCATGAGCGAGGCCTTAGGAACTTATACTATAAAATCAAAACCCTGTAAACACCCACACGTCTCAGGGGACCAGATAGGTTACAGCACCTCCATGCTTCGGAATACTATGCAGCTAGGAAAAAGAGTGAAGCAGAACCAAATAAATACACAGAAAGAGGCGTCGAATATAAAGTTCAATGAAAGAAAGGGTTTGGTAATGGAAAAAAAGATACAATAAATATTAAATAAAAAAGGAGCCGTTTGGGAGGCTGGATATGTACACACCGCACACACGCAAGGCACACATCTAGAACTAAGTCGGCTGGAACACACACCAAATCCTCAACAGTGAACTTGTCTTAAGAGTCAAGTTTAGGGTTAGAGATAGAGGACTCATTTTTCACTCTATATGCTGATATACTGTTTGATCTTTTTTTTTTAAGTGAGCATCTTATTACTTGTATACGTTTGTATTCTTAAAAGGTCGTGTATACCCTTGCTTAGACTTGTGATAGATGGCACCATGGCTATGTGAAGGGATTGTAATTTTTTTCTGGAGATGCATGCTGAATTCTGTAAGGACAATACCCGTGGAGCCTGGGACTGGCTTAGCAACACTTCAGGAAGCAGGGGGAATGGATGAAGCGAGAGAGGTGAAGAGTGCTGAGTGAGTCGGAGTGGATGCCTCTGGAGAAAGGCCGTTACACTGTTCTCTAATTTGTGTATGCTTAAAATTTTGGGGAGTAGCATTTCCTAAATGTGCTTAAAATATATTTTAAAAATTCATTCCTCCCGTAAAACAACCCGGGCCGCGGCTGTGCCTGAGATGCCAGCTGACCTGCTCCAGAGCTCACACATCTGTTCCTCTGGCCCTGAGGCAGAGCCTGCGCAGACCCTGCCCACTGGCCCAAGGCAGGGAAATGAGGGCCCAGGGAAGCCGGGGATGGCTGTGAACTCACCGCAGGCGTGGAAGACCCGTGCCCGCTTAGCGTCATGGCTGGAGGTGTGCAGGACAAGTCTGTGGTCATCGAAGAGGGCAGCAGGGCCCTGGGTCCGCAGGACTATGACGGACATGTCTTCCAGGTCTGTGGAGCCAGACAGTGAATTTGGGGAAAGGGCCTGGCACACAGTAGGTGCTCAACTAATGTTGGCATCCTCTGCTCCCCTGGAGGGAGATGAAGGTGAGAGAACACTGCCAGGCTGAGGCAGGTTTTCAGGATCAGCAAGGTGGGTCTGGAAGCCCTGAGCTCTGCCTTCAGAGCCGTTCCCAGGAGTTGGAGTTTCTGCAAGCTAACTGAGCAATGACCCTGGACACCCAGGGTCATGGGCTACCCTGACCCCCCTCACCTTGCAGGCAGCGTACGTGCTGGTCGCAGTTGTCCTGGTCATCACAGTTCACATCGTCCCTGTCACAGTTCACCAGCAGGATGGCTCCGTACCCCTCAGGCCCCCAGACCCACTGGCGCTGTCAGTGACAAAGCAGATCTGTGCTGGCGGCTAAGACCGGACCTGCACCTCCCTCCTTGGCCCCCTCCTGGCTGGCCTCCTGACCCTTCCCTTCCTGCTTCACCCCACCCTGGGAGGGCTGGTCCACTCTCAGGGGAGCACCTCCAGCTCCAGAAACCCCAATGGCTCTCTCCTGCCCACATCACCAAGTCCAAGTAACAGCCATCTTTCCTGGCTGTCTGTGATGTGTCTCCAGCCAATGTCCCCTCTCTCGACAGGCAACTTCCTAACTCTGAATCCCTCCCTCCCTCCCCACCTTGGCTCCTGTTCTTCCCACCACCTGGTATGCCCTCCCTTTCACATTCCTTCAGAGCCCAGCTCAAGGGGCTGTCTTCCAGAAAATCTTCCTTACTGCCCCAGCCCACCTTGACCTTCTCCTCTGAACTCCTACTGCATGAAGTGCCACCACGCTTCAGCCCAAAGTTCTTCAACAGTTTCATACTCGGTAGGTTTCCCTCCTCACCTCAATCAAGGAGTTAGCACAGTATGGCCCCCTGGCCAAATCCCGCCCTTGGCCAGTTTTTGTAAATTAAGTTTTACTAGAATACAGTGATATTCATTTGTTTGCCTATTGACTACAGTTCTTTCAAACCTCAATGGGAGAATCGAGTACTTGCAACAGAGACTGTATTGGCTTGCGAAACCTAAAATATTTACTATCTTGTTTTTACAGAATAAGTTTATCGACCCCCAACCTGGATTGAAAGTCCAGAAGGACTTTTCCCATAAAGCGAGGCCTGGCCCAGGGTTGGGCACGGGCATGCTTTAGAATTCTTGCTGATGGCATTTTTCTTGGTAAAGAAGGTCCCCAGCCGTGCCTGGTTCCCGCTGGGCTCCATGACCACAGTGTGTCCGCTGGGAGGCAGCGGGTACTATAGCAGCCTCTCCTCCATCAACCCAGCCCAGCGCAGCCCCGAACCCCACAGTCCTCCCTGGGCCTAGGCTGAGATGCCCTACCTTGTCCACACAGCTCCTGCTCTGCCTGCCCTCACAGTTCAGGTCGCAATCCAGAGTGATGTCTGCAAGGGGAGGGCAGAGGGCAAGTCACCACAGGGTTCCCAGGAGGTCAGCACAAGCCTATGTCCTCACCTTTTACCTTCACCCTCAGGGCCTATCTGGGGCCAGGAAAACAGAAGTCATTTCTAGTTGTAGGGGCATCTGGGGCCTTCTCCCTGACCTTGGGAAAGAGAGAGGCCTTGGAGAGAAGGCACGGTCAGAGCCAAGGCCCAGATTAAATGCTGCCCCCTCCAGGAAGCCTTCCCTGATCTCTCCCTCTTCTGCATCCCTACAGCGCTCAGTGTTGGAGCACGCCCTGCACTGAGCTAAGGCTGCCCTAGACATTCTTGGTCTGTGTGAAGCTGCCTCGTCTCCTTAGGATGGGAGAGGGAGCCTGGGCTTTGGTGTGAATCTGAGCTTCACCACCTACAGCCTGTGCCCTGTCTGAGCCTCACCTTCATGTCAAAATCTGAACATCTCAGTCTCCAACCCACCTTCTTCATGTGCCTTCCTAGACCTGGAGGAGATTTTGTAACCCAAATGGAGGAGCATTCCAGGAAGAGAGGTAGGGGGAGGGAGAAGGAGGAAGAATTTGAAATAATTTTTAAACGCGTGAAAAGATACCCAGCCGCCACGCAGTAAGTGAATGTATCTCACAAACAGAATGTGGGCAAGAGAAGTCCAATTGGAAGGAATGTATACAATATGATTCCGTGCACAGGACATCCAAAGAAAGGCAGACCTGGACTCTATTACTTGGGTTTGCACGTTCCGGTGATAAGACCACAAAGAAAAGCAAGGAAACGCTTATCACAAGCTAGTGCTCACCTCTACAGGCAGGAGCCAGGGATCAGAGAACGTATAGTTGGGGGAGACTTCAGGGTGCGGCTCATGTTCTGTTTCTTGACCTGGGTAAGGGCTGTTGAAGTGTTTGCTTTGTAACTCTTTGTTAATGTGTCTGTGTAGGAAGTAGAGCTTTATGCACTTTTCTGTGTGTGTATTTGTTGGGAACCTTACACCTTCTAGCTAAAAACATTGCATTGATTACAGGAACCTGTGCACTCCACAAGCCAATCAGCTACAGGTACATGAGGTGTGCATGCGCTCCACAAGCCAATCAGCTACAGGCACATGAGGTGTCCACGAGTACCAGTTGCACCCAAGTAATCAATAAGCGGGCCCTTCTTTGTCTCAAGCTAGCCAATAGCAAGCAACCTAATCTCTCCCTCCCCCCTATATATATATCCAGTTCGGAAAAATAAAGTTTGCAGCTTGATCAGAATCTTTTGTCTTGCTGCCATTCTTTGCGCCTCTTGTCCCCCCAACTCATTTGTTCTAGGTAGGTGGTCGAGCCCCAGTTGATTGCTCCGCGGGCCGGAGCATGTATTTTCTAATGAACAAGGGTATGTGTGTGTGTACGGAGAGAGGGAGGCAGGGAAATACCCGGCATCAGTCCTAATCAAAGGAAGGCAAGTTACAGCAACAATGAGATACAACCTCTCTGATCGGCCAAACGGGAGAAGGTTAACAGTGAGCAGGGCTGGCAGGGCACTCCTGTGTGCTGTTGGCCGGTGTGTAAAATGGTGCTGCCTTTTTGGAGTGCAATTTGGCAATATCTGTCAAAACTTACAATGTACATTTCCTGTAAGTCAGCAGTTCTGCTTCTAAAAATGCCTCCTGAAGAGGGGGCATCGTCAGCCCTCTTGCCCATCGCTCTCCACGTGCTTGCACCAATGCGAACTCCTACCCGTAATGCAAAGGGCTCCCCAGTTCCACAGCCTTGGCAACGCTGAGTTAAGCATCTTTTCATCTGGGTTCTGGTCACTGGGGCTTTGTCTTCTGCAAATTGCTTCTCCATCTTTTTTGCTGATTTCTAGTTATTTGGGTTTTTCTTTTCTTATTGATTGAAGTTTTCCATAATCTCTATGCTCTGAGTAAACCCTATACATTACAAATATCTCCTCCCAGTCCAGAGTTGGAATTTTTTTATCATCCTCTGTTGTAGAAAAGTTCTAAATATTAATACAGTCTAACTTATCGATCTTTCCCCCTATGATTTGTGCTATTGGTTTGCCTTGTTAAAAACAAACTGGACCTTGAGTTCACAGATATTCTCTTCTAAAAGCTTTAAATTTTTTATTTCACCTTAAGATTTTCAACTCATGCGAAATGTATTTCTGAGTATGGTACTAGAGGTGGTTCCAAACTTACTGATTCTCACGTGATAACCACACGCGCAGGGGTGTGTGTGCGGCTCTCCACTGGTTCCATCTGGTCTGTACTTAATCCTGCACCTACATCCCAGGCCTCAAGAGCTACAACCTGGGGAAAAGTCTTTGGTGCCACGAATCCCTACACAAGATGTTCCTTCTTCAAATAGTTCCGGCTATTCTTGCCCTTTGCTCTTCCCGATGAGATTTAGGGTCAGCTTGACAAAGTTCCATTCAAAAGGCCATTTAAATAGAATGACGTTCTATTTTGATGGGCACGTCATTGCGTTTGGATGGCTCGGTGCGGCCCCAGAGCTGCCGCGTTACTTTGTTTCGTTCTTTCCTTCTCCTTGTGTTTCGGTTTGGGTCACGTGCCCCACCTTCAATTTCACCGATTATTTCTCCTCTGTGTCACATCTACCTATGGCCCCATCAAAAGCATGTGTCATCTGTTACCACAACATGATTCTTATTTCTATCATTCCCATTTGAATCTTTCTGATAGTTTTCAGCTCTCTGTTAAAATTCCCCATCTGTTCATGCGTGTCATCCATCTTATTCTCTACAGCCTTTAATGCATTAATCATGATTACTTTACATTTCCCGTCTGATAGTTCCAACATCTGCATCATCTTGCATGGGATTTATATATCAGTTTATGGGTAATTGGCAAAAAAATTTAATTTGGAAAAAGCAAGGTCTAGTTCTACGTCTGTAGATGTAAATGCTTCCAATTGCTTACAAAAGAGGGGACTAGCCTACGGGTCCGCGTGTGCCTGCCTATAGAAGCAAGTGTGTCTCCAGCAGGGTGCTGGGCCTGGAGTACTGGGAGTCAGGCTAGAGGGAGGGAGATTGACTTTTTAATTTATAGTTGACATGAACAACTTGGAGGTGAGGGGCACCGACTGTGCACGTTAATGACAGCCGCCCCCTGCAGACTCGGATTCCCAACCACGGAGCTGACCTTTGAACAACACAGTTTGAACCGCTTGGGTCCGCTGAACTGCACGGATTGATTGAAAACCGCCCATGTATAAGTGGGCCCATGCAGTTCAGACCCCTGTTGTTTAAGGGTCCACTGTATACTCTTTTGTACTGTTGGAATTTTTTAAATGTATGTTTTTTTACATTAAGTTAAAAAATAAAACAGATGGACTTGGGTAAAAAGATCCTTGCTCAGTGTAATTCCCCATGGCTCCCCATCCTGCCCCGGGCCAAGGCCCCTTGGCCACACCCTCAGCATGACCCCCAACTCACCAACACAGGTGAGGTACAGCACCGTGTACGCCAGAGGCTGGGGCTCGTGGCTGGCATAGTAGGAGATCTGAACCTGCAGAGAGATGAGCCAGGGTCGCATCGGCTAAAGCCAAGAGCCTCAACCCGCAAAAGAAGAGAAGGTCTCAGGAACTGCCGTGCACCAAACTCGAGTTTACCAGCTCGGCTCTTTCTCTCGCCTTCTCTGTGCCATTTATTTCTCTGTGCCTCGGTGGGCCCTTCCATAAAATGGGACTGTCATTGGGACACAGAGGGAAGCCAGGCAGGCCTGGGCTCCCCCCCACTGCTGATGACTACCATGTGATTTTGGCAGGCCCCGGCCCCAGGGGTGGGTCTCAGCCCCACTGTTTGTAACATGTGGAGTTCCGACTGGGCAGGGTTTAGGGACACTCTCCAAGCTGATGAGAATTTTTATCTCTGGCACTTGGGCAGGCCTGGACTTGAGCCCAGCACCTCTGGGTTCTGTGACCTTCACCTTTTTCAGCCTTCTCAGTTTCCTCGTCTGCAAAATGGGGGCCATACAGGTTCCTACCTCAGAGGACGGTAGTGCAGCTTAGAAACAGCACATGTAAAAGACGGATCTAGTAGAAAGTGCCCAAGAAACATCAGCTACTGTCATTGGTGGGCAGGTGACATTGTGTAAGAGCTCAGATTCTGGATGCAACACATGTAAACATCCTGGGAAGTTACTATCTGCTCTGGGCCTCAGTTTCCTCAGCTGTAAAGTGGGGGATAATAACAGCTCCTACCCCACAGGGCTGACGATAGGCTGCGAGGAGTAAGGCAGGGACGCACGTGACAGGCTGAGCGTGGTGCCTGGCCCACGGCGAGCACCCCGTACCTGTCAAAGGTGGGGCTGAAGATGGTGAGGACGACAAAGCTGTCGGAGGCCCAGCCCTCCACTGGGATATTCCCTCATGATGTGGGTCCCTCAACTGTCTGGCTCCGATGGCCTCATCTCAACCAGAGGGTTTAGGATCCTGACACCTGGGAGTGGGCTCCCAGGACCACTCACCCCCTCGGTCCTGGGAGCCCCTAAATCCTGTGAGTACTGACCCCCAGGTGTCAGGCCCCAGCGACAATGCTGGCCTCGGACACACATTTACCTGGATCCTGGCCAAAGGCAGGGGGAGGGGAGGGGGTACACTCCGACCCTCCTCAATCCCTGAGGTCCTTGGGGCCAAGAACATCAGGGAGGGGAGGTGTCCACACAGCCCCCAGCTCGGCGGGGCACCTCACAGGCTGCCGGTCCTCTTGTCCTGCCCTGGGGACTCCATCCTGACCGTCACCAACTCTGCTACTCACCTGACTGTGTGGTTTGAGGTGAGCCATCCTGGTCTCAGTCTCCTTGTCTGCAGAACGTTGGCCTTGAGTCCTGCCCACCTGCCTCCCAGAGCCCAGTGCAGAGGCTCAGTTCATGTGCACGGATGAGAGCAGAGGTAGCAGTGATGGAGGGAGCCTGCCACAGCTCTCGGGCAGGTCTGCACTGAATGCTAGCACTCCTCCTGACTAGCCCTGTGGCCCCAGCACAGTTTACTCTGGACCTTGGTAACCCCATTGCTGAAACAGGGATCAGACCCTACCTTCCAGGGCTCTTGTGAGGGATGAATGGGTCATCCATGCCTGGCTCATGGTCAGCGCTCTTAAAGGGCCAGTGTTTCAAAATACTGTTCCTGGCATGGAGTGTAAACCCACCACTTCCATACACCAAGTCCTGGTTCCATCAGCCATCATGTGTGCTAAGCTCGAGCTCCCCCCCCAACCCCCACCACCGTATCTCCCACTTTTTATTGTCTCTTGCCCTGGGGCCAGAATGTTGTCTACAGCTGGGCCTTGTTAAACTCACTCTTGTAGCTGAGTGAGCAGTGACAGGAGAGCAAGGGAAGTCACCATACCTCTGGGAAGGGAAGGGGGACAGGAAGGGAGTGGGTTAGAGGAAGGAGAGGCAACCTGGGGAAATGTCACCTTGGAGAAGGGGTTTCCCCAGAAAGCAACCTCCTGTGCCTGGTCCCTGCTTTCTCTCCTCCGTTCGGAGTGGCAGAGATAACCTAGGGGAAACCGAGGCCCTACACGCCAGAGGACACAAACTTTGTGTTTCTAAGCTGCAGAGCTGCTGGCCCCAGGGCCCGGCACTTACCCACCATGCTGCCCTGCACCCGGGAGAGGGAGGGCACTGGGCCCTGGAGAAGCTACATTCCTGCCTCCCTGCTACGCACCCAGAGCAGGGGACCCACTCACATGGCTGTCGTTGAGGTCACTGCTGGGAGAGTTCATGACCACAATGATCTCCAACCCTGTGTCACAGCGCCACCGCCTGGTGTCCGCACGCTCCCGGCCCCTCTCCAGGCTTGGAGAGATGTAGATGTCCACGCCAGGGGACCCGTAGACCTCGAACATCTCTGTGCCCTCCGGTACTGACCTGGGAAGAACAGGGACCCATAAGACATGCTAGAGGGGGCAGCCCTGGTTCAGCTGCTTGAGCTTTGGCTTAAACCCTTGCTTCCTCCGGGAAGACTTCCCTGACCACCCAGGCCTCTCAGATCCTCAGAGTAAGCTTCTGGGAGTCAATCCTGGCCCCCTCACAAATGTATACACAGTCTTGCCTTGCAAGGTTCTATGTTCATTCACATTTCCCTTGTGAGTTTCCCGGGGCATTAACTGTACAGTTAAGAAGTTTGCGTTGTCACCTGGGCCTGGGACAGAGCTTCCCCAACTCCAGCTTGTCTAGGAGTTCTGGTTGAAACCAGTCTGTTCATCTTATTGTCTGAGGGGTGCCTGCCGTGCATGGGGCGGGCCAGGTTGAAGAAGCCAGAGCCTTTGATCCCACTCGGAGCTGAGGGCAGCCAGATGGGGCTCGGGGCCAATGAGTCAGGGGTCAGTGGGAGCCCAGGTAGAGAGGGGAGCTGTGAGCTGAAGGGACCAGCAGGCTTCCTGGAGGAAGCAGCACACACACACACACCTGATAGCTAAAGGTAGCCACTACTTACTGGGTCTGCTATGCGCCTGCCCTGTTTGAGGTTCTTCGTGTGTATTAAGTCACATAATCCTCTCAATAACCTAGGAGGTAGGTACTGTTATTGTCCCCATTTTACAGATGGGGATACTGAGAGTAAGTCATTTGTCCAAGGCCATGGAACTAGTGACAGAACTGGGACCCAAACCCAGGCCTTCTGGTCCCTGAGTCCACATTCTCACCAATTCCCCAAGGGTGACGACGACACTAATCACAACCCTCAAGGCCCCACCCCCACACACTCGGCCTGGCCGCACCTTCCTGAACCTTCTCGGCTCAGCTGACCCTCAGCACGACCCCAGCAGGAAGGGATTGTTACTCCCATTCACATGTGGGGAGACTGAGGCTCGGTCAGCAAGAGACTTCCCCAGTGTTTCCCAGCTGGTCACTCCACCCAGGCCCTTCCCATTCGCTTTCCCTGCCTGGAGGGGACCTGACCTCCTTCGAAGCACCCTCTCCACTTCCCACCCCCCGCCCCCAGCATGATTCTGATACTTCTCATAGTAGCTTTAAAAAGAAAGAGAAAGAGATCAAGCCCAAGCCGTGCTCCACCGGGAGGTCCCACTCCAGGGCACAGCCCTGCCCGGAGTCCTCACCAGGTATGAGGTGCCAACACACCTGTTCCTCCTGCCAGATTAAGCAAATAAAAATACAGAATGCCCAGCTGGACTCGAATTTCAGATAGAAAATGAATCATTGCTTTCGTATAAGTATGTCCTCCACCGTGTTTGGGCCACGCTTCTACGAAAATATTGTTAGTTGTTCGTCTGGATGGCAGGTCTCACTGGGTACCCGAGATTTTGCCCGGCAGGCCCCTCCCACAGCCCATCATTCCAGGGCTGGCGGTGCCCTCTGTTCCGTCGTGTCCCAGGTGTGCAGGCCAGCCCCCATTCGGGGACACAGAGGACCTGGATAGAGAGGCGTTGGGACACAGAGAGAGAGAGAGAGAAAAAGAGACAGGGAGAGACCCAGAGAGATGGAGAGGAGATCCAGAAAGACAGAGGCACACGGAGACAGATCTGGGCATGAAGGGTCCCCCCACAGCCCCACTGCTCCAGGCCCTGGCCTCCAGCTCCCCAGGAAACCTGTAAACTCTCTGTGGCATCCCCCCAACCCCAAGCTGCCCCTAGGACCCCAATGCACCCAGGAGCTAGAGCTGAGCACCCTTAACTGTCCTTCTGGTATAAAAGCCCCCCCCCCACTCAGCTCTACACCCCAACTCCTGGGTTTGGGGTATTTTGACCCAGCTCCCTGGACCTCCCTGGGCCAGACCCTGCATAAGGTGCAGGGGGAAGTGCCCCTTCCCTGGGGGGACCCGCAAAAGCAAAGAGCTCGCATGGTGGCTGGACCAGAATCAGGAGTAGGATAGTAGACAGGCTGGGTCGCACATCCACCAGGTGACCTTGGATGCATCACCTAGCTTCCCTGGGCTCAGTAACCTCACCTGTAAAGTGGAATAATGACCCCCGCTTGGCCAAACTCACTGGCTACCACGAGGCTCATATGTGATAATTGATAGGAAAGGCTTGGAAAACTGCCTGCCCAGTTGGGGGAAGGGCTGATTAAAGTAAGTTAAGGCAGAGGAAGCTAGAGGCAGCTTGAGAGGGTGGGCTAGAGTGGCTGGGGAAGGCTTCCCTGAGGAAGGCAGGTGAACAAGGACTAGGAGGAGACACATTTGAGGGGAAGACGTTTTTACCACGCAGCCTTAGGAGGTCAAGTTGAAAGTCAGGCTGTAATAAGCTTGTTTTATTCCACCCCTCTGCAAAGGGGAGCCAGCGATGGTTCTTGAGGGGCAACACATGGAGCTGTGGTGAGGCGGTTGAGCCTGTGGGCTCCTGGGCCAGGCCGTCCGGGTCCAAATCCCAGCCCCGCCATGCACTAAGTGGGCAACCTTGGGGGAGTGGCCTCCCTCTGCCTCAGGGTCAGCGTCCATAAAGTGGGGGTCAGGAGAACATCAAAGGACTGGGTGTGTGTAGACTCTGGATGTGAGTGAAAGTCAGAGGCTCCTGAACCCATGCCCTCATTCCACTGCCAGGAAAACTGAGGCTTCCGAGAAAAGGGACTAGAAGCTGGGGCCCAGACTCCCAGTCCAGTGCTCGCGCCCCGTCATGGAAACTCTGTGTTGGGAAAATCAAAAGGGTGGTTGATGGGAGGAGACCTGCATCAGGTATGCGAGGATCCAGATTTCCCAGTTCCTGAAGGACAGCAGAAGTGGCCAGAGGCTCACCTGGACGAAGTTCTTCCTCGGGTGAGGCCACCTCAAGCTGCCAGCATGCTGCTCTTGACAGAGACCCCCCAGCCCAGCCCTGGAGCTCTTGTGGCTTGGAGCCACCAGTTCTCCCCATAGGAGGCCATCCTCGCACAAGAGAAGCCCCTCCCCCAGCACCACGCCCTCCCAGCCAGCCTAGGAGGCGGTGGATGGAGGGAGAAATGCAGCAGGGTGACCCACAGCTCAGGTTTGCCAGGGATGGCGGCATTTCCTTCGGTGCAGGACTTCCAGTGCTGAGACCTCGAAGGTCTTGGGCAAACTGGGACGGCAGGTCACTCTCACAGTGGCCAATCTCGGACCCACCTGGTGAAAACAGATTCAGAACCGGAAGCACTACAGGCAGGGACCTGGAACCTGTGTTTAAAACCATCCTGAAGCCCAGTGAAGTCAGAACCACAGCTAGGAGTGGACCGTCTCAGAAAGGCTGGAGCTTGTAAGCCGCCCTGCCCTGGGTACCAAGACAAGTCAGGTCTTCTCTCGTGTCTCAGGTCTTCCCTCCAATGGTGAGGAGGATGACAGTGACAATGGTGATGAAGGTCGCTCCCATAGCCATATTATCCCCACTTTACAGATGAGAAAATCGAGGCTCATAGAAGACAGGCGACTTGCCCAAGTCACATAACTAGTGAGCAACAAAGCCAGGACTCATGGCCAGCCCTGTCCCCACTGCCTGGCAAACCCAAACCCACTGACCTCTGGCAAGAGAGAGGCAGACTTTCGGAGCCAAGAAACTGACAGGAAAGGTCCCTGTAGTTGAGAATACAAAGGTTGACAAGGTCCCCACTGAGTGGTCCCCAGGGTCGGGGAGACCAAGGTCCAGGCAGCTCTGGCTTGAGGGGTGGTACCAGCTGCTTCTCCTGCTCCGTGACGCTCCCAGCTCCTGGCCTCTCCAGCAGAACCAGGGTCAGGGAATCACTGCCCCTCCTCAACCCCCCATTCTTCCTGCCCCAGGAAAATGCAGCCACACACCTCTCCTAAAGCCCAAACAGTTAAGAGCCAGAGATGTCCCTGCCTCCCAGGGCCCCACTGCCCACATGCAATCAGAGCCCTCACACCCACTGCAGGTGGGTGGCAGGGAGCCGCTTCGGGGAGGGGCTCAGAGGCCTCTGTGAGCACAGCTGGAAACCCACAGCTCTGTGCCCACCTCTTGAGGATACATGTGGGGAAATTGAGGCTCAGAAAGAAGCAAGAAGTTGTTCCAAAGGACACAGTGAATGGTGACAGAGCTTGGACCAAACAGAGGGTCACTGGCCCAAAGGTACCCAAGTCTTTTCATCCCATTAGAGCACCTCTGCTGAGCAAAGGGTGATGTGGACTGTTTGCTCTTCCACCTAAGGCAGCAGCTCTCAGCTCTGGCTGCACATGCATTCCCAGGTCGTGGCTCAGCATGGGAATCCCTGCTCAGGAAAACAAAGCCCCCTCACTGAGTCAGGGCCATCTCCAACTCAGCAGAAGGCAGGGAGACAGGATTTAAATCCCCTTTCTCAGATAGAGAGGTCCAGTGGTCTTGTCTGTGCTCATCCTTCAAGGCTCTGGTTGGGACCCTTCCTCCAGGAAGCCTGCCCTGACTGCTCAGCCTACGCTAATTTCTTTTTTCTCATCTCCTCCTTCTCCCAGTATGGCTCAGAGGTTGTTCCCCAGTCATCTTGTGTATGGCAGATTTAGGGACAGTTAAGGCTGTCCATAGGGTCAGGACAAAGCCTTAAAACAGTAACAACGATAATAATGATGTCGGTCACCATAACTGAATGTTCATCACATGCCAGGCATCGCCTGCATGTTCTACATGCACCATCTCATTTAATCTTCCCAACAGCCCTTGGAAGTCAGAGCCAAATTGTTTGGGTTGCATCCTGGTTCTGCACCCCTCACTGGCTGTGTGACATGGGGCAAGTTACTTAGCCTCTCTGTGCCTCAGTTTTCTCACCTATAAAACAGGAAGGATAGCAATGCCTACCTCATAGAATTGTCATGAGAATTAGCTAACATGTGTAAATTGCCAGGGCAGTGACTGGATGGAGCAGGTTCTAAGTAGCATTGCCAATATTATTATTATTATTATTATCATTATTATTATTATTATCTCCATCCTACAGAGGAAGACAGACTCAGAGAGGTTACATGAGTTTCCCAGGGCCAGACAGCCGCTAAAATGCAAAGCCAGGACGGAGCCCTAGGTCTGCTGCCCCTTCTCTTGTTGGCCCACAGTCTGAGAACAAGCATTGCTAGATCATGGTGTCGCTGGTGTGCGCCAAGCCGGAAGAGACCTTGGCGCTAACCCAGTCTCACTCCGCTTGCAAGACGGGCATCCCTTTCACAGCACCCCTGAGAGGGGGTGATCCACCTCCTACTGGACCTGCAGGCTGGGCATCCTGTGCCGGGCACACACTAGATCCAAAAGAAAGACCAAGGTGGTTCAGTCATCAGGACCCAAGAATCCCTAGTCTGCAGGTGTGGCAGGCTCCAGCCCACCACCTCATGACTATCCCACCTGAAGCCTCCTCTGCAAACCCCAACAGGGCCCACCCACTCCATTGCCCCAACAATGCTGTTGCCCCTCGTGATCCCAATCTGTCCTCCAGCCTCTCAGGGAGCTCTTCCTGAGAGTGAGAAGCAAGCCCCCGGCTTCCAGGGGCAGGTCGAACTGCCATTTGGGCAGGAGCCAGCTGGGACAGGTGAGTCACCCCGAGAGCACACAGTGGTGGAATAGGCTGTGAAACCTGGCCCCACGGGTAACCCTCCTTACTCATCACTTCTCTGGAGCAGCCTCTGTGGCTGCCCTCTCCTTCAGAAGCCACCAAATCCCCTTCCCATTCCTCACTGCACACTCAGCCTCAACCAGACTTTAGTTCCCGATACCTAGCTGGCCTGGGCCTATTCAGACTCAGTTCCCTCCTACGACCAGCTCCTCACCTCCTCTCTGCTTCTAAGTTCACTCCAATTGTTAAGTTTTCATCTAGGACACTGGTTCTCAGCTGGGGTGATCCCCCTACCCCGGGCACATCCAACAGTGTCTGGAGACATTTGTGGTTGTCACAGTGGAAGGCGTGCTCCTGGCATCTAGCAGGTACAGGTCAGGGACGCTGCTCAGCATCTCAGCGCACAGGATGGCACCGCAGACTGCCACCCCATCCCCCCATGGAATCATCACGTCCACAGTGCGGAGGTGGAGAAACCTGGTCTCTAAGTTGGCGACGATGACATGGCCCTGCCTTCTCCCCTCTCAGGTCCTGGATTGCCTGTGTCCCTAGCTCAGCCTCAGGAGCTGGGGCCCCTGCAGACTCCCCAGAAGGCTTAGTAGCCAGCTTCCTGGTGGTTCCCAAAGCCCAACTCCTGAGATCCTGCCCAAACTCTCCTTTTCTTCCTGGGAGAGGGGGAAGCGGGTCTCACCTCCAGCCACTGGCCTTAAAGACACGGGCAGACAGTAGGGGCACATGCTGGGCACTGAGCGGCAGGAGGAAACCAGACCCCTCCCCCTCGAGTCGCAAACAGCTACATCCCTGTGACTCCTGGCCATGAAGGGGTTTAAATCCTGCCTTGGCCACTTAGTAACTGAGTGACCTGAGCAGAAGGCTTACCCTCGCTGTGCTTCCATTTTCTTACCTGTCTAACAAAATGAAGCTAATAATAAACTTAGCTCTCGAGGTTGTTAGAAAAATTAGATTCAGAAGGCTTGTTAAGCACTTAGGACATGCCTAGCACCAAGGGCTACCTAAGTATATGCAATTTCAAAAGTGATTAATGCTCTATTTTCAGGCTCACAGTTTGGGGTACGGGGTGCGGAGGGGTGGCGTGTCTCTTCCTATTCTTCTGTGCTCAGCCAGACCCTCAGCCCAACCTGCAGAGTCCTCTGGACAGACACATGCTCAAGTCCCATCATACCAGCCCCTCCAAGGCCCTGGCCAGAGCTCAGCTATTACAAGCCTCTATACCCACCTTTAGTCTCCCACATTTCAAGTCCCCTGGCTAGAATCTTCAAGAAACCCAGCTGCAAAAGGTGAGGACCCAGGCTTTTGTGATTGGCTGATGTTCCAAGGCCAAGGCTCAGGAGAAGGCAGCGAAGCCAGGCCCAAGCCCTGAGGAAGCCCTACCCAGCTCATAGGCAGAGCCCAGGGTGGGTCCACACCCCAGGACTCTGGCTCTTACCCATAAATGTCCACAACTGTCTCCACGCCAGCCACACACACAGCGCTGGTGGGATGCTCCAGGGACACACGCACAATCCTCTGCAGGGACATGCTGGCCTCGGACTGGGCTGGGGTCACAAAACTCAACGCTGCCCACATACAGGCCCTTTGGAATGTGGTTTAAAAGACTCTGCCCCTGCCCCTTTATCCCGGGGTGCTAGCTGATTGGCTGCAGTTCAGGAAGCCCAGCCCCTTCCCAGAGCCAGGAGCTCAGGATTGGCTGGAAGAAACCTTATATTTGCATATGAACCTGTTGCTCCCACCCTAGCACAGAGGGAGTTAATTTATGGTTTTAAAGGGGAACGAGTCAACACAGGTTATTTAGCCAGGGCACCGGGACCTTGGTTGGGGTACAGAGATGTGTGGTATTGATCTGGATCCCTTCCTCACTTCCTGCGTTCATTCTCCTCACCCCCTATTCCTGCATTTTCAGAGATGACACGCTTTAGTGGGGAGCTTCTCTATCATGGTGGGAGAGTTGGTAAAATGCAGATTCCTGGGCCATGCCCCTAGTCTGATACAGCGGGTTAAGGATACAACCTGGCATCTGGGTTTTTATTACAAGCACCCCAAAGAATTGTGATGCACTTTGAGAAACACCAACGTTGTTCCTAAGAGTGGGGAATTTTGTGAGCAGGCCTGGATGTCGGCCCTGCCTCAGCCACATCCTGGCTGAGTGGCCTGGGGCAAGTCACTTACTTGCTGTGTGCCTCACTTTTCCCATCTGATAAAGGCTGGTTGTGCAGCTAAATGAGACAACGTGGGTAGAGCTGTACAGAGCTTGGCATTATTTTATTTTGGGTGTTGTTGTTGTCATTATTATTATTATCAATACAACAGTCTTTGGAAGGAATAAGAAATGAGGGTGAAAATTTTTTCCGACCAGGGGCAGCTTAGAATGTCAGAGTAGAAAGACTCACTTTTCCGGTGGGAAAACTGGGGTCAGAGGGGACATTTAGGCACCTAGAACAGCAGGAGCCAGGGCTCTGGGGCAAGGAGTCTGGGGTTCAAATCCAGACTCCACCATGAACAGCTATGTGGCTTCGAGGGTTCTGTCCCCTCTCTCAGGGTCTTGGTTTCCTCATCTGCAGAAAGTATGGCTGATCACAGCCCTGGCAGAGGTAATGGCAGGGACGCGCCCTGCCCACAGAGGCTCAGAAGGTGCTGAAGGGAGGTCGCCTCCCTCCTCCCTGGTGGGGCTGACAGTTTGAGGCAGGGTGGGGACCAGGACCAGCTTCTGGGTTCCCAGCTGAAGCACTTGCCAAGTTCAAGGACCTAAGCAGGACTAAGACTGGTGCTCCTATATCCCAATTTCTGGGGCAGCTGGGGAGAAGTTCTTTTCAACTGAGCAGCTGAGTCCAGGGACAGCGTCATCTTTTTTTTTTTTTTTTTTTACTATAAAATGGCTTGGCAGCTGATTCAGCTCTGGGTAAGAGTTGGGGCTCAGGAGGAAGCCCCAGACAATCTCCTGAGCCAACTGTGAACACAACTGGGAAACAGACACGGAAACTGGTGGCCTTCCCTGGGGACCTGGCCTGCTGTGCTGCAGGGGACAGGACCAGCCTCCCACTCAGAGCCCCAAATCTCCCTTTGGCAGCACACCCACGCCTTTACCTCTTCCCAATTGATACCAGCATTTAGAAACAGCTCTGTGCTTCATTCAGACTAAAGTGTGAATGACTGATGGTGAAAAGTCTTTGCCTCTTAGTCCATGGCAAAAGCTAAAATAAAATGAATGAGTGAGTGGATGTCAAAGGGTGCCATCTGAGCCAGGAGCCAGTGTGTAGAATGTAAGGGGAGATCATTTCAGACCCCCCAAATCAGCCATTGAGTAACTTAGTGCCTTTGGAGGCAGAAATGAGAGGGAATCATAGTGGCTTGTGGCCCTCAGCACCAGTCCTGCTGGGGACTCTCCCACTTCTGTCAATAGACCCAGTCACCCTGCCCTCTGAGAGATGGAGGAGATAATCCAGGAAGGGAGAAGAAAGGAAGGGGCAGGACCCACCCTCCCCTGATAGCCATCTCAGGCGCTCGCTGCAGGGCACTGGGCCTATGCCAGCCATGCCAATGAATCAGCCGCCTGCCTGGCCCTGCTCCTGGGGGCTCTCCCAGTTGGGCAGGAGCTGCTCAGGGCCAGCGGAAGTCGAGCCAAGGACCCGGTGGTATGGCAGGTGATGCTGTCTCCCCTCCTCCCCACAGCCCAACAAACAGGAGAGAAGGAGGCAGCCACTTGAAGAAATGCATGTTGACATTTATATTCATCGGAAAGGTGACCAGTCACCCAGAACATTGTCAGAGGGGACATCAGGGTCCCCCAACAGCCCCAGCAGCAATTCCAGCAATGCCAGCACTTCCTGCCACTTGAGAAGACTTGCGCCCCACCCTCCCCATCGCTCTGCGATGCCCCCTCCCCTCTCTGCCCTGTCCCTGGGGAGTCCCAACCCCAGCCGCACGCCCTCGGCCCCTGAAGATCTTCCTCCTCTTCTTGACTCAGTCTAGGTTTCCTCCTGATTATGACCACGAAGTGAGCAGCTAGACCAGGGGCTTGCAAGTGGGGTTCCACAGAGCCTTCTGGAAGGGGAGGATTCAGGTACACTGCCCTCGTCACCTTACACCAGAGCAGTTCCATTCTGATTGGTTTTCTAGGTTGGGTTTACATGTAAGCATCTGATTACTAAGTGTTCCAGCAGAGTGAAACAGCAGCCGGCTCAATCTGGTCTCTCCAGGGGCCACTGAAAACCCAGAAGGTGAAGGCCCCCACAAGCAGTGGGAGAAAGAGGACAGGCCTGCTCCCTGCTGCCCACACCTGTCTGAGGCAAGGGCCACCTCTCACCCTGCACTGGCCAAGCCTGCCTGCCCGTGCACATCCCGGTGACCTCCCCCGGGGCTGGACTACCAAACCCTGTGGCGGCTCTATCTTCCCTTCTCTGGGAAGGGACACAGGGCTGTCACGGGGGTTTGCTCACAGGTGAAACCCAAGCTATACTCCAGGTCTTGGGTTGCTGAGAGAGACCAGGTGAACCTTCCCCTCCCACCGCCTGCAGAAGGAAGGGGAATAATTACAGACTATTAAAGGAAATTAAACCTCACCTGCAGAGATAATAGCCCTCCACCCTCTTCTAACATCTGGGCCCCCACCCCCTGCCACATCTGGAACAGCCAGCTGCTTTCACATCCAGGGGACAGAATCCAAGGCCCAGGAGCCCTAAGATGCAGAAGCCAGGCCCCGGCCTCCTCTGCCATCCTGGCGTCCCTGCTCCTGCTGGGCCCTCCTTCCTTTGCTGTCCTCCCAGGCCTTGCTTCGGCTTTGTAGCCTCTTGGAGCTGGAAGTAGTCAGCGCTCGTAATTAAAGGCTTTCCAAACAGATAACAAGCACCCTTCTGAGGACAGAGTCGGGTATTAAAGGGATTTTGTGGCTTTTTTTCTTTTCAAAGCAGTCCCTCTGAAGCGGGGTTCCCCTGTCCTTATTTACCCATGTAAACGTGGCTGAGGGTTCTGGGAGTCCCAGCCTGGGGGTGCCCCGCAGGAGAAGGTAGCCAGGAGGGAAGAAGGAACCTCGGGGGGAGACCCCTTCCTGGTCTTACAGGAGCCACAGGTGGCTCTGGTATGAGGGATCCAGGGCCCTCACACAAGAGCCCAGGCTCCCTGGGTCCCATTCCTGGTGCCAACACAAAGGGCCTGCCAGGACACAGGGGGATCCATCCCAGGAGGCCACGCGTGACCATCCTTGAACATGCTAGAGCTGTTGATCTTCTGCAGAACTTCTGGGCATTGTGGACGGAGAGGAGGAGAGGAAAGAATGAGGCTGGACCTTCTTGGGCTGCATAGGCCACTCCAGAGGTGAGGCTGTGTGGTGTCCATCCCTGTGTCCCAGTGCCCACAGTGGCCAGCACGTTTTCAGGCACTTGGGGAGGTGCCCAAGCCTCCCCCAAGAGGATGGAGGCCAGGAAGAGGTTCCTTGCTCTCACTCTGGCGGGGTTCCCGACAGGTGGGCAGAGAGGACGCCAGTGGGGGACAGGCTCAGGGCACCATGTGCCACCACTTGAAGGAGAAGGGCTGCCTGCGCACATTGGTCCCGCAGTGGACCTCCCCGAGCAGCTTGTGGTAGGACAAGAAGTCGTCGATGAAGGTGCAGTGGAGGCCCAGCGGCTCCAGCAGGGCCCGCACCTTCTCCTCCAGGCAGCAGCGGCCGTGGATGATGGGCCCGAAGGGCTTGGGGATGCCCAGGTGCTTGCCCAGCACCACCATATTGACCTGTGGGACAGAGAAGGCAAGAGGGAGGAGGCCTGGCTGGCTGGGAACACTCTACACACAGGGGCTGCTTCTGGCCTGTGGCTCGGGTGGACCCATCCCCAGGGCCTGTCCCTCCCTGGCCCACATCCCTGGGCCACCAGGGCTGGGGCTGACTCAAGAACAAAGGTCTATGACAGCAAAGAAGAAATAGAGTCATGGTTGGAAGAGAGGGTTAACGGCTGGCAGGGCTATTCGTAACACACAGGGGACATTTATATGAATTAAAGACACTCTAACACTTTCTTCCATCTATCAGAAAGTTGTCCTAACAACTTGGTTAGAACGAGATTTTACCATCATCTGTCAGAAACCTGTACGACAAACACACACAGTCTACAAGGCCACAGTGTGACTGCCCTTGATGGGGCAGTGTGCTTGGCTTGCTCAGCTGTCCCCGGAAGCCTTAATAATCATCACCATTTATTGAGCAACTACTATGTGCCAGATGTATCACCACTGAACCTCGAGGCCTTCCTCTGAGGCTGTGATGTGGATGGGTTAGGTAGCATGATCAAGGTCACACAGTCAGAGAAAGCAGAGACTAAAACCTGGTTTGGGTCTGACTCACATCGAAATTCGTGCTCTTTATCCTCTGCCAGAATATGGCACTTTGGCAGCCTGGGGCTCAGGGGTTGAGACAAGGGACCAGGGGTTTTATTTCCAGTGGTATCTCTGCTTCCTTTTCTGGGGCTATGGCTCGGGGCCGTAGAGCCAGGGAGGGAAGTCTCCCCAGGGCAGGGCATGGAGGTTTCTCAGGGGAGAGCTCAGTCCGAGACTGAGAGTCAGAGGAGCTGCCCTGGGTGTTTAAGGGGACATTCTGGACCTGCTGTCTGGAGGGTAGTGCTGGGTCATCTCAGCGTGGTGGGCGGGCTGCCCGGGCCTCTATGACTTCTCCTAGCCCTAGCCCCTCACTCTCAATTCCACCCTGCAGAGCCATCTAGGCTGGGACCAGCATGAGGCTGGAGGGTCTTGGGGAGTCAGTCCCATGGCCTTGGCCCTGAACTACCCAGTTGCTCACCAATGGGCCAGAATACGTTGGGATACAATGGGGCAACAGAATATCTAAGGATAGGGAGAAGAGCCAGGAGCCTGGTGCAGGGCCAGGGCCAGGCCAGGTGGGTTTCCTCTTGGATGAGGACTCAGGAGACCGGAGACTGGCCCACTCGCTGGCCCACTCACTAGACCGCAGGTCTAGTCACCCGCTCTTCTCTGAGAACCTCAGTTCCCCACATCTGACAAATGAAGGGGTTAACTGAGCATTTCCTAAGGGCCCTTCCAGTGTGGACAATCTGGGATTCTTCAGCAGGGCCTGGACTGAAACTGGGAGGTTCCCACAGAGGGAGGTGGGTTGGGGAGCAGGCTTCCGGCAGGTATGACCAACACCACAGCCAGAGGAGGGGTGACCAAGGTCATGGGTTCCCATCAGGCCTTGCCAGCAACCCTCAGCCAGAGCTGGTCACCCCTTAGAACTTCACTGTCCAGTTATGGCAGCCACTAGCCACATGTGACTGTTAAAATTAAAGAGAAGTAAAAATTCTGTTGTTCAGCCACACCAGCCACGTTGCAAGTGTTCAGCAGCCACATGTGGCTCAGGGGCTCCCGTATCATATTGTGCAAACAGAATATTTCTGTCACCCCAGAAAGTTCCAACAGCACTGCCACAGAAGAGTGGTTCTCGATGAGGGGCGATTTTGCCCCTGGCTGTGACAACGAGGCAGGAGCTACTGGCATCTAGTGGGTAGGGGACAGGGATCCCTACATCCTTTCCTGAGGGAATAATGGGCGACTTGGCCAGGACCATGCCAAGACCATCGCTCAGGCCCCTCCCAGGGGCCATGCCAGAGAGCTCACAATCTGCTCATCAGCTTGTCAGCTGCCTGGGTTAATGACAGCCACAGAGGTGGCCACCGCCTGCCCCACCTGCCCAACTCAGGAGCCCCAGAAACGAAAGCCTGAAACATCTGGAACAAACCACACTTCCCTTTCCATTTGGGAGGAAACAATGCCCTTAGCCATGCGGGCTGCCCTGTGCACTGCGGGTGTTTAGCAGCATCCCTGCACTCCACCCAATGCATGCTGGGAGCACTCCCCTCGTGGTAGCAATCCAGATGCCCTGGGGGACAAGATGGCCCAACATTAAGAACCACTGATGGCCTGTATTTGCACAGAAAGCCCACAAACACTGAGGGGGTGTGTGGGCCACCCTAGCCTCTGTGCCTCTGTCCTCGCACACTGTACAGGGAGTACTTCTTCTCTGGACGCCCAGCTGACTCCCCACCAGGACCCTGTGAGGCCCGTGAACTGGAAAGAACGCCCATGCCCTCACCATGTTGGGGAAAAAGGCTTCTGCGTAGGAGCCCTGCCGGTAGAAGAGCTGGGGGACGTCCACGATGTCCCGCTCCGTCAGGCCCAGCTCCCGCTTCAGCACCTCCCGGTTCCAGTCGATGCAGCTCTGGGGGGAGTGAGTGAGGACCTGAGGCTTGCTGAGTGCCCACTGTGCGCAGCCTCTATGCCCTTTAGCTCCTTTGATCTTTGTGCCACTGCTACCCCCACACGAGGAAACTGAGGCTCAAGTGACCTGCCTGAGGGCACAGAGCTGGGAAGTGGTGGAGCTGGGGTTTGGACCTGCATTCTGGCTCCACAGGTCTGTGCCACTACACCCCACTGTCCCAGCCACAGCGCAGCCTAGGCTCCAGCCCATCTCGGCAGTTCAGGAGAGAGTGCGGAGGAGCAAGCAGCTTCCTTCCTTCTGCTGAGCAGGGAGCCACCTGCACCAGGCATGTGACAGGCATTAGCTCCGCCCCTTCCTGAGACCCCAGTCCACCCATTCTCTTCCCCAGATCTTCTTGACTCCCCCCAACCCCAACCCCCCAAGCAGGGCTCCATCTCTCTCACCTCACCAGGCTTCTCCAGGAAAGGCAGGGCAAGAGCCCCCCATCACATTGGCTTGGCTCTGTCTCTTCCATCAGACTGCGGGGAACCCACCCACAGGTCTTAGCAGCCCCCAGTACAGTCAAAGGCTCAGGGCTGAACCCCTCACACCCACCCCAGCTATTCTCCCTGGAGGGTGGGGGACCCCCAAGAGCAGGCAGCAGGCCTGTGCCTTACCTGTACATGGAGACTGTCTCTCTGGAGGCGTCTGTCTGCCAGCATTTCGTTAATGCTTCTCTTCACCTGGTGCTCTACCCCTGCAAGAGAAAGAGACAAGACAGTACCTGGCTCAGGGAGAACTGGCTGGGGCCAAGTCGGGCCTGGGGCTACATAATCTGGGCCAGGATTTCCCCACACCTCAGTGCGAGGGTCTGAAGCAAGAATACAGAAAGCTGGAGATGAGAAACCCTGATGGGACCAGGCTCTGGCTGCAGGTAAATCCTGGGAATGGATTACAGACCCCTTGGGAAGGGACTGGGCACAGGACCTATTAATTTCAGTACAGCTACCATTACTGGACACCCACCTTGCTCCAGGCCCCCCGCTAAACTTATTATTAACCTTTAAGCCAATGCCGGGCAGGGTTAATTATCACCCCCAATTCAGAGAAGAAGAAACTGAGGCCCCAAGAAGTTCAGAACCCACCTGTCAGTCATGCCACAACCAGCAAATGGCAAGACCAGCATTTGAACCCAGGTCTATCCAGGCCACAGGCTACCCCACATCCCTTACAGTGCTCATTCCTCAGGTGAGAGCACTGAGGTCTATGGTGGGGGGAGGGGAAGGTGCTCAAAGGGGCCAACCAGGCCCTGGGAGGGTCTGTCAGATCCTACAGGAGGGACCACAGAGGGGCCCTGACCACCCATCTGGCTTCTGGGCCCTCTTCTCCTGAGTCCCTAGCCCCACTGCCCCCTCCCCATAGCCCCGGGGAAAGCCATTTCTCTCTGTATCTCAGTCTCTTCCGTTGTGAAGAGGGACAAGGAGAGGGGTATGGGAGATTCAAAGGGGCCAGAACAGAAAGTGCCGGACACAGACTGGCACGTGGGCGTGCTCACTGCTTCCTGTTTTTCCCTCTCCTGGGGTGTGGCCAGGAACCGCCCACCTGATGGAGGAGGTCACTCCCTTACATGTGCCTGGGGCAGATCACCATTCTCTGGTCACTCCTTCCCTGGCCCAAGGAAGGAAGAGCCCTCATCCTTAGCCCCCATGTTGGGGAGTTGGGAGAATGTGTGACTTTGGGCTCTGAGCTCAGAGATCTGCCGACCCAGGGCCTATGAACGGGGAACAGTCAGGAAGGGCATCAGCGGTAAGCAGGGCTGGCAATGAAAGGGCAGCGTCCCCAAAGGGGCCTGGGTCACCGGTGCTCACCGTCAAACTGGGCTGCCTCCCCATGGCCCTCCTCTTTCTTCTCTTGGAACAGTTTAAGGCAAACCCTGGGGCTCGCCAGGAGCAGCCGGAAACCCTGGCACAGAGGGAGGGAGAGTAGCTCAGTGCACGGGTTCCCCCTAAATGCAAGAGACCCCAAACTCAGGAGAGGCTGCAGTTCAGGGACCAGACCACACATGGGGTGCCCCTCTGCACGTCATACTTGCCCACCAGCCACAGAGAACTACCAGCACCAAGCCCCCCCGCCCAGCTCTCCACGCTGGTCCACGCCTCCAGGCCTTTGTCCATGGCCCCCTCCATGCCTGGAGGCCCGTCCCCACTTCACTCCCCTGGAACTCAGCCTCTCTCCAGGCTGCTTGCTGCCTGGGGGCTGTGCCTTCCCTGCCCACACCGCAAGGCAGTGGAGCTGCATGGGTGAAATATCGGCCCAGAGTCCTTGGTTTCAATCTTAACCCTACCAGTTAATTGCCTTTCTGAGCCTGGTTTTCTTCCTCACCTGCAAAGGTGGGCAATGGTAATAGTACCCACCTCATGTGGATTGAATACATTAAAGCATGTACACATAGTAGGTGCTCAGTAAATGTTACTAATCATTATCAGTGACATTTCACCAGGGTCTTGGTCGGAATCAGAGGTGTGGATCAGAGGAAACACCCAGTAAGTGTGAGAGTGAGTGAACAAGTACCCTCCTGACCTGAGCCCTGACTGACCTCCTCCAAGAAGCCCTCCAAGATGAATGCACACGGCCCCCAAGGGCGCTCTGACTCTGAGCTCACTGTGGATACAGATATTGAGTTGGTTCCAAGCAGCTTTGCCCTGTTTCATCTCATCGGGTCAGGCAAGGGCAGAGGTGGCTCAGGCAGGAGGGGGGCACACCTTTTGGTCGGAGGTGGGTACAAAGCTCAGGAACTCATCCACGTGCCCCACAGAGAGCCAGTCCGAGTAGAGCTCCACAGGCGCCTGGACCTGCTGTGCCTTCAGGAAGTCACACACCACCTTGGCCATTCGCCGCCCACCTGACCTGCCAGGGGAGGGAGAGAGCGGCTGTCACTCATGGTGACCTGTGGGCATCCCCATGGGGCCCCGAAGTCTTTCACGCTGCAGTTTTTGAAGATGTAGTGCCTCCGAAGGTGTAGAGTCTGCGCTTTGACAAGCATCTTAGCTGATTCGTGTGCAAGAGAACCACTGCCCTGTTCAGTCTGTGGTTCTTGATATGAAGTCAGAGCAAGTTCAAACCACCCTTTGTTAGCAGAGACGGAGGAGGAGGGAGGGGCTGAGGTGGCCTAGAACAGGGTCCAGGGGACAGGGGAGCAGGTGCTAGAGTCCCAGAGCTGTGAGGAAGGAGACATTGCCCAAAGCCATCTGTGCATGCAGGGACTCTGGTATGGCCCCAGGCAAAGGCTGTGTTCCTATGTCACAGAGGAGGAGGCTGAGGACTGGAAGGTTCAAGGGTTCGACTTGTCCCAAATCAAAACAATAGATTATACTTGGGCACTTTCTAACTTTCCTTGGCACACAGGACCATGTGCAAACACATGCATAGAGGTGTTTTTCAATATGTTTTACCCCCCAAAAAAAAAGGAATCACATTCCCTGCCCTCCCTTGTCACTTTAAGGACATGTGGGTGAACTCCCCACCCCGCATCCAATCTGGCGGGTCTACCTTAAACAGAACACAGTCCAGCCTCTCCCAGGCTCCTCCTCTGCCAGCACCTGGCCGAAGGCACCTCCCTCACCTAAATCATCCTGGTGGCTTGTCCCTTTCCCCGTTCTCTCTGCATTCACCCTGGTTTCTCTGCAGTCTAACCAGAGGAAGGCTTTTAAATATGTCAGATCACATCCCTCCTATGGACAAAGCTCTCACTTCACTCCCATCACACTAACTGTAAAATGCAAAGTCTTCACGAGGACCTGCATGGCTCCACCAAACCCAACGACCACCCCCCACCCCCACCACTCTCCTCTTTCTTCACTCAGTTCCAGCCTTGCAGGCCTCCCGCTATCCTTCAAACATACCAGGTACATTTCTGCCTCAGGGCCTTTGCACATGCTGTTCCTGTAACTAAGAGTGGCTATGCGTGCCCCCATGGCTCATTCCCTCACTTGTTCTCAAGTTTAACTCAACGTCACCTTCTTCCACTATGAAGTGTCTGAAGTTGCAACAATTCTTCAACCCCCTCACCAGCTTTATTTTGGTCTACACCATATGGTACCATTTGGCACACCTGATATTTTGTTTATTGTCTGGCATCTCACTAGGATGCAAGCTCCAAGATGTCTGGGGTTTTTGTCTATATCCACTCAGTACCTCTTACATAATAGATGCTCAAAAAACATTAGTGGATGATATTAATTCTTTGGAAGAGCTATGTGAGAGGCCACAGTCTATGTAATGCAAATATGTCATAGACAAAGACTAGAAGGAAGACCCAACAAGCAGAGACACATGGCGATACTGCTCTGGTTTGGGGACTGGGATAGTAGAAAATAATTTTCTGTATTACTGTTATTTTAACACAGTGCCAGCAATTTTTAAAGATTTCTTAAAACCCAGTGAGATGGTGGAAGAGAGTTAGACTTTAGAAATTGTTTAGGAGCAGAAAGTGGCAGGAATCAGAGACGAACGAGGTTGAGGAGGGGCAGGGTGCCTCTGGATGCTCTGAAACCCTCTCTCCGAGGCTCCAAGACCGACCAGCCAACTTCGATCCTGTGAGGCCATCAACCCTCTTCTCTGCATTACATAAAAGCCACCACCAGGAGGCAGAGCTGCACAAAGGTCGTTTTAAATGTGAGCACGGAGCTAGGAGAACCCACGATGCAGAGGGTGAACGGGGCATTCGCTGAGAGCACCGGTGCTGCCTGAGGCTCCTCACACTATCCACTGTAATTTTTGTGATAATCTATGATATACACACACATAACAGGCTCCAGCCATGATCTGAACCCTGCCCTGCCAAGCTCTCGGACCTCATCCCCCAAACCACTCCTTGCTCATTCTGTCCAGACCCACAGGCCTCCCTGCTGTGCTCTGTCTCCTGCCTCAGGGCCTTTGCACTGGCTGTTTCCACTCCCTTACACATTCTCCCCCTACATCTGTAACCCTTTCATTTTCTTCAGGGCTTTGTTTGAATGTCAACTTCTCACTAAGGCTTTCTTTACCTAACATGCTAGACTATTTCCCTACTTATTACGTTCTCTCACCATCCGTCCCTCCCTGCTGGAATGTATGGGGATTATCTATTTTGTTCCCTGCTGAGGACAGAGCCCAAGACAGGAACGCAGGACAGAAGCCTGGTGTTACATTTTAGTTTGGGGCCCAAAGAGGAGACCTGGATTCCGATGGTACCTCTGCTGGAGCGGGGGCACAGCTGCCCTGGAGACCCCACACCACCCTAGCTGGGGTCCTCACTCTGAGTCCGAGAGCCTCCAGACATGTGTTTCAGCCCCAGCACTGGGTCCCTGACCTGACCTGTCAGAAGTCTCAATGACTGTTTATCAAAGTGGTAAACGAACACATAAGTGAGCACATTCACTCCACTTGTCTGAGCCCCAACTTCCTCCTCTGTAAAATGGGATAACAATCCGCCCAACCTCATGGGGGTGTTGTCAGAATTTAATGAGGAAACCTGGGTAAAGTGTTATGTTCATAGTAGGTAAGTGATCAGTAATTTTCATCCAGTGAGTTCCAACCTCCTTCCAAGCAGACCCACTGCTGTGGGGGCAGCTAGACAATGCCTAAGTATTCAGACATGGTTAACAGGAATCCTTTATGCCTAGTAATGCCAGTAACATAGTTGGGACCGGGACTTTTAATAGGCCTGTTTTACAGTTGAGGGAACTGAGGCATGGAGCATTAAAAAATAACTAATTAGCCCTGGCTGGTGCAGCTCAGTGGATTGAGCGCGGGCCTGCAAACCACACGATTGTGGTTCGATTCCCAGTCAGGGCACATGCCTGGGTTGTGGGCCAGTTCCCAGCAGGGGACTCACAAGAGGCAACCACACATTGATATTTCTCTCTTTCTCTCCTTCCCTTCCTCTCTAAAGATAAATAAATAAAATCTTTAAAAAAAAAAACTAATTAATTGAATCATGTACCCCAGGTACCTTCAACAGTGCCTAGCACGTAGTAAGCATGCACTAAATAGTTTTAATGAATTAATCAAGTACCTACTATGTGCCAGGCACTCCAGTAAACACCAGTTATTTGATGCACCCAAAAATCACATCACTAGTAAGTGGCAGAAGACACCGGACTTGAACCGAGGTCCATCTGATCCCAAAGCCTGTGCCTCTTCTTTCAGGTTCCTCCCCGAACTAGAATGATCACCTGAAGGCCCTGAGGCCCTTCTGCCTTGGTGTCCTAACCAGCCGCCCACTCACCTGCGGCCCATGTGGACGCCTGGCCCTTTCAAGCTTTGCTAGGAGAGCAGCTGTGTGGGTCTCCAGCAGGGAGAGGGTAACAGAGCTATCTCCTCCCCCACTCTTCTGATTTTTCAAGAGGCTGGAGATTTGGCTTTTTATGGGGGGCCTCCTCATATGCACAAATACATATTTAAATTAAGCTCACAGAATACTAGGCAAGCCAAAAGACCATGAATAGCAGTTTCCCCTAAGATTCTGTGACCTTCCAAATCGACAACTCTAGGATTCCACACAGGACGCTAAGCCAATTCTCAGACTAGAGCATCGTGAGGGAGAGGCAGGGTGGATGCTGCAGTGGGCGCCCTGTGCCCTCTGCCACCCTCCCGCCCTGGCCTCTCACTTGGGGAAGCTGCTGCCAATGAGGATCCGGCCCAGGGGGTACTCCTTGCCGCCCACCGTCACCGGTGGGCTGACGTCCAGGTTGCCGAAGGAGTCAAGGCCGGAGGCGCCAGCGAGCAGGATTTCCTTGGTTACGTATCCAAAATCGGGACCCTAGGGGAGGACCAGCAAGACCCCGCCCCCCAGAAGGAGGGGTCAATTAGAATTGGAAGAGAGAAAAACAACTTCTGTCCACCTTTCACAGACCCCCCCCAACAGCAGAACAGTAACAAGAAAACCCCCAAGTGTTTGGGAAGTAGGCAACACCCTTCGGAAAAACCCACGGGTCACAGACAAGATCAAAGTGGAAATTAGACAATACTTTGAACTGAGAGGCAGTGAAAATGCAACACAGTAAAACTCTTGCACAGGACTAGTGGGGCTGTTCTCGCAGGGATTGCTTAGCTCTCAACACATATATTAGGAGAGAAAACACTGAAAACCTTAGCTTTCGTTTCCAGCTAGCAAAAAAAAAAAACCTATAAATCAAACCCAAAGAAAGTGGAAGACAGGAAATGATAAACGGGGGGAATTAATGAAAAATGCCCCGGCCAGGTCACCCCTTGAGGCTCAGCCTGCAGGGCTCATTGTCCCTTCACTGGGGTTGTCTGGGCGGTGGGAGCATGGGGGTTGGTAGCAGGCAGAGACCCCGAGCTTTAGGGAGCTTTAGGACGGTCAAGTGTAGCTCAGCAGATAAGCGCAGGGACTATGCAGGCAGCCTCCACTAACGAGCTGTGGCCTTGGGCAAGTAACTTAAGGTCTCTGAGCCTCAGTAAAGAGGGACTTTAGCTGTGCTTCATGGATTAAATGAGTAACCTTGTATAGCTGGGGCAGTGCCTGAAACTCAGTACACAGTAGTGAGAGCTGCAGTAGTGTGAGGAAAAAGCGCATGCCCAGCACACAGTAGGTGTTCAGAAAACCTTTGTTATCCTGGCTCACAAAAGCAAGAGCCTTGGTTTTAGCAAGACCTCCCCAGGGCTGATCCCTCTGTCAAGCCCCCTGGGGCGGGGAGAAAGTCCCCCAAAGTAGACTTTGCTAGCCAGCCCCTCCCAGAACATGGGGAGATTTACATGTCATTTGCATATTTGCCCAAACCTCCCACTGACACCCCATTTGCCACAGCCCACCACCTATGTTCATTTGCCCCCTAAAGGACGGGGACCAGGCAAAACCGACTGGGGTCTTATAGGAGAAGCCACCCAAGGCTTTCCCACTCTGCCCTCAGCCACATACCAAGATCTTCTTATAGAAGTCCTTCAGCCCTCTGTCTCGGGGGGAGTCGAAGACCACTGGGAAGGACTTGTGAGGCGCCTCCACATAGCCAAATTCTATCTCGTCCTGGGAAGGGAGACAAAAAGACAGGGGTGTCCTCCTCGGTGTGGATTTTCAGGACGAGGTGACCCCAGGCCTGGGGCAGGGCGGGCGCAGCAGATTTTCCCCAGGATCTAGAGGCTTCGGGGCACTGAGGTATCTTGGGACCCCGGCCAGGGAAGTACTCTGGGACCAGGGCATTTGGAGAGCAGCAGAAGAGACTGCAGTGATGCAGGCAGCAGGAGTGTCCCCTAACCTGACACGCCCCCACCCTGAGTCCTGGAGCCCAAATGGCCTGGCTTCCCTATAGGTGCTTAGGAACCTGTGCAGGCCCCTTTTCCGAAGCCAGGTGAGGGACGGGGCTCAGGCCTTCTGGGCCGCCCTGGGCCGCCACACTCGCCCAGCATCTGCTCCAGCACCCACCTGTATCCAGCGGTCATTTTGATTTTCATTCCAAGGGCAGGTGATCATCTTGCAGTTGGCTTTCAACACCAGGTCAGACAAGTCCCTCAGAAATTTCTCATTCGAACTGTGAGGGTCTCTCACGCTGCAAAACCCAGGGAGCGGGGAGGGTGAGCATGGCCTCTGACCACGGGGCCAGGAGGCAGGGGATGGATGGGGTAGCCTTGACCTAGTCTGTGCTGGGCTGGGTGACCCCGGGAGGTGGGGGTTCAAACACAGTCCATGTCTTAGAGAGGCTCACAGGCTATGACAGAGCCAGATAATGTCCCCGGATCACATCAGGTGGTAGGTGCAAGGCGGGGGGCAAGCCAGAGGTAGGGCATTGAAGCCACCAGACACAGCCATGGAGGAAGTGACAGGACTGGGCCTCACTGGTTAAGGCAGAAGTCGCCCTTCTAGTCCTGTTCCACCCGACTGACCTAAACAAAGGAGTCAGCGTGGCACAGGGCAAGAAAGAGTTCTCTCTTGAACACCGGCACAGAGCGGGACCCGGGGAAGCACAGCAAACCTGGTCGGCCACACCCTTTCCTGCCTTTTGCCCTGTGTCCCCAGCCAGCTGCGACCCTTTCCCCTGATCTGACCTCTGATGCAGAGGCCTGGAGCGGCCTGGCCAGTCGAGGCTCACTAGCTGTCAAGGGGCCTGACAGTGATTCTGGGAGATGGCAGAAGGCCCGGGGACCTGGGGTGGGCCAGGGCTCTCAGGGGACACGAAGTCTGGGTTCCCGTGTTCTTCTGCAGACCCAGAAGCACACCCACATCAGGGCAAGGCCAGGGCTCCCGCAGCCACCGGAAGCCTGAACAAGGCCTGGGCTCATTGCCTCGACTGAACCCAAAATGTTCCGGGCCTGCTGCAGGCAGGATAGGGCAGGGAATAGAGGGTGAGTCGGAGACCTCAGCTGCCCGGAGCAAGTGGGGCCTCAGTGAACCCACCCAGTCTGAGTGAGGGGTCACCCACAGACCAGCATTCTGGTCCCATCTTTGTGATTCCAGAGATGGTAGGGGAGCTGTATGAGGGGCAAGGCCTTACCTGCACACATACAGCTCCAGGGGCAGCTGGGTGTTGGGGGTCATGATCCAGGGGGCCACGCGGAAGACCACAGTGTCTGTGAAGATGAGTACCTCGAGCAGGGTCTGGGGGGAGGGGGAAAGAGGACTCAGTGGGCCCTGCAGGGATCCCCATCAGACCTCAAGATCCCCCCGCCCCCAGCAGGCCCAGTCCTGGGACCTCCAAACTGGTCCTCCAAGCCCTGAAGCCCCTACCCCAGACCCCAGCGCTGCACGTACCGCCTTGTCCACCAAATTGATGCTGAGAGAGACCAGCCCCGAGAAATCAGCGTCGGGGAAGGCGAGCCCCTCCACGTAGAAGCTGATCTTGCGCTCCCCTGGCTGCCGCTCGACTTCGTAGAACAGATGCTGGGGGCCCAGCACCTGCTTGTAGTTTGAGAGGGAATTCCCACCTAAGGGAACCGGAGTGAGCACTGGGGGGTGTGGGGCTGTGAGGGCCGGAGGGGAGGAGCCAGGGGCAGAGCCTCCTCTGCCCTAGACGTGCGTAGGCTCCTCTCCGGCTCTGACACACACAAGCTGTGTGACCTTGGCTCAGCGACTCGGCCTCTCTGAGCCCCAGTTCCCCATCTGTAAAACAGGCTAACATTGTATTTCTCAGGAGGTCAGTATGAGCTTTAAACCAGGGAAGGAGATAAAAGCAGCTGGTACGAAAGGTGAAAACAATGAAAATGCCCATCAGCAGACAAATGGATAGACAAATTGTAACAACACCATGCAGTGGACTATTATTCACCCAGAAAAAGGAATGAAGAGCTCATAGATGCTACACGGAAGACCCTGGAAATATTACGCTAAGTGACAGAAGCCAGACATAAAAGGCCATGTATTGTTTGATTCCATGCACAGGAGCTGTTTAGAATAAGCAAATCCACAGAGACAGAAAGCAGACTAGTGGTTGCCAGGGTGAGGGGAATAGGGAGGGGCTGGGATTGAGTACAGGGCTCTATTCTGGGGCGTGAAGAAAACGTGCCAGCCCTGGGGAGACGTAGTGGTTGTACCACACTGAGAATGTGTTAAATTCCACCGAATCGTTCACTTTAAAAATGGCTAAGTTTAGGTTATGTGAATTTCACTTCAATTTTAAAAAATGAACAGTAAAATTGAGTTTAAAAAAACATACTAGTTCAGCCCGCCTCCTTTTCTCCTCCCCTGACGGATGGCTGGGCTGGGAAAAGCCACCGTGGTGCGGTCTGTTCACAGCAGGAGAGGCTGTCAGTTCAGTCACTGAGGCTTCGCTCCCGTTCTGGTGTCACAAGGTTCTCAGACCAGGTCCCTGCCTGAACGTCCACCACGGATGCCTTTGGAGGAATGTTCTGGTTCCTGCCAGGCTCACTTGGCCAGAACAACAAGTTCTGGGTCCATTCGAACAGAGGTGGGTGGAGAGGAAGGAGGAAGGGGCGGGAGAGGCGTCTTGCTGTTTATAAACATGAGTAAGGACACCTGAGGGTTAAGGACTGGTATTTTCTTTAAGCCGCAGACTTTGATTAATTAAATCTCTGGTAGAGCAGCGTTCTCAGGACGGGCCTGGGCCCCAGCTTTGCTCGTTCCTGCCGCACCTCGCCCTGCTGGGACAGTGCTTGTCTGGGTGCCGAGGGCTCACCGCACGCTGAGCAGCCAGAGGAGGGAGGCGGGAGGAGACTGGCACAGGGGACAAAGAAGGGGCTTTGTTCCTCAAGAGACCTTGTTTAAATGCCTGCTCCACCCACAAAGGGCTGTGTGACCTCATGACGGTGAATTCATGCATCTGAGCCTCAGTTGACCCCTCTGTAAAAGGGGACTAGTTATTGAACCTCCTTCCTGGGCGGTTTGTCGTGTCCAGAGGGAATGGCTGTTTGTGAGCTGTAGTGAGAGTCACGACCGGAGCCGGAAGGAGGGGAAAGGTGTGGAACGGAGGAGAAAGAAGAGTGTGGGAAGCAGAGGCTGGAGCTGGGCGGGAAGAGGCCCCATCAGGCCACTCACCCCGAGCACAGAAGACCCCCACTCTTCTGGAATCAGAAAACGGCATTTTCATGACCAGCTTGTGGTTGTCAAAGAGCTTGTCGGGGCCGTCGCAGGTCAGCACCATTGGGGACATGTCCTTCAGGTCTGAAGAGAGTGGTACCCTTAAGATAACCCTCCATCTGCCCCCCCAGCAGTCTCCCCGCCGCCCACCACAGCCCTTCTCCGCCCCACGCCATCAACCCTGGACAACGCCACACGTCCCTCCGCTACTCACCATCCAGTGACGTCAGCTGGATGCTGGCAAGGTCAAGCCCGCTGGACCTGGGACTATCCCTGTCACAATTCACCAGCAGGATAGCCCCATAGCCCTCAGGGCCCCAGCGCCAGGTTTTCTGGTGTAAAATAAGAGACTTTGGGGTCAATGGCACCCAGGGGGCCCTGGGAAGGGGCTCTGGGTGAGGTTAAGGCTGGTGGCTTTGTTTGCTTGAAGACTTGGATCCTGGGTTGGCTTAGAGGTGTACCAAGGGCTCTTGGATTTGGGGACTGGGCTCCAGGTCTGGACACAGAGTGGCTGCACCCCGGTGCAGCAGACAACCGCACTACAGTGCACAATGGTCCCACCAGCCACAGCCGCCACACTCAGAAATGGTCTTGGCAAGCCTGCTGAGCTTTGGCCCTGACCTTGACAGGAGTGCAGAACCCCAGGAGACCCTGCTCATCCCGGCACTGTCCTGGGACCTGACCTGCACAGCCGCCCAGGCCCTTCCAGAAGGTCCGAGCTCAGGCGGGACTGATGGCTGGAGCCCAGTCTCTGTGGTCAAAGCTCTTCTTGACGTGCCTCTAACTCCATGCCCACCGGACCCTGTGACACAGGGCTCACTTTCCCATTTCACAGAAGAGGGGAAGGAGATTGTGGGAAGTGAGCCCCAGGTCCTCCAAATGCAGGTCTGGGGGGCTGTACAGGACCACCACCAGCCTCTGTGGCCCTCTTGTCTGCCCCTCTGGGCAGATGCTGCCCTGCACCAGCCCCAAACGTGACTCGTACCACGGCACCACTCACCACCTCGTCCGAGCACCGTGTGTGGTGAGCAACCCGCTGGGCAACTAGTGAGCCCCAGCTTCACCTGGTCCACAAAGCCCTGCAACCCAGCCTTCCTCTGTTCAAACTACATCTTCCACATACTCCCTGTGGGGTAATGTCTGGAGCCCACCCCGTCCTCCTGCTCCCTCTTCAGGGCCTAACAGGGGCTGTGCACCTGCCTCCCCTACTAGAAGCCTCGTCTTCCCCCTTGCCTTCATTCAGTCACTCAACACCCTTTTATGAAGTACCTACCATGTTTGGGGCTCCAAATACAGCCTAGGAAATAGAAGGTACATCAAGCAAAAGGACCAGTCCCAATTCCAAGGTGGCATAAGAGAGACCCAGAGAGGGTGAGCTGTTTTCTGGAAGTCACACAGCAGGTCCACCCCCCGGTGTAAGTTAACTCCTGCCTATGCCGGTCTGCTGGCCCTCAGACGGGTTTCCTACTCTGCTGGACACCACGGACCCCAGGAACCCATCGCCCTTCTGGAAGGAGGGCCGCCCCACCCCAGGCACATTCCCAGGTGTGCCTGTCAACCCTGCTGTCTTCAGGCAGCCAGGAAAGTCTCACCTTGTCACCTCGGCTCCTCTTTACCTTGCCCTGGCGGCCTGTGTCCACATCGAGGGAGATGTCTGGAAAGGGACGGGGAGGAGTCGCCAAGGGCTCGGCCAGTCCCATCTTCACAGCCACCGCCTCCAGGTCGAGGAAAGCTTTGCCCCCTGCCCAAGCCCATGAGAACCAGGAAGCCCTGTTCTGGGAGGCCCTTGTGGCCACCCCGTGGGGTTCTGGGTGTTGGAGGGACGGATGCTTTCAATCTGGAATCGCTTGCTCACCTACACTTGCTGAATTGCTAGCTCTCGGTGGCCCTGACTCTGGTGGCTGGGGGCTAGGCCTGAGGCTCTGGGTGATGGCTGCCCAGGGCTCAGGCTGAAGGGGCACGTGGCCGTCCAAGGTTCAGTGCTGGATCTTGGGGTTCTAGTGCATGTGACAGCTGGGACTCCAGATGAAAGGGGCTCATTGTGGATCTAGCTGTTGACATGTGGGCAGAGCAGTTTCTAGATTCCCGCAGCCCCAAGTATCGCTGGGTCCTCTTCCCTGAGGATGCCACCCTCCTCCATGGTGGAGGAAGCTGGCCATGGCTCACAGTGGCTCCCCTAAGACTTTCACCAGCCAACATGGAGGACAGCGGGGATTTACAGAGGGCCGGGAGGTGGTACGTACCGACGCCCGTGAGGTAGAGCTCGCTGTGGCCCAGGGCACTGTCCTCACCCTGCCCGAAGTAGGAGACCTTCACCTGCAGGGACAGGGTCAGCTCTAAGATGGCATGGCCGCCCCTTCAGAGATGGCAGTGGCCAGGGAATGGGGGTGACTCACACCTCCCAACAGCCCTGCTTAGAGGCCAGGAAGGCATGGGGGTCCCCAGGCCCTCCCTGTGGCTAAAGACCCATGTCCCGCAGGCCCCAGGCTTGGGTTCCAGGCTGCTTTCTCCAGCTAGAGAGGCTGTGGATACCTCCCTGGCTCCCCAGGCTGTGCCGAGGAGCAAGGAGAGCTGGGCAGGGCGGGGTGGGTCACAGAAGGAGCCGCTGGCCCCCTGGGATTCACGGGGGATGTCAGGAGAAGGGACGGCTGTCGCCATTGACTTAGGCAAGTTACTCAAGGCCTCTGTTTCTTCACCTGTAAAATGGGAGCAACAGCCTCCGCCCCATAATAACAGCTAGTGGTCATGAGCTCTTCCGATGGTCCAGATCCCACACCAAGTGTTCTACCCAGGTCCCCCAGCATGGCCCCAGCAGATGGGCCCATTCATAATGAGGCTACTCAGGGCCCCGCCTACAGGCACCTAGCGAGGAAGCAGAGGAGGTAAGATTTGAACCCATGGCGGGCCCCAGGGCCTTTGCTCTCTAAGGCTGCACAGTCCCTGCTTTGTCCTGTCCCATTGGTGGGTCACTATGTATGTGGTAGGTGGCCAGGGGCAAATGAGGAGGCGTCATCTGTGTGAGAGAAGCCTTCCCGCAGCGTCAGGTGTGGGAGATACCCACACTCAGGTATGTACCTGCTCCTGCACTGTGTGTGTGCGGGGGTCCTGCCTACACGAGAGTGGGGGGCTTGCTTGGGGGCCTGTGTGTAGGCTGAACACAGGGGTCACGGGGGGCTGTTTGCGAGTCTGAGGGGAGAGGAGGCAGGCTGTGTTTTAACAGAATTTATTTGCGTGCGTATCCGTCATGTTGGGTGTTGAGGTGGGTTGGCATGTTTGGGGTGTCTACGGAGTTGTATCAGGGTGTGTTGTGTGGATGAGGTGTCGAAAGCCTCGTGGGGTTTGGCTGCGTGGGGAGACATATGAAAGTGAGGTATGGGTCGGGAGGCTCTGACCTTGGGTGCAGGGAAGGGGGGAGATGCAGCCCCTTACCGCAGGTAAGGGCCTCTTACCTTGAGATCATTTAAGTCTTTACTGGCTGTGTCCACGGATACAGTCACATCCACGTTGGCATCCAGGGGCCAGTGGGACTTGCCTGTAGGCTCTGTCACTCTTGCCGGGTCGTGGACCATAAAGATCTCTACCCCGGAGCTCCCAGAAACCCCAAAGGTCTTGGCGCCCTTCGGCACATCGCTGACAGAGAAAGGAGAGGGGCAAAGGCCCAGGGTTAGGAGGGTGACCACAGTGGGGTAGTGGCTGGGCAGCCAGGCCACCCAAAGAGCACCCCCTACAGCTGGGTTGGGGAATGGCGGGGGCGGGCCTCTGGCAGGAAGTCCCGCCTGGCTGGGCGTGGGGCAGCCTGGGCTGCATCCACTGGCCCTCCTGGGACCCACCCTGGGCACATCACCCCCACCCTGGCTGTGGTCTCCCCATCTGCGGCTTGTGGGGTAGGAGCAGGGCAGCAGTGTTGAGCTTCAGTTAAGAGATAGAGGCCCCTGAGCAGCCCTCCCTCGGGGCCTGAGACAGAGACAGACAGGGATGCTGGGAATGGGGTGAACCACGATGCTCCACCCTTGGGCTTCGCAGAGACCCCGAGACTCCAGCGAGCCGAGACAGCAACCACCTCCAGGCTCCCCACTGTCGTGCTGCCCTCGGGAATCCACTTGGCCAGTCCCTCCGCCACCACCCGCACCCCCCGGGCAGCTGGACAGCCTCCTCTCCGATCTCCCTGGGCCCCCCCACCCGCTCCAGTCTGTTCTGTGAGTCATAGTGAGCTGTTCCTTTTTGCTCAAAAACAGTGGGACCCATCACACTAGTGTGTAATTGGAATAGACACACTCACTGCTACCAGATCCTCCACTGCACTCTCGTGAGTGTGTCCAGCTGGCTCCAGCCCGCCTGGCCCCAGGGCTCAGGGCTCAGTCCTCTGCTCTCTGTCAAAACTCACCCCTCGGGGGGTGGCCACTTGCTACATGGATATACTTGGAACCCCCACTTCTTACCTGCAGAACCATAACTGTCTTTTGAACATCTCTCCTGGGTGCCTAACAGGCATTTTAAATTCAACGTGTCCAAAAGCAAACCCGTGCTTCCTCGCTCCTGCCCCGTCAGACCTGCCCCAGACAGCCCATGGCCACCACCCTCGGACTTATCCTGGTCCTGTCTCCTTCCCTCTCACTCACATCCTGCCGCTCACAAACCTTCCCAACCTTCCCCTGCAGCTCCAGAAGATAAACACCCTTCCCTCTCCATGGCTAACACCCTGCTCCACGCCAAATCTTATGATAGGCTGCTTCCCCCTGCTCTCTCTGCTCCTGCTCACAGAGCCGCTTAAACAGAAGTCACGGAATGTCCCTCTTGCTCGTGACCTTTCCACAGAGCCTCTGTATCTGCCCCAAACTGGATGACTGATCTTGTAGTACCCCTTCATTCCTGGACACCCAGCCCCTTGCTGCCCCTCCGGCTTCCCAGCTGGCTCCACTGTGGGCCTTTGCGTTTGTAGTTCTCTTCCCCCCAACAAATACCCTCTGACCGCCGCTCCCCGCTCCCCATCTCCTTAACTAGGCACCCCAGCTGCCTAGTGAGACAGGGTGACGTGAATGACCCCGGACCCCACATTCCCTAACCCCATGACCCATTTTCATTTTAACCACGAACTTGTCACCCAGCGTGTTTACTGGATGATGCATTTTTCATCCATCGCCCGTGCCCAGCTCGGTGTCTGGCGTGGACCAGGGCACTGCAAACCCTGGTTCTATGCGTTAGGCCAGGGCAACCAGGACTGGCTTTCCTGGAACGGCCGAGCTGGGAGGCGGCGGAGCTGGGATTGGACCCCACCTGCCGGGCCCCAGAGCCCTTGCCTGCACATCCCCAGAGCAAGCAGACACGAGCTGAGGCAGCCAGCGGGTGGCAGCAGGGTTGCCAGCTTGTGGGAGACCCCTGCCTCACCCCACCCAGGGATGCCATCTCCAGGCACAGCCCTTCTGAGGGGTGGGGGGTTTGGGGAAGCCAATCCCCAGCTTTGGGCAAAAGTTGACATTTCCAAGTCACAGCCCTGGCCACACAACCCCGTATTTGGAGTCTTGGTAGAAAATAGTAATAACAACAATAACAATGCTGCTGCTGCTGATGATGATGAAGAAGAAGAAGAGGGTAAAGAACTGATACCACTCCTCTGGGGGTCTTAGGGGCTTCCGAGACTGGCCTGACCTCCTTCCTGCCCCCTCGCCTAGCTCAGCAGCTCACACCTCAGCTCGCCCCTGTCTGGGGCGCTGGGATCCTGGCCTCGGCTTCTTTCTCCCCTGCAAGTGCCAGGTGAGTCCCTGGTACAAGATCCAGACAGGCCTTGGAGAAAAGTGGCTTCCTTCAGGAGGCACATGATGGGTGGGGCTGAGGCCCAGGGGTCACCTGCCCTATAAGAGAGGCCTGAGTCCTGGCCCCACTGCCTTCCCTGCCCCTGTCACCTCCATCCAGGTGGCTGCCTCTCAGAGTAAAAAGATGCAAAAGAGCTGAGGCCACCCCAGCGTGAGCTTCGCAGCCCGCAAGCAGGGGGACTGGGTTTTCCACCAGTGCTCACACTTAGCAGGTCATGTGCCAGGCAGGCTCGGGCCTTTGCTCCTCTCGCAGGCTCCCAGATCTGTGTGGGGTGCTGTGGATTAAGGGCTGCTCTTAGGGGTGGAACAGGAAGGCATGGGTGTTTGGGTGGGCCCCAGGGTGCCCCCCAGTGGGGTTGCCTCACCAGCTCTCCAGTCTGCCCCGAGGGAGCTTCCTAATCCTTGCCTGCCTGGCTGCTTCGCTTTGGCACAGCCCCCAGACCTGACCAAGCCCCCAGGTGCATCCCTGGCGTGTCCCCAGACTCACAGGCAAAGTGATGAATTTGAAGTAGCCGTGTCAATGAGGGGAACTACAGTTGTAACCACACAGGAGACACCCCAGCAGTGTGACGGTCATGATCTTTATCATCATTTCCAGGGTCACCATGACGAGCTGTGCCCTCACCTGCCTTCTGCCCCTTGTGCCCTTCCCCATCTCTGCAGGAAGTAACAGTGGCGGTGGGGTGTGGCAGGGGCCATCTTTTGCATTCTTGAAGAGCCACTTCAAGCGGCACCTTCTCTGTGGAGCAGGGTGTAGACTCGGGAAGGGGGCCTCAAATCTTGTCACCTGACTGCCCTGAGCCTTGGTTTTCCTCCTCTGTCACATGTCACATGGATAGAATCCAAAGAGCTACTGGCTAGGGCTGCTGGGAAATTCCATGAACTGATATATTTAAAGTGTTCAACCCTGGCTGGTGTAGCTCAGTGGCTTGAGCACGGGCTGCCAACCAAGGGGTTGCTGGTTCAATTCCCAGTCAGGGCACATGCCTAAGTTGCAGGCCAGGTCCCCAGTGGGGGCCACATGAGAGGCAGCCACACACTGATGTTTCTCTCCCTCTCTTACTCCCTCCTTCCCTTCTCTCTAAAAATAAATAAATAAAATCTTTTACAAGACAAACGAAAAAACAGGTGTTAAAACAAAAATACAAATAAAAAGTAAAGTGTTCGGCACACAGTAGGTGCTTAATAAGTGTCAGGTGCCATCGCCACTGTTCCTATCACTCCTCCTCCGTGCACCTCAGCCCACTCCGGCCGGAACCCCATGTCCTCTCCCCGTCCCCACGGCACAGGTCCAGACCCCCGTGAGGCCCCTGCACAGTCCCTCTGTGCCGGCCACAGCAGCGTCCTGCCTGACCCACCCTGCTGCGTCCCTCACCGCATGCCCAGAGCAGGCCTGGGGCTCCAGGTCAGGAAAGAGGTGCAAGGAGAATGGAGTCAATTCTCAGAGAGTCTCAAAGAGGAGGTGCGGTGGGGGGGTGGGGAGTGGGCAGAGAATTGCAAATCAATAGGTAATCCTCAGCCATGCCCACTCGCTTAGGCAAGGTAGGTGCCCACCCACCCGTGAAGGCATAGGGACAGCACGTCTCACGGGTAACACTGGGGTGAGTATATTTGGGCAGCACTTTCAAGCACCTACGGGACGTGCCAGGCACGTGCTCCATTTCTGACACCTGTGATCTCGCCCGCACCGCACACCGACCCTCCAGGGTGTGTGCTATTGCCCTCATCTGGCAGATGAAGAAATCTCGGGGGCATTAGGTGACTTCCTGGGGTCACACAACTGGCAAAGGGAGGAGGATTGTCTTCTATCGTGCTCTGCCCTGCTGACGTTAACATGAGCATTGCGTGCGCTGACCAGGAAGGAAGAAGGGAAATGTTGAGACTCCATGGCACCCATTTCTCCATACGGTTCCTTGAGAGCTGGTAGAGAAGGCCCAGGCAGAACAGGGGGCACCGAGGCAGAGAAGCCATGTTCTTCCCTCCCCATACACACGCCTGAACCTTGCAGGGGTGCGGCCAGGGCAGGCCAAGAGAACGGTGCCTGTGACCTCCCAGCCTCCACCTGCCCGAAGGTGAGGAGACCGTACAATGGGGTGTCCCACCCATGGCCCACAGGATGGCTGTACACGCGGCCCAACACAAAATCGTAAATTTACTTAAAACCTTATGAGATTTTTTTATGATGACATGTTACAGAGCATTCCATGTGTGGCCCAGGGCGATTCTTCTTCCTCCAGTGGGACGCAGAGACACCGAAAGCCTGGACGCCCCTGGCCGGGGATCTGCAGAGGCCTTGTCTCAGGGGTCGCCCTGGCCAGCCCCTCCCAGCACAGGACTCCAAGGTCGAATCCTCCCGCGACAGACAGCTCACCGCCTCACACCTCTCTGTGCTTTGGGCTCAGGTAATTAGAAAACGTTTCCTTTTGCTTGGCTGGAACCTGTCTCCCAGAAGCTCCCACCCACTGAGGCTGCGCAGGCCACACCTTAAGTCAAGTTTCCCAGTCGGTTTCTAGGGGAAGGAGAAACACAGCCACCACGATGAAGTTCCTCCCATGCCCTCCACCCGACCTGCCACTGGGACTTCCCCAGCCCTCAGGGACAGGCTCCGGGGCTGGAAGGGCCCGACCCCTGAACTAGGGTATGGGCAGGGATCCAGCCTCTGGATGGGTGGGCGGATAAGGGGGGCAGGAAGCGAAGGACCAGTGTGCTTGGGGAGTTGCCCAGGGCACCGTGAGGAAAGAGGCAAGGTCAGGAGGGAAGAACAATGCAGAACTGAATAGAAAGGCTGGAGAGCAAGCTAGTGGGCAGCCAGGGCTCCCC